AACCCCCGAAGACCCTCACTTGCGAGGAAGCTGAGCGGCGCATCAACAACCGTCTCGCCCACAGCCCAAATTACGATGATCTCGCACTGGACCCGAGCACGTTGACTGCACTTTTGAGTTCAAGATGGACCCTGTGTTTGGAGACAAGGTGATGGATGCTCTAGATCGCTTCCATGACAGAGGCGGCAAGGCAAATGTCTCAAGGTTAGACAAGAGCTCGCTGTCATCATTGACTTCTGGCCAGCTGGCATGGTAGTCAGCCAGCTAGCTCTTGCGTCTGGTGGCCCTTGGCCTTCTCCAAGTGGTCGACAGTGCAACCTTGTCCACTGGGCTGACAACAGCAATCAGCTTCGGAGCAATGGCAACAGGTTCCTCCCTGCCTTTTCAGATGAGGAGAGCAAGACCTACCTACTAGCAGGTAGCTCGTCACGAAAAGAGAATTCGGCTGGAGATCCAGTGGAGCCCAACGTAATGTCGGCGATTCTGAGTTTACCTGAGGATACAGTGAGTCATCATATACAGTTACTTTGTATGGAGTGCCCTAGGCTCAGGGTGGAGTGAGGTGGATCTACTGTATGTACGGGCTCCGGCGTTGTTGTTGTGTTGTTCGTTTACTTCTTACCTCTTTCATGTCACGCGCTCACGCTGTCCATCTCTCAGCGCAGCACCCCTCTTGCGCTCACTTCTGCCCTGCTACACTCTGGGACTGGGCGGGCGGATGAGTAGCGGACTGAAGCGGATACCTCTGGAGTCCCCTTGACATGCAACTCTACTCTCTGTTTCAAGGGCAATGGCAGCCTTGCAACACGAAACGGCCGTGTTGACACAGAGGGCGCACTACTTAAAGCAGTGGTGCACCCTCTCAAGTGGATCGTTCAATGTCACATGCACGTCTCGCTCCCCCCTCTGCTGTTGGCCACGATCAACGATGCCCCACATGTTGTGAGTCATTGCTGTGCAAAACGAAGCTACTTGGCAATGGAGGGTGCAGGTCGCGCCAGCTATATTGAAGGCAGACTTGCCGTCTACTCCTCAATGTCCCTCTTCTCCTCTTCTCTTCCTTTCATCACCTCCCTACTCTCTTCTCGCTCCATCTCCATCCAGCGTTTCTCCGCTTTGCCAAGTTCACATAGTAGGTGTAGAGCTCAAATAACATCACGATAACGAGCTAACGTCAGGTTTACTCTCCTGACTTCCTCACTCGTCTCGTCACTGCCCTCGCCATTGCCCTCGCCATCGCTGAATCTCCCTCCCCCCCTTCGCCGACCACCTGCCACTTCTTCTCCATCCCTACCCCCTTTCCCCTCCTCTTCCGCCTTTCCTCTCACACCTCCTTGAGGCCCCGTGCCAGCCACAAGGGTCTCACAGGCAAGGAGCTCGACAATGTCATCAATGACCTCAACAGCAAGGACCAGTACAACGGTACCCTGCACCAGTTCATCAAGGACACGCTCAAGAACTGCAGCACGTGCTTATTGAAGGCGAAGGTCGTGGGAGGAGGAGATAACAACCGGCCTCTCCCCGAGCTCAACAGCGGCGGGTGCGCCACCAATGAAAACGAGTCGCGGCTCTAGAAGGTATGTGGTTTTTGCCAGAGTCCTCTGGAGTCCGGCAGTCCCCCCTAACACGCTCAGGCTTTCCGCATGGTCACTCCTGACAGGTTCCTTCTTCACCATGAGCCCTGCGCCTTCTGCCTTCGGGACGGCAATGAGAACTGCATCTACGACACAGACAATCACAAGCAGACTTACAGCTTGTGCACCAAATGCCACAAGCAGTGCTCTAACCAGACTCCAAGCACTGACAATATTCGCAGCCAGGCATTCAGTGCCGCCGCTGCGTTCGGAGTTGGTGCCCAGGCCGCTGTCATGGCCCAGTCTACTGACCCATGACCTTTCGCGGAGATCCCCATAAGACAGTCACCGTACACACGGAGATCACCCACACCTCTGCCACCTCCACTCTCTTGATCGTCCGATACTTGTCTGACCACCCCACTCATGGGTTGGGCCGACCCACGTCGACCCTGGTCGGACATATGGTTCACCTCGCTCGGTCAACCAACCAGGTATGCCGCCTCGGTCGACCTCTCGACCTCGCGGCACCCTTCGGTCGACTGCTTGCCCGACAGTCGGCCGATCGGAACCCTCCTAGAACCCTCCATGTCGTTTATCCCGAGACTCAATCTCACTGATTGACTTCGCCTAGACCGAGAGATCGAGCCTCCAATGATCCCGCAGCGCTGCGACGGATCATGATTTGTAATGCATCATAGTTGCAGGGCCAACCGAGCAAGGCGCTATCGGGCCTGCATGTCTGCCGGTGTCGGGGCCAGTTGGGTAAACTGACAGCAGGTGTGAAATACGTGACACGAGTTTGGCGACCGGCGGTGGGATAGCGCGCCCGCCATCTTGCGGAGGGACACTCATGTCCGGTCGCTACATCAGCACCCAAAATTTGGCCGTGTGGCAGCATTCTGGCGAACCCTCATACTGGGAAGGTTGCAGAGGTTGTCGTCGAACATCCACCAGTTATTGCGGAGATGTGCAGGAGACTCGGGTTTACATTCGCCCGGAGAGTGGCGACTTCTACGTGCTTATGGGCTCACTCATGCTTGCCGCTGTCCTATGTGCTGGAAAATCGGGTGGGTGTCCGTGATCTCCCGGCACTGCTGAGGCCACAGGGACCTCTGTAGAAAGGTACTATAGAACAGCTTGTGGCACCTAGGGGTCGCCAACTGCCACCTTCACCTCCCGGACAATGAGTCTATGAATCCCTGCCACCAGTGTCCTCAACAGATCAACGACCCCACATACTGACCGGCACTACTCCTCTTTCTCTTCGGATCTTGTCTATGGATCCACACTCCGTCGCACCGTGTCCTTCATTCGCCCGGCGCGCTGAGCCAGCCTCGGCCTAGGCCAGATCGACGACATGGGTGAGCAGTCAAAGGCGCTGTGCTAAAGTGATACTAGTACCATCCACAGTCTTCGAGGGGTGGGTACTGATCTCCTCCTTCCTTACCGAGGTCATGCAATTGGCTATCTACCCTTTGTATGGTCTGATACACCTTGTAGGGTCGGAAATGCGAGGGGAAGAGTGCAAAGCTGCGGCTGGGCCAGCCTCGTCGGTTGAAAGGGGCACGGGCGTGGCCCAGGCACCCTTGGGGGCTTGCTTGTGCTCGTCGACGCCCATCAATGCATGGCGCGAAGCATGTTTTGCTCTGCATAGACAGGAGTCGCAAGTCTGCACTCGGCGGGCGGATGGGCCACTCGAGGGATCGCGCCAGGTGTACATAGGACCTATCGTTGGCGATCGACGATTTGGGTCGCGCCGCCAAGACACGGCCAAACCATGGAGGAGGGGACGGCAGAATGATTCGCCTTTTCATCAATCGGAGAATTCGGCGAATCCATCGAATGCCGAGGCGTGCTGCTCTCTCGACACCTGGAACGAGCGGATATGCATGGCATAGGTGCTCGACGCTCGGAGCCCTCTCCGCGAGTGCTGATCCCCGCTGATCATCAGGGTGGTTGACGATGTTAGTGACAAAACGCAAAACAAAACAAACAGTACTAACGGGACCCGGAATACATGTATTAAATGAGATATGTGCTATGTATCATAGAGGGAAAGTGTCCAAGGAAGATGCCCCAAGTGCACTACTTGCGGATCTGGAAAACGCACTCGCCGTCGATGAGCTTGAAGCCCGAGCGGCAAGCGGAGGCGACGCACTGCCCGTCGACGCACGAGATGCCGCCGAGAGAGACGCCGGGGAGCGAGGTGCAGTCGATGCCGGAGACAGTCCCGTTGAGGAAGTTTCCGTTGGGGCAGCCGCCGCACGCCTCTGTTTTGTTAGTTTTGTCATGCATGGAGCGACTCACCGAGCTCAGTCGTCGTGTCGAGGCACTCGAAGCTGTCGTGCCCAGGAACGCGGCAGGGGAGCTTAGGGAGAGGGCAGTAGGTCTCAGACGCGGCGCGCTGGACGTACGAGCGGCGGCGGCGGGGGATGGCGCTGACGGCGAGATCGCGCGAGTAGACGTTCCAGGCGTAGTTGCGAGTCCGAGAGCCGCCAAGAAGGCCACAGACGCCGGAAACCGATGTCTGCGCGTTGCAGTTGACAAGCTGTCCCGTGGGAGCCGTGTTCGAGCACGAGCATTCCCAGCGGCCGCCCGAGCGACCACCAAGCAGAGCGCCGAGGACGCCTCCGAGCAGACCACAGGACTCAGTGAGGCCCGCAACGCGGAGCGAAACCTGCGAGTTGGAGCCACAAGCCTCGAGGCACTCGGCCTGGTTGGCGACAGTGAAAGTGCTGATAGCAGGGGGGTTTGTGGCATAGCAGCCGTCCAGGGTGAGGTCCGTCTCCGCAATGTACTCAGCCTCCACACCGACGAGGTTGAGGATGGTGCTTTCACAGTCGCCGAAGGCACCTGAGCCTGCATTGTTAGCTGCGTCGTGTACAGTGGCATACCTTCAGTGATAGACCGAACGTCCAGACCCTCGTTGGAGCAGTAGCACGAGCCAAGAGTCTCATCAAGATTGACGACGAGGAGATTGACGTCGATGCCCTCCGCGAAGATCATGAACTTGTAGCCACCGGCCCGGCACAGGTCCTGATGTTAGCGGAGATGGGTTATGTGACTCACCCGGCACTCGTTGCCAGCGAGTGTTGTCCCCAGCAACGTCGTGAGGGTGCCCGTGAGCAAGGGGACGAGGCCAGGGACGAGACCATCACCGCCGAGTGTACCGATACCGCCACAAGTACCGAACACGTCGGCCTTGACGAACGAGGCAAGGGCAAGGAGAGCTGGAAGCCAGAGCATTATTCTGAATGGGGAAGAAGGAGGGGAGAACGAGGATGGGGAAGAGGGGGATGAAGATGCCTCAAACTGATGGCTACCGCACTCTTATGTTGTCGAGGCTTGTCCACTTCGTCCCCGAAGCTCTTGTTTGACTCGTTTCCCATCCAATCTCAGCTAGAGAACCTTATCACCTCATGCGCCGCCACAACATCCTTCCTGCTGATTTCGCCTCGCTGCCACACCCTCGATTACGCTGACATCTGGAAGGTGACAGTGTCCTCTTCCTCTGTCTCTGAGGCAGATTGAGATCGCCTGCCGACGCTTGGCTTTGTTAGGTTCACGCCTCCGTCACCAACCCAAACACATTCAGTCCGGCGCTCTGTCATGCCGCCACATTCGCACATCCGACTGTCTCCCCCTCTTGCGGGCATTTTCCTTCTTTCAGCTACTCTCTGTGAAGGACCCTCACTCTCCTGAGCGTTTGCTGCAATCCATCAGAGCGGGGGACATGGTGTTTAGGATGAACCGCTTGGCGGCGCCTCAATATCATTGACCGCTGCGGCTGTGCTGCGGCAACATCGCGGCTGACCTCCTAACCCTACCGGCCGCGGAACACGCTGTCCGTGGGGACAGAAGAGGGGGGGGGGGGGGGGGGGGGGGGGGGGGGGGGGGGGAGGGGGCGCATCACTCCGTAGAACTGTGGGGTTGGCGGAACTACTCCGCCGGTGCGGTCTGCGAGACACTCGGATCGATTGAGATCCTCCCAATGCCGGTGGCGGAGATATTATGCAGGGTAGATGGTGCCTGAGAGATGGTGCCTGTGCAGGGTATGCTTATTGGGGTGGGTCAGCCGAGGGGTGACTTTCGGCACACCCTGCACCGACCTGCACCCCATGGGTCAAGCAGGACTGTGGGCAGGCTCAAGGTTTGGGCAGCTGAGCGCCGTGGCGCGCTTCGATAAACCCTGCTAAGCACAAGCACAAGCACAAGCTCGTCGAGGCCATGTATCGAGTTACACCTCTGCAAGGAGAGAGGTCGCGCCTACCTGAGGGAGGGAAACTACACGACAAGCTTCGACAGGATGCAGACGCTGATGGCAATTTGGGCAGTGCGGTAACTTGGCGCGGACCGTCCTCGGTACCACCACCCCGCATCCTGTTAGCTTCACAGTCTCCACTTGGAGCAACTACATATCTTCGCTGAGAATTCTCCGCTCGATCACACTGCTCGTTCAGGACGATGTTTCATTACTCCACTCAAAAGTTTTTGCGATTCAATGAGCATCCCTGCCCAGCAGGTTGGGAGGGGATACAATGGGAGGCTGCATTCAATGATCCTTCTTTGGCGCAGTGGTGTGGGTTGAATGAATGGGAGAGGCACGTGGCGCTCTCGGAGTTCCGAGCTCGGTAAAGCCGAGTGGGTCGGGGCCGGAGACGGCATCCACCCGACCGCTGCTGCAGCCCCTCCACAGCCCAGGTGTAGGAATGCACAGAAGGGCGAAGGGCGAATGACGACAACGCCGCAAAGATGCATATTTGGCGTCACGCTTGTGGCGCCGGCCTTCCTGGACGCCACCCCGCTTCTCACCCACGCCGCGTGGTACTGGCTGCATCGTCTGCCTATCGCGCCGCCGCCGACGCTAGGAACCCGGTACCCCCGGCGATGGGTTGTTCGCACTGGTCGCGGTTTGGCCGGCGGTGAAGGGCCGTGCACCCTGCCCATCATGATCATCTGATCAGCAAGCGCCTGACCCCCGCGGACGATCCCGGAGAGGAGGACGGCGCCGACGTCGCCCTCTTCTGATTACCTTTCTCGTGTCGGGCGAAGGTAAGCCTTGGCAGGACGAACATACTCGGAGGCCGGGCAGACCGCCTATCAGCGTGGATGCCTTCCTTACACCGCCCCTCGCGCGCTGTTGGGGTCGGAGTACAAACACGCAGTACACGGTCCGGAAGTGTCAAGCAGACTCCGCCTCCCAAGCGCCGCCCACTCCACTTGGCGGTGATGCTCTCTGAATCATTGTGAGGGTTCGGAAAACTAGTGGAGAGCAAAACACTGTGGAGGCATGCCCTGCGTCGCATCACATGGTATCAACGAGGGTGACAACACAAGCCTCGGCGTCATGGCAGCCGGTGTCAAGCAACAGGTTTCAGCCCACCCGGATGCAACTGCGCAAGCACTTCCCGCCCGTTGGCAGATTTCTACGCTAAAGCGCGGAGCGCCGGAGTTACTGCTGTCGGCTGTTTTACGGATGAATTGTCATGTATCTCGATCGATTTCCGCCGCCACCCTGAAATCCTGCATCACACACCCGACGTTAGACTTTGGGTGCTGACGCGAGCAGACGTCGACGGCAGATCTGCTTATCGCCGAGCCTGGCCAGACGAGATGAAGGACCTACACGTGTGTACAGAGAGGAGTGGCGCACAGGGCGATCAAGCACTGAGGCGACAGCGGTGGCGCAGGGGGAGGCGGCTTAGACGGGCATTATGCACCCTCCGTCCTCCCCTTCGGTCGTCGCAATGTGGCACCCGTGTCCAAAGCGTTGGCCAACGGCGCATCTTGCAGTAAAGTGGACGGCTTGATCGAGCTGGCACGAAATGCAGTGTCTTGCGCCTCTGGCGACACGACCGGACTGGTTTGCTCGAATCGCATTGTGGAGCGCCCCGTCTTCCGTGCCGGCCCGGCGTCTCGGAAAGCGTGGGAGGGGACTCTGGCTCCGTGCGGTACAGAAACTCTCAGGAAATCTCACTGTTAGCAGCATGCATTGTTTGCATACTTCAGCGGCATTCGCAGCCTTCGCCAATCAAAACGATGATACACGCGTATTGCCCGGTGGGTGGGCGCACGTCCTCTCTTACGCAGTCCTTTCAGCGGCACTAAATCACAACTTGTTGATACGCTGCCGGACTATGGCATCACGGTGCTGGACAACGAGGCTTGAGAGCAGAGTGAATCCAACCCAGCTCATCTCGACAACATGGCGGCGGGAGAACGGCACCTCCTCAAAAGAGGGCGTTAACTCGTCCCCAAGAGTGAGCTGTTGCAGCTCCAGAAGAGAGACAATATGAGGCCCCTGTTCGATTGGCTCAGTATGACCACGATGTCGACTTCCGTGACTTTGATCGAGCTTCAGCCTCAGGTCGGTGATTCAGGCCATCTGATCGTTTGCATTACATCCTCAGCGGTGCTATGAACCCTCTTCTCGACGACTTTGAACTGCATGCGCCTCAACATGCACTCTCGCGTTTTCCCAGTGGCTTCGCGGTGTAGGCCGGGGCAGGCTCAATCACTGGCGTCAGGTTGATCAACACATCCACTGATGCAATCGAGAGTGCTTCTCGCCGAGCGATAGGATGGAGCAGACCCTTGCCCAGTCGATGTTGGGCAGATCTTTGCCGAGGAGAAGACTGGCTAAGTTTGTGTCCACCTCCGCGTCAGTCGCCGCCATGCCGCTTCCACATATGCGATCGGCTCCAGGACACAGTGAGGTGTGGAGTGAGAACCATGCAATCGTTTGCTTCTGAGGCATTGTCTCCTCGCTCGCGCGCAGCATGTGACACCTGCACAGCCTGTCACCCGAACTCTGGGTCCATTCAATTACCCTCGCAGCACAAGGAGAAGCCTTTTCCCCTCTGGGCCACCTGCGTTTTCACGCAGATCCGGCGTTTGGTAACATAGCGCTGGGCTTGCATCTTTCATGCATCCCCAACGTTCCGCATGCTGTTCCCGGCTACTTTAGGCAACATTCCGAGGTAGGAGGACGTATGGGAGCTGGGTGGCCCCGGGGGGGCACAACTGATAGCTGAGCAGGACTGCGGCGGCCGGAAAACGCCTCGGAAGTGGACGAGGGGACCCCAGTTGGCCCAGTCGCTGTCCCTCAGTCTTGTGTCAAAGCTGGGACTTCGGTTCATGTTGTCAAAGAGCTGTCGTTCGAGTTGCCCCGTGGGAGACGTGGTAGCCAGCGGCGGAGCAGACCCACATCAGAGCGATGACACACTGTTCTAGGCCATCGGCTCAGAATCGTGATAGTAACCGTCATCCAATGGGTCGCCGAAGGCATACAGATCTCGCAGGGAGGAGTGCTGGTTGGGGAGGCGGAAGGTCATGCACTTGTCCCTACCAAAATCCATGAGGTCATTCTTGGCAAGAATGAGACTGGTAACGGACGGGCCCTCATGCTAATATCCGGTCCATACCCCGCGCGGCCACCTCCCGGCGCGACCATCTCCCAGTGCGGCCATCTCCCATCGCGGCGTTCTCCAGGCGCAGTTATCTCCCGGAGCGGCACGAGATTTTCAGGGCCGGAGATCTGTGTCGCATTCAGATTCCGACGGCTCAGCGCATGTCTGAGAACTGCGCACCTGATTATCGTGCGATAAGAATGTGGGGCCAGTTCGCATTGATCTCAGCAAGCTGTGCTGACCAAATCAACTCACATTGCGCCGGTGGCATCGATCAATCCACGATTCATGGGGAGGAGGATGCGGCATCCTAAGGGAAACCCTCCTGCCAAGACGAGTCCGGTGAGAACAACAGAGTCCGACGGCACTTGTGCACATCACAGCCCCATTGGAGAGGTGGGCGTCATGATGAAGGGAAAGAGTCCCGTTTGCCTCTGGGATTCTGATGCTTATGCAGAAGATTCCGTGTGGTAGTCTCACCTAAGGATCTAGACTGAAGACCCACTTGGTCAACCGGAAGTCAGGTGAATGGCACTGTTTACGGCCAAGGGCACAAGGACGTCACGCTACGACACACCAACCTGGAAGAGTTGACTAATGTGGGAACGAGATGCTGAAGCCGTGACAGGCAGCCTCCTGTACTGTTAAAAGGAACGTTGTATGAGCATCCGCAATCCATAGGTCTCCACAGACTGGACTTGTCGAGAATGAGATGCTACCAGATGCCAAGTTCTCTACTGTTCAGAATGCCCCTTGTTGCACTTTCACGCTCTCACGTCATTCAAGCACAACGGATCGCAACCTCTCAGGCCCTCGACCTCGACACAAAAGAAGCGAGGCAAGGCTCAGTGCCCGAAGAAGTCTCAAACGCTCTCCAGCATTTGTCCCCTGTTCCACTAGTCGTTGTTCCATGCATTCTTTAAGCTAAGAGGCTAGAGGTCTTAGTCGGTGACCACCAATTCGTATTGGGTTGATGTTGTGTCTTCAATGAGATGAAACGGTTCAAGTTGCGGCAAAGAACGTTACATACGTTCACAGCTCCAAAGGGTGCCAGTTAGTCGCAAGCGCACGTCTTGGCCAGGCCCGTCTCATGTCAAATTCTCTCAAATACCCCTCTCTGGTTTGTCTGATTACAACATAGCGCTGGACAAGTCAACATCCTCAGGCTTTGTACAAGGGTTATGTGTCATGGTCCATCGATAGGCGTGTGACAAGACCACCAAATCCGGGTGAAACGTATCCATGCTGCAGGACGAAGTTCTGATACCTGGCTGCACTACTGATGTGTTTACACGTCGTTGAATGGCGTAGCGTGTGGCATAGTGGCGGCGGTGCGGCGCATCTTACGATGTAATGTACGACAAGGACTCTCCTCGACGCCCCCAGAATTCTCAATATGCCTCCTTCAAACCCACTGTCGTAAGCACGGACACATCCAGGTCAGCCTTAGCCCGCCAATGCACCGCGCGGATTGTATTGTAACCCATTAAGGGCTTTACGAGCGCGGATTGCGCAGGCTCACGGGCATTGTTACGAAGACGAAGACCCAATGCATCCTTCCGGTAGGCCAGTGATGCTTTTTGACCTCTGAGTTGCGCAGGGCTTAGGGATAGGTTGGGGACCATGGGCCCAATGACCGCCTTGCACGGCATCGTTGAATGAGGCTCCGCGAAGTGTGACATGCATACATGAGAGGGCTAGGCCGTGGTCTAGGCCATGATGGTCGTGAAGCACTGTTTACCGTGAAACGCGAGGTCGACAGTAGTAGTGCAGGCCGACGGGATGAGGCACCATAGAAAGTTGAATATCTCTCAGTTTGACGACCTACTCATGCTCCGCCGAACTCCAGCCCAGCCAACACGTGGTCATTGTTTGCTAAAGTGAGGTTGCTAGCCGCTCCCGGTTCAATAACAGCAGGGCAGCGGCAGACAAGAGTCGATGGCCGCCAAGACACGAGTTTGCACTGGAGTGGGCGGCAGGACGGACTGTGCGGTGACGCGCCTGAAACTAGCATGTCGGACGAGGTAGCAACGACGTGTCAAAGGTAATAGGACTCGAGGATAGTTTTCAAGTACTTTCTGGCACTGGGGTGATCCCATCAGTCGTGCATGCATGACCTCATCAGGTGGCACTGTTAGTCCAGGCTCCCACGGTTATCCGTTTGGACAAGGGCTCTGGTTAACTGTTCATCTCTGAGCCCTTTCAGTAAAACCCGAAAGACGGTTCGCCCGAAACCTTCGCTTTGCGCGCCAATCGGTGACAACCTGCTCGCGTGACCGGTCAGGACATCAGGAGCCGGGCCGGTCACCCAAACACGCTTGTCAATGGGTCAGGGAGAGACCACACGTGAACCCGGGTCCCCAAGAGCGCTCACGCAGGCCTGCTTGGCAGCAGATACAACTATACATGGTGTCGACCTAGCCTAGTGCCCCACGGAGGTGACGCGGACCGCCACCCCGTCATTCTTCTCCATCGAGTCCGCGTGGGGTAGGCGGGCATCGTCGAGCGTGTCGCGGAAGTGACTTTCGTCGACCTCCTCGAATGTGCGCGACATGCCCGGCGGCGGGGACACGACACAGCAGAGATAGTACACGAGCGCGCTAACGCCAGTCCCCGTGAGCCAGCTGAGCGCGTAGATGCGCTGTGCGCCTGGGGCGATGTTGATGCCGGGGCTGAGAGCGTGGATGAAGCCCGGCGCATTCATGGCAAAGCCGGCTAGGTAGCCAGCGTATCCGCGCCAGTTGATACCCCACGTGTACCAGTACCAGCCCTCCTTGCTTGTGCTGTACAGGTCTGCGAGGCGCATGTGACCGCGGCGCACGAGCCAGTAGTCGGTGATCATGGGGCCGGCAATGCACGAGAGCAGGACGCCGTACGCGCCAAGATAGTTGCCGAACGTCGCGCTGCTCTTATACAGCAGCCACGGGTTCATGGCGATGCCTACGACCATGCAAATGTATCCGCCACGGCGGATGTTGATGAAGCGCGGGAAGAGCGCCGTGAGGTCGCACCCCGCGCTGATCGAATTAGCCGCGACGTTGAGCATGAGCTGCACGTAGATGAACCCGAGGTAGATGAAGGCGAGACCGGCGCGGGTCGCAGACGACGCGTCGGCGCCCTGCATCGCGTCCATGACCTTCACGACGTCCCAAATCGGCGCGCCGAACTGAGGCGCCGCGCTGGAGGCAATGACAATGCCGAGGAAGGAGGTGACGATGAAGCCGATGGGGAGGGCGAAGACTGCGGGTGTCAGTGAATGTGGAGGGAGGAGCCTAGGACGCACCCTGCGGCCAGACGGCGGCGGAGGGCGTCTTAGCGCGCGAAGCAAAGTCAGGTGCGTTTGTAATGAGGGTGAACACTGGGGTGATTAGATAGGAACGGAGAAGTAGGCGTACTGTTGTTGAAGCAGCTCGAGATGGAGATCATCATCTGCCATCCGAGGGCCGAGCCCGAGAGGGTAGCCTTCTGTGAGAAGACGGGTCCCACGCCGCCTGCCCTCTGAATGCTCCAACCAAAGAGGGCGAAGCCAACTGCGGGGCCAATGACGGCCTTCGCCGCGAACCAGTAGCGCAGCTTGTGGATCGGCACCCATGTCACGGGGATCGAGAGGAGCCAGTAGATGACGAAGGAGACGAGGTATGCCGTCGTGGTCTCGGTGCTGGCGGGCATGGTGTTCGGGATGCGGGAGAAGGACGGCCAGATGGCGCGGATGAGGCCATATACGCACTCGCCGCCGAGCCAGGCCTGTACGCCCCACCAGACGCACGCCATGCCGGCGCGGTTGAATACAGGCCACAGCGAGCCGAAGACGCCGAAAGTCGTGCGGCAAACGGCGGGGAACACGATGCCGTGCTTCGCGCCGGGGCGGGCGTTGAGCACCAAGAATGGTGGCACGAGGCTGTACCCGATGATGACGCACAGGAAAGCCTGCCACCACGAAAGACCTGCCGTGATCATGCTGCTCGCAATCACGAAGGTGTTCAGATTGAAGCTATCGGCGATCCAGAACCATACCTGGCGTCAGAAGAACGGCAGAGAATCAGTGAACGCACGAAGGAGAGATGGTTCCATGTCCGCTGAGCATCCGGGACCGGAAGGAGGTCCTCGTTCGCAAGGAACATCTCGCCGGCGCTCTGGCCGTCGGGATGAACTGTCTCGAGCTTGTGTATGACTGTTGAGGCTTTCATGCTGCGGTGGGGCGCAGAATGCGATGTGTGTAGTGTGTAGTGGGCAGCAAGTGTGTACTCGCTGGCTTATGCATCCCGGGCTTATCCGTCCTCGCGACCGCTGGGCTGTTGTTGTGCGATGTGCGCTGTAGGTGCCTGCGATAGCCACGGTCACGAGATCATGAATGGGTGGAGCCGTGCCGTGAGATGGCCGATGCGACCGGGCCAGTCTCGCTTAATGCATCTTGACCAGCTGATAGCCTAAGCGTCGTCCAATGGGGCGGGTTTCGTGCATTCCCCATTGTGCATGAGCAGACAAGCGAAGTGAGACTGCCAGCATCAACGAGCGCGGTTAGGATCAATAGAGACAGAATGCAATGAGCCTGATGAGCATGATGAGAACGTGTTGAGAAGATAAGGTATCAACAGCAATGAAATAGCGTAATACGGAATGCGATAAGGAACCCGTCTCTGCCGAACAGCCAACCGGGCTTGCCGGTGCTGTGTCCGGCGGGGGCCGCGCGAGCTGCCGTTCGCCGCTGCCCCTGGAACGTCGGAGGTGGCCGGTGAGAGGAGGGCACTGCGCGATAGGCAGATGACGGCGGGTAGAAATGGGGACGAGCAGAGCGTACAGCAAGCTGCACCAGAGAGCGTGCAGCAGATGCTGCACGCCACGGTGTCTGCAAGATCGAATGAACCGAGAAGAAGGAGATTTGGCATGCGGAATGGGCGAGATTGACGGGATTCTCAAGAATCTCCGCCTCCTCCACTTCCACCTTCAGCTTCGACTTATCGTCTGATCATCTTGTCATCGTGCATCTTGTCTCGGTGCTTCGCGGTTTTCCGCTGCTCGTGCAATCGCACATTCGTGCTAACATCCTTCGAGCATTCAAGCCCGTCCACCCTTACTCCACCTTCTGATCACAGCACCTCAGCCATATCAATCTCCAGGACGACCCCTCACAACCTTACAACTCTCGACTGATCAACTGATACGTTGCCCGCGGCCAAAGCTATTCACATCCACCACAAGTAGTCCTCTGGATGTTACATTCAGGTCTTTTTATGCGAGGGCACACAAGAGGGCGCAGTGCTGAGGGCTCGGATCCAGCCGAGCAGTGGTGTCGGTGGATACGATCAGTCCTCGGGGTATCGAAGCCCACAATCTACGAAGGTTTGGCTCACTTTCAGATTGTGTCATCGAGTTGCGTGGCTTGACAGTTAGACACCGGCGCTTTCAATTGGCAAGATGGTTGGGGTCTACAAGGTGGGGAGGCTGCCAGGCCTCTGCACGACACACTAAGCCACGTTTTCCTCGCTGTTCCCGGAGTGGCACAAATTCCCTCAGAAGCTCGCCGCTTTCGGCACGCTTTTCCAAACTGGAGGGTTGGACAGTCATCTGCATGCGGGAAAGAGGTGGGACACCCACGCTTTGGCACTGTGACCACCACGAGTTGAGAGCTCACTCAGAGCCTGTCCACAAGTCACATCGCAATGTATTTACCGCCCTTCCCTCTAAGCACAACTTGGCACTGCGCCTTGGTTCACAAGATTACCAAAGGCTACAAACAAAAGGCGATACATTGTGCTGGCTGTGCGCAAAGTTATCTCTCAAGGCGATTTCCGAGGACGTACGGTCGGGGCATGAGGCACTGTCCACCATCATGATTCACTCGATTCTTGGGTTTGGCTTCGACACAAGGGCACAACACTCTGGGCTTTCCTCCTCCCGGCGGGACACTGCGGTTCACGCCGCCCGTCCTCGAGGAGGAGACGGGCCTGTTTTGTGATTGGGCGGCGCCCCAGGATCCACTTGGCGTGACGCCGCGGATGTGCTTCGGTGATCATATACTTAGGCATACCTTGTTCACCCTCGCCACTGCAAACTGAGGGCGGCGAGGGAATGTGCTACCATGCGAGACTGTATGGCTCGGCGGCGCTGAGCCCATAAGACCTGCCCACAAGCACTGCAACTCTCTACGCAAGTGTTAGTTTCCCTTACGAGTTCTGCGAGAACGCATTATGATGACCGCCAGCACTGAGAGTCCTCTAGCTTATGCAACTCCTCCTGCCGCCCACGTCGCACCAAGTCGAGAGACCAAGTCGAGGGTATTCTCCGACACGTGGTAGACATGCGGGTACACATTTTTATTGTGCATGCGACGTGGCTCTGCAAGCCGCATACGCGTACCAAGCTCGCAGCCGCCGGCGGTTGGTTGGGGTCAGAAAATATCGGGCCTTCCGTGTCGGCTTCTGCCGGATAATCTCATCGGATATCCGCGTGCTAATGCCCACTTCCTTCCATGCCCACCGCTCGGCCTACTGCGCGCGTCTCTCGCTTCGTATTTCGCACTGTCACCTCGCTTGCATTAGGAACGAGGAATGTAGATGCGGGCCTGCGAGCTGCATACTTGGGGAAATGGACCTTCAGGTCGTGTGGGCATGTCGGGACATGTTGGTACATGCCGCAACGTGGTCCGGCTGCATTGTACAATTTGCCGATGTCCTGGGCATGGAGACCCCACACATGACGGCCCTTCTAATTTCCATCCAACCACTCGAGCGCTCCACATCGCTCTCCCCCTCCCCCTCCCCCTCCCCCTCTCCCGCCACGAGCCCTCGCCGCTGCAGACGCAGATGCAGGCCCGTATCTGAGCCAAGCCCGGCCCGGCTCTGTGGTTCCGAGATTTTGTGCCCGGCCCACTGCCGATCTCTCCCCGAACCGACCTTCTTGAGCATTCTTTGAGGATGGAAGTCTCGTACCATCACACACATCATGGCGACGACGACAGCATCCAAGACGCGCACGATTGAGGAGTGTGAGAGTGCGCGGCAGGCGAGCGCTGACGCCAGGCGACGCGCTCCTCACGGCGCCGGGCATGCCGTTCGAGATGGTTGAGATGGACATTGAGGGGCGGCGCATGCGTGCATGGAAGAACGTGAGTACGGGTGACTAGTGGGCTGGAGGCCTGTAGCCTGTTGCGAGAAAGTTACGGTGTGGCGAGCGGGCGGAGCGAACGGAGCGCTGATCTCAGACCCCTCCATCCTTCCGCGCCTACCTCATTCCGAAATTCAAGGAGTTTGCCGAGCGCCAGATGATTTCGTCCCCGCTCCCTCACCCCGCCGAGTACGACGCGCGCGAGCGCCTCACCTACGCGGAGGTGTATCAGCTTGCACTGAGCTACGCGGCATGGATGCGTGGCCTGGGGGTGGTTGCCGGCGACCGCGTGGCTGTGGGCGGGCGGAATTCGACCGGATGGCTCGCCACATGGGTCGGTGTGCACCTGCTCGGCGCTGTCCCCGTGCTCCTTAACGACCTTCTGTGAGTCTACCATCGACACCGCTGATAGTAGCACGGACGATGCGCAGACGCACTGCCTCGGCATCACGAACCCCAAGCTTGTGCTGGTGGATGAGGCGCTCGCGGCCAAGGTCGGCCCGCTGCGCGCCGAGCTGTCCAAGCGCAACGTCGGCGCCGTGTACTGCTGGTCGAGCGTGGACCACCTGTCCAGCACGGCGCGCGCCGGTGTCACCGCGATCGACCTCTCGGCCGCGCGCCAGGCAGACAAGGACGCAATCCACTCTGGTGTCGGCGGCGGTCTCGAGGGCCTGCACCAGTTCTCGGATGGCTGCATCTTCTTCACGTCGGGCACGACGGGATACCCGAAGGCGGTGATCTCGACGCAGCGGGCCGGGCTGCACAACGTCATCTCGGCGCTTGTGTCTCCCGCACGAATGTTCCTCCGCATGGGCCTGTCCGTCGCCGAGATGGGTGCGATGATGAGCGCGCCCGCGCCGCAGAGCGTGTCCCTCATTTCCATTCCCCTCTTCCATGTCACGGGCAACCTCGCCAGTCTGCTCGGCACAATCGGCAAGGGCGGCAAGATGGTGTTCCAGCGCAAGTGGAGCGTCAAGGATGCCGTCAAGCTCATCCTCGAAGAGAAGGTGACGAGCATCGGCGGCGTCCCTGCGATCGCGACGGCGATCCTGCAGAGCCCCGACCTGCCGAAGGACTACCAGTTCGCGGCGGTGAGCTACGGCGGTGCACCCCCGCCCTCGCGCCTCGCGCATGATCTCAAGAGCCGCTTCCCCGCCGCCTTCGTCGGCCAGGGCTGGGGCATGACGGAGACCAACGCCGTCGTGTGCCACCTCAGCGGGCCAGACTACGTCGCGAAGCCGACGAGTGTCGGCGCGCCCATCCCCATCTGTGACATCAAAATCGTGGACCCCGAGACGCGCCGCGAGGTGCCCCGCGGCTCGTTCGGCCTCCTCCTCTCCCGCGGCGAGGGCAACATGCGCGAATACCTCAACAACCCCAAGGCGACGGCGGAGACGATCGATGCTGAGGGCTACGTCGACACGGGCGACATGGGCCACATTGACGAAGAGGGCTTCCTGCACCTCGGCGACCGGATGAAGGACATTATCATCCGCGGCGGCGAGAACATTGCTTCGGCCGAAGTCGAGAACGCGCTCGCGCTCGACGACCGCCTGGCCGAGGTCGCGGCCGTCAGCGTGCCGGACGACGTGCTTGGCGAGCGTGTCGGCGCCATCGTGTCGCTCGCGCCCGGCGCCTCCGCCACCGAGGAGGACGTGCTCGCTGCAGTCTTCCCGCGCCTCAGGTATCCCGCGCGCCCCGTCATCGTCGTTGTCCACCCCGAGCCGCTCCCGCGCAACGCGAACGGTAAGATCGTCAAGACCGACTGCCGCAAGATCGTGCGTGACATCTACGCGTCCCGGCCCAAGATCCACGACGCACCGCGCGCCAAGCTTTAAGCAGGGCGTGAAGGGCGACTGGGGGAAAAAAGCAGAGGAGAAGTCTATAGAGGGATGGGGCCACGGCCGTGGCAGCGTATGACAAACGGGTGTGCATATTAGCCTTCGGGAGGTATGGATCTAAGGTCTAGGTTTGGCAGTACTTTTCAATCGTTCTCGGCAATCTAGTTTGAATCTTGCACAACTAGTGCGACCCGCAGTGGACAGAGCCGTCGGCGTGCGTGTGGCAGTCGGTGCCGGACGCCTGTGCGGCGGCTGGCGTCGGTGCCGCCTCGGACGTGGCGGGAGCTGCAGCCTCAGACGAAGTGGCGGGGGCGGGCGGCGAGCTCTGAGCCGGTGCGACGGCGGGGGTAGACGCAGAGGAAGCAGGCGCTGGGGCAGGCTTGTCGGCAGGCTTCTCGTTCGCCTTGCCCGCAATGTCGCCGACGCAGGCGTCACCGCCCTGCGCGACCTCGAGGGCGTACACGTGCGCGGCAAAGTACTGGACGGCGTCCGAGTCGATGGGAGAGTAGGTGCTGTTGTCGCGAGCGAGGCGGATCACATCCCCAAGGTCCTCGGCATAGTGCGAGATCGCCTCGTTACCAAGGACGTGGTACAGTCGGTGACTAGATCAGTGTTTAGCCGACAGGTCAACTCACATGAGGTCGACGGACCAGTAAAGGCTGGGCTTCTGCTCGGCGAGCACGAAGCCGTTCATGCAGAACGCGGCGTTGTACACGCGGTCGGTGTAGCTCGCGGGGCAGATGACGGTCTCGAGCGTGGCGTTCTCGCCGCGCCAGTGGCCGCGCCAGCCCGGCTGATGGCAGTTCTGGCGTCAGCTTGGTCGAACGGCTTACGCACCCCGTCGGGGTCGTCGCAGCGGAAGATGACGCCGTCCTTGTTGCTGTCGAGGAGCACGTCGTACGCGCCCATGGCGGCGGGGTAGGCCTCCTTCTTGTCTCCAAAGTAGAGCTTGAAGACAGGGTCCGATGGCCCGTTCGTGGCGATGTAGTCCTTGGCAAAGGCTGCGACTTCCATCGCCTCCCTGCTGTTAGCGCGGCCAACGGCCAGACGGACTGCAGGCCCTTGCCGATCATGCGGCGCTGCGGAGTGCTGCAGCTCTCGTGGATAGTGATGTCTGTCACGCGGTGCTTCATGTCGCGTCGCGAGAGACGGTCGAGTGGCGCCGCGAAGGCCGAGGCGGCGAGGGCGAGGAGGATGGCGAGCATTGTGAGGCGAGCGCGAGGGATTTGGGCCTTTGGTTCTGAGAGGCTTTGGGAGCTTGTGTGCGGACACACTCGTCGGCTCGGAGATGCTTATATGCGCCGAGAGAGAGGAGAGAGCCGCATGCATGACTGGTCAGAACCGTATGCTGCGAACCGCATGCATGACCGTGACCGCCATAGCGCCAGTCCTCTGACTGTTGATCCCCACGCCGAGCCTTTTGTTGGATGGGTCGGTCGTGGCTAGTTGCACCGATGACCGCACCGGTCGCATAACGCATAACGCATAACGCGTATGAGTGGTGGAGTGCCACATTCGGCCAAGCCAACGGAGGACGGAGGACGGAGGACGGAGGATGGAGGATGGGGGGTGCCACAGTCCGAAGAGGTCGTGATGACGTCATGGATTAGAGAGTGACCGGTCGGGTACTCTGGATCTGGGTGGACAAAAAGTCTTGGCAGAGGCAAGCACGTGACCTTTGGGCACTCGCTGCCCCCGGATGATAATCTGCAGGAATCCAAGAATTCCAGGAAATGACCGCAAAGTCCTCTTTAATCATATGTCCTCTCTTTCGTCGGCCACCGCTGCCACTGCTGCCACTGCTGCCGCCAAGATGAACATGTCTTTCATTTGTCTCACTCCTCTCACCTCTCTAGTCCGCTCTCTTTTTCTCTCCTCCTCCATCAGACACCTCACTCGACATCACTTATCATCTCTCCAACTTTGGCCCGTACCTGACATCTGGTCTTCTCAACTCTCGCGTCTCTAACGCGTCGGATCGATCCTCCCATCTCCCCCAACCACAACACCCAGTAGCCAGCCACGATGCGCTGCGCCGCCCTCCTCGTCGTCCTCGCCGCCTCGGTAGCCCGCGCCCAGAGCCCAACTACCACCTCCTCTGCCTCCCCCTCAATCCCCAGCCCAACCGGCCGCGGCGAGTGCACATGGCACATCAATCACTGGGATTGCGAGCAGTCTGCGTCCTCAGCCTCGGCCGACGACCACGACGACCACGAGGGTCACAGTGACGAGGAGCATTCGGCGTCCGGAACAGCTGCAGCTGCCGCCGCTGTCCCCTCCCCAACCGACCGCGGAGCATGCACTTTCCACGTTGACCACTGGGACTGTGAAAAGGCCGCTGGCACAAGTGCTGCCGCGAGCGGCCCTGAAGCCGAGGCTGAGGCCGCGGCAGCGCGTGGCGAGTGCATCATCCACGCCGGACACACACATGGCGACTGTTCCGAGGCGCAGCTTGCGTGCGGCGCCGTCCTCCTCGAGCACTACGACATGCCGCTGCACATCGGCGCCGTCTTCATCATCCTCGTCACCACTGCCATTGGCTGCTTCGTCCCCATCATGACCGGGTGGACCCGCCGCAACGACAAGCTCACGGGCGCGCTGGACGCGTCCTCCTTCGGTCGCGACGTCGGCTTCCTCGGCAACGTCCTCTTCATCGCCCGCCACTTTGGTACCGGCATCATCCTCTCCACCGCCTTCATCCACCTCCTGTATCACGGCTTCTTGATGTTCAACAACAAGTGTCTCGGCGAGCTCGTGTACGGCCCCACCTCCCCTGCCATCGCCATGGCTGCGGCCCTCGTCACGTTCCTCTTCGACTTCCTCGGCGGCCGCACCGGCCACAGGCGGCTCGAAGCCGCGCATGCGGCCGGCACGAGCTCGCCCGACACGGCCAGCGGTGACGAGGAGAAGAACGCGCGCGCTCCCGTCGTCTTCGACACGGGCTGCTCCCACGCCGAAGCCGTCTTCCGGCAGGAGCAGGACTGGCAGGTCCTCCTCCTCGAGGCGGGCATCCTCTTCCACTCCATCATGATTGGCGTGACGCTCGGCGCCGGCTCCGGGCCTGGCTGGACGACGCTGCTCATCGTCATCGTCTTCCACCAGTTCTTCGAGGCCGCCGCCCTCGGATCCCGCATCGCCCTCCTGTACTGGATCTCGCGCGCCCGCGCCCTCGTCATGGGTGCCGCGTTCATTCTTATTACCCCCATCGGCGTCGGCATTGGCATTGGCGTCCGCAAAAGCTTTGCTCAGAACGGCAAGGCGTCCCTCCTCGCCATCGGCATCCTCAATTCGGTCTCCGCCGGCATTCTCATGTACACTGCATTCCGCCTCCTCTCGGGCGACTTCACCGAGGGACCCCTCCGCCGCGGCAAGTGGAGCGCCGTGGTCGCCTCCCTCACGGCCATGTTTGTCGGCCTCATCTCCATGAGCATCCTCGGCAAGTGGGCGTAGGCGTTCATGCGGCAGTAGTAGAGCACGTGTCGGGGGTAGTAATGTCTTAGATATGACTCGCACGCATAGACACACAATGTATCCATCCTATTCTGTGACGGATTGCTGGGTGGAGTCTTGGCAGGAGACATGGTGACTGACTTTGTGGAGTGCGGAGGAGCCCGTGCGGGGCCAGCAATCGACTGTTGGTTGGCACCATCCCGCCCCATCACCTCGCACGCCCGGTCGCATCCCAAACAACATACCATTCTCACGGATAGCGCCAACCACGGCGCAATCGACGCAATCTGCAGTCTCACAGCCTCGCATGCGTCCTGCTTTCCCGTTGGCTGAAGGGTCGAGAGAGAAAACAAAATACTGAATTGCAGTGAAACAACGACCAACTTGCCCACGCGGTCCTCGGACAGATCCGATCACATGACGAAGCGCGAGCAGTCGCATACACCCGACCACTTATCGGTATCTCCCATCTCTTCTCCTTACATTTCATCATCACCGCGCCGCCCTGTCCGCGCCGCCGCCATGCCATTCGACGAGCACGCCGAAACGGCGTCGCAAGCCAAGCGCCGCCGCATGCGCTTCTCCCGCTCCCGCTTCGGCTGCGACGCCTGCAGGCACCACAAGAAGAAGGTGAGCTCTGCCCATGCCGCTTGGGCACACCGTTCCGCATGCCCAAGTCTATCCCACTCCCTTGCTGACACTAGTGCGACGAGACGCGCCCCGTCTGCGGCCGGTGTAATGCCCTCCGCAAGGTCTGTGCTTACAGCGGCCCACAATCCGGGCGGCCGGCCGGAGACACGCCGCCCGTGTCATCGGCGCTATCGAGCCCGCCCGTTCCCATCCCCAGTCTTCCCAGTCTCTCCAACCTCTCGCCCGCACTCACCAGTCTTCCGGACCTCCCCATCGTGCCGCGCGTCGCCGTGCCTGCACCCGCGACGTCGACAGGACCCCCCGAAGACGCGGCCGCCGCATTAGCCGAATATGTCGAGTACGTCAGCCACACCCCGCGTATCTGACACAAGCGACTCGTTCCTCCGCGCGTTCTCGTTCGCGACTGACGTCGCCGTGCCGCCGTGGACGCCACCGGACGCGACCCCGCCCGGCTCAGAGTTCGAGTCGTTCTGGAACGCCCTGATCGGCTCGGCCGGCAGCGACGACCCGCGGTCAACGGACCGCACGCTGATCGAGTACTACCGTCTCGTGGTGTCGCCCACAATCTTGGGAATAGAGGATGGACCGAGTGAGTTGGCCGCGTCTCTCTGCCTTTCCGCTGACCCAGACTGCGCGAGCCAGTTCTACAAGGGCGTCGCGTCCACTGCGACCGAGGACGACCAAGCCGCCATGATGCATGCCGTGCTCGCCGTGAGCGCGCAACACTTGTCGAACTTTGCGCGTGCGTTCAACAACGTCGACAAGGCGATGAGCTTCAACGAGCAGGCGGCGCACCACCGCTCCGAGGCGCTGTACTTGCTGCGCGTGAGCGGAAGCGTCGCCGACGATAACTCAAACGAAGCGCTGCTCCCCAGCGTCACACTACTCCTTACACTCAGCGCGCTGCTCAAAGGCGACCCAGACATCATCCCTGCTTTTCTCGAGCAGACGCAGATGTACCTCGACGCCATCAAGCATCCATCTCCTGCCCCACATCTGCCAACCATTTCTGCAATCTATTCAATATACCGAGTCCTGCAAGCCGTTGCGTCCAGTGAACAGCTCGATCTTGCACTTGTATTCCAACAACACGACCCGCACGAGACGTGGCTGCGCGTGGCCGACGAGACCGTCGAGCGGCTCGTGGGCATCGTATGTCCTTTTAATCCCAAGCTCACACCAGCCGCGCGAAATGCTTGTCCTCTTTGGGCGCGTCAACAACCTGGTGCTGGAATGGCGTGCGCTCGACGACGCGCTCGCACGCATAGAGCTACGCTCGCAAGCCTCGATGATCCAGCACGACCTCGAAGACGAGGGCATCTGGGCGGCGCGCTGGGCCGCGTCTGACCGTAAGCCCGCCCCGTGTCGTGTCTCATCCCAGCACGCATCAGCGCCGGGCTCGAGTTCTTCCGCGCGGCACTGCGCATCATGATCATGCGCGACGTAATCGGCCTGCCTGCCACACATCCGCGCGTGGAGCGGTGCGTGGGCTCGCTGCTCGCCGCGATTCCCCGTGTGCGCACAGGCACAGAGATCGGGCTCGTATGGCCATGGCTCGTGCGTATCTGCACTGGACGCGCTGACCCAGATCGTCGCGGCTGAGGCACAGCCGCCGCGCCACGACGCGGTCCGCGCGTTTATCCGCCGCTGTCAGTGGAAGGGCTCGGCGCCGCCACGCATCGCAGAGGCCGTCGTCCAGGAGGTATGGGAGGCGCGCGCGGCCGGGCGCAACATGGACTGGCGCAGCGCCATGGTCGCGCGCGGCTCGCCGATGGTTATTTAGGGGCAGGTATGGTGTTGTATTGCGTACAGGACATGTAATCGGCCTCTGGCATAGCGGCAGTCATTGAGGCCCACCACGGGGCCGTCGACGGAGGAAGCGCTGGTGTCGGATGCTGTTTTGACGCCTGACTTGCGGCGTTGGCCTACCCCTTTCAGTGCGCCTGCGCCTGGCCATGCTCGCTCACTCTCCTCCAACCGCGCGATCTGGGAAGCTGAGACGTTGCAAGTGAGGCATGTGCGGAACATGGAACACATGATCCCACGTGTGCTAGTTCGTGTCACGTGCCTATCTCTGGACGAGATCAGAAGAACTGAGGGCTTGAGGGATGCATGCTTCCGAAGCGAGACGCCTTTAGTTCGTCTCGAAGCTCCCTCTTCCAGTCCACCGCGCAAGCTCCCAGCATTTCAGCTGCATCCGCATCAATATCTAACAAGCTCGCTGTACGACTTGGGGAGTGGGGTCGTAGCGTAGGTACACGGCTTTGCAGCTGAGCAGTGTGAGTGCAAAGAACGCCGGACAGCTCGAACCGAGGCGGAGGCAAATGCCGGCAATATCCAACCGGCCACCTCGATCTCCGCCATCACTGTACTTCTCATCATGTTCGAGCTTCCGCCTAAGCGCAAGCGCGGCCGATCTCCGGGCACGGATGCGCGCCCGAGCGGCGTGCATAAGCGTGGGAAGCGGATCGTGTCGCTCCTCGCCACGCTCCAGCGTGCTGACGAGCCGGAAGACGATGCGCAAGCACCCGCGCTTCTCGGCGTGCCCGGCCTGACGCGGCAAGCACTGGACGGGTGCGTGGTGGCGTTCTTCGGCGGGCCACACCACACGCTACGCCTCTCGCAGCCCGCAGACATCTTCGCCCGCCGCGTCCGCGTGATGCTGTACGAAACTGCCGGCCTCGAAGTCCCCAAAGACTTGACGGGCATCGAGGCGTCAAGCGAGCTGCTCGCACTCGCCGTCGCGGCACTAGGGGCCGGCGGCGCAGACGGCGCCGCGCCAGCGCTCGAAGTTGCACTCCGCGAGCGCTGCCTCGACCTCCTCACCGACGCAGAGTATCTCGCCGAACCTAGCCGCAGCGTCGACGCCGTGGAAGCCGCCAACCTCCTCGCCGAAACAGGACCACACGCCACAGGCATCTCCCACCTCGGTGCCAACCCTCTCACGCTTGACGCGCGCGGGCGCGCATATCCCCCCGAGCTTGCGCTTTACCACGGGCTGAACATGCCACGCCCCAGCACGGCTGCTGGTGCCGACGAGCGGCGCCGCGAAGATGTCTTTTGGGCGGTGTGGGCTGCCGACGCGCTGCGCGCCACATGCGTCGGCGCACAAGCCGCGCTGGCGGACACGGACGTGGGGTGGCGGCATCCGCCGGACGACGGGGTCGTACCTCTCGCGCGCGCGGCGCGCCTCATTAGCGCGCGGCTATTGAGCGCACGTGCGCGCTGCACCGGTCTGCGGAACGAGGACGTGCGTGCAGCCATCGCGGCGCTGGACGCGCTCGCACGCGCCACACCCGCCGACCTGGCGTGGCTGCGCGCAACTCAAGATCCGGCAGGTAAGCTCCCCCGGCTGCCGGCGCTCACGCAGCGCCCGCGACGATGGCGGCGCTCGCCGCGCGCAACACGCTCTACATCGTGTGCTGGGCTGCGGCGCGCGCCGACGCCGCCCAGCACCCCCGCAAGCTGTCTGCGCGCACGCTCGAGGCGGCCGAAGCCGGGGCGCTGCATGGCGCAGACGACATGCTCGCGCTCGCGCGCACCGCCGTCGAGCGCCGTCTGCCCGTGCCGCCCGTCGTGGCGGCGCGGTGTGTCGCCGCCGCCGTGTTCCTCATACACCGCGTCGCGGAGGACACGCACAAGGCGCGGCCGGGACGCGCCGGCTTAGTCGGAAACGCTGAGGCGCTCGTCAAGAGCATCGCTGGCATGGCGAGTTGTCCCGACACCCCGTCTGTCGTCGCGGCACTGCGCGATGCGCTCGCCGCCGCACAGGCGCCGGACGCGCAACCGGCACTCGTCGCCGACCTCGTGGGCGTGCTTGCGCAGCACGGCGTCCAGACACCGTTTGGCGCACTCGAAATATAGTGTACAATTATACATGTAGCTAATATCACTAGGGGACCTCGGAGAGCGAGCCGGGCAGCTCGACGCCGCACTCCATCAAAGTGTTCATGAACGAGAACCAGTCGAGGTCCACGTTGCTGGTCGGATGGCTCGGGTCGAGCAGCAGCGTTGAGTCAAGAGGCTGGAAGGCGCCGGCGCGAGCCGCCGTGAGCGCGCTAGGCATGGTGCTTGCGCCTGCTGTAGGATATGGAAGAGCGGGGGCCGGCATGGCGTGCAGATCTCCGCTACTGGCGGTAGCGGTAGCGGCGGTGGTGTTGTGCGGGATGGTAGGCTTTCGTGGCGTCCACGGAGGTGAGCGGGCCGACGCCGAGTCGGGCTGCAGCATGCCATCCCGAGGTAGGTCTGTGGCCCCACTCGCGCTGCCGGCGCTCTGCAGCTCATGTGGCATGGAGACCAGCGGAACTGACGTATTGATAGGCTCTGGATCGCCCTCATACGCCGCGCTCCCTGCGGTCGACTGCTTCCGGGAGCCGCCCATATCCCGCACCGACGAGACGGCAGTAAGGGCGTCCAGCCCGCGCTCGGCGACGCGTGCTGCAACGCGAATGTCCACGCGCAGTCGCTTATGCAGCATCATAAGGAGTGTGTCCGCCAGCATCTCCGAATCGGGGTAGAAGCAAGCGCTGCGCACACCCCGATTAAGCTTCTCTGCGAGCGCATAGTACTGCCCGCTCTGAGCAACGCTGGGCGCGGCGATGCTCCCAAAATCGCGCAGGAGGAAGAGGGTGAACGCCGCGAAGTGGTTGCGCACGCCGCGAGTAGCGTACACGTGCAGCCGGTGGGCGGTGCTCAGCTCGGCTAGGCGCGCCATATCCTCACACGCGGCGGTCGTCGCTGATTTCACGTCCGCGATCGTGCCGAGGCTCAGCCCGCCGGGATGTCGGTCCATGTCCTCCTGCACCGCCACCCAGGTGACGAGGTAGAGCCAGTAGTGGGTCGATAGGATCCAGACGTACTCGGTGTGGCTGATGGGACGCGCGCCGTCGCGAGGGACCGAGGCGCTTCCGCCCCGCGACGGGTCGACGAGGGCTGCAAGCCCATCGACACTGATCCCCGTGCGCGCCCGCAGACTGCCGATGGCAGCGATAGCGTCCCCGACGTCGGCGTCACGCAGACCTAACCCCTTGGCGCGTGCGCTCAGCAGCGTCCGGCAGATTTGCCGCGTTACGAGCGTTAGCGGCACGTAGGCGAAGTCGTCACCGTTGACGGGCAGCGGCCAGCCTGTGTCGTCGTCCGTGATGCGGCACATGGTGTGTGCGCTCGCGCTCCGGATTGCGTCGTGCACCCACGCCATCGCGTGTAGCATCAATCGGCGGGTGAAGTCGGGCGCGTGCTGCGGCGGTGGGATGTGCACCTCGTGGTAGAAGAGGTAGTCGATGACTGCGCACTTGCCGAGCGGGTCGATGGCGCACGGCGAAGTCCGCTCGCCCATCTTGGCGTTGCGCGTGCGCACGCTCAGCTCCGACAACAACAGCAATGCTTCGACGACATCGCATCCATTCCGCGTAAGGTTCTCGGGGATGCGGAGCAGGTCGCAGCAGCGCCGATATATCGGCTCCGCGAGGGAAGCGTGCGGGCCGAAAGGTGCGCCGCGACACCCGACTGCTAGGACGAGAAGCTCGGTCGCGGGATCGTGTGCGACGTCCGCAAGCTCCGCGGGCACGTCGAGCCCCGCAGCGTAATACAACCGGACACGAGCGCGGCGCCAGAACACGTCCTGCGGCTGGCTCAGGCGAATGACGTGTCCGATCGTCGTGAAGAAACTTTCGATGCAGCTGTCGAGTGCCGCCCGTGTGAGGCCGGGCACGCCGAGCAACCGGGCGCGCGACGACGACGGCCGCCCGCGCGGCAGATGGCTTAGCCCTTGGTCGCCTGTCGGGTCGCCGGGCGGCGGCGAGCCTGGGGAGGGCGGCGGCGGCGGCGTGCTCGGCTTATACGGCGGGGCGGATGGTTCGCGCGACGACGCAACGCGCGGCGCCTGTCGAAGCACGCCTGCAAAGGCTTCGTCGAAAGCGGAGGCGGAGCCAGAGGCCGCCGCGGGCCCGGGCGCATTCGAACGCGCAGTCGGAGTGGCCTTACGCCCGGCCTTGATTCGGTGGCGCTGCCGCGGCGCTGTCGTGCACGGTATTCCGATTGAGGTGCAGAAAGCGCAGCCACTGGCGCCCTCGTCGTAGCGGCACTTGACTTTGCGGAGTCGGCAGGCATCACATGCGTTTCGCATGATTGTGAAACGAGAGGTGAGAGGGTGGAGGAGGGGAGGAGGAGGAGGAGGTAGAGCGGGCCTCGCGAAGAGAGGCAGTTGCAACACGACTCGAGCTGAACAGAGAGGAGTACCCTCACCGGCCGTGCTCTAGCCCGTTGAGGGGCAGAGCGTTGTGCAGTTGACGGTTGACGTGATGGAGAACAGCAACTTGGTGTGAGGAATGACAGCCGCCGGCAATTGTGGACACGAGCCGGTACACCGGATAGCCGGGTTACGAGTGAGGATGTGCGCGCTCAATTGAATCTGCCATGTCGGCATCGTCGACCATGGCGCTCGCTGCTGACAGAGTTCAGGAGAGCAAGCAAGCTGAGTGCTGCGCAAACGGTCGCGCTTGGTCGCGCTTGGTCTACGACTTGGGCTCATCAAACCTGAATGCCATTGTTACACTCTCTCCCAGCGCAAAGCCCCCAATCCACCAAACACCTACACATCGAAACTCTTCGCATTACGCTCTACATAGAACTGGATCCATGCCCTCTCCAGGGGACAAGCTACCACGGCACGTCACTGCTTAGCCAAAGAACTTCTTGAACTTGGAGCCAATCTTCTGTTTGGGTCCTCCGTCCTGCGCATCGTACTTGGTGTCGACCGCGCCGAGGAGGAGTTTCATCAGCCAGTCCTCAGGCGTCAGGTCCTTGCCTGTTTTGCGCTTGATCTCGGCCTGCTCCCACTCGTAGTTGGATGTGACGTCGACAAGGCCGCCGATAGCACTGTCGTCGTCGAGCTTAGCCAGGAAGTCCTGCGCCGCCTTGTCGTTGCCGACCTGCGCAAACTGGAGCGACAGCGCGTCCTCGCCGTACCGCGTCTTCTTGAGCGCCTTCTTCGTGTCCTTTATAACATCACGGATCTTGCTGGCGGGTTCGGGGTACGGCTCGCCGTCCGTAATCGAGATGACCAGCACGGGCTTCTGGAGCGTACCCTTCTGCGCCGGGCGCACAATCAGCGGGTCAAGCACCTTGCCCCACATCTCCTTGCCGAGATTGGTGACACCCTTGAATGGGTTGGCCTCAACGAGCTTCTGAACGTCGGCGTCGTTCTTGATGCCGCTCCCCATGGCGCTCGAGTTGAGGAAGCGCACTTCGATGCCGTCGGCGTCGAAGAGGCTCGCGACAAAGGCAACGTAGCTAAGGATACTAGTGTCAGCACAACACGGCACTTGGCAGCGTACACCTTGAGATCCTCGATACGCGCACCCTCCTCGTATCCGCGCATGGACCCCGAATCGTCGAGGAAGAGCACGATGTCGAACAGCGCGAGCTTGGTCTGCCGTCAGTGCCGCCTTAGAACACACCCACAAACTCGAGCGCCTTCTCAGTAGGGATGCGCCAGCGGGCGGCGAGCTGCGACACGGCACGCGTCTGGATAATGTGGTTGGCGATGCCCTCGAGGCGGCCCTGCTGCGTCGCCGGATAGAAGGCCTGAATACCCTGCTTTCGCGGTCAGCACAAACACTCGGGCCGTGGGATACGCACGTCTGCCACAGTGTGCTTCAAGATTGCCACGATCTGCGCCATGCTCGGCTCGGTGGAGGTGGCCTGCGCAGCAACATGGCTCGGCGGGGGGCCGGAGGGGGACGAGAAGTTGGGCGGCGCGCCGGTGGGCGCTGCGAAGCCCGCCTGGTGGCCGGGAGGGGGGCCGGTGGGTGAGGCAAAGTTGGGGGGCGGGCCGCTCGGCGACGCGAACTGTGCGCCGCCCGCGCCGGGAGGGGGGCCTGCCGGGCTAGCGTAGCCGCCCGCGGCACCTGGGGGTGGGCCAGCGGGCGCCGCGAAGCCCCCGCCGGGGGCGAGGGCGTCGTTGCGCTGTTTCATGGCTGAGGCGAGACCCATGGTGAAAACTGTATGAAGAAGTGAGAGGGAATGAGAGGATGGGAGATGGAAGAGGGGTTGGATGTGGTGAGCACACGTTGTGTACATGCCAAGGAAGCCAATTCGCCAAGACGTCATTCCTCCAACTGCGACACCAGAGGCTGTGCAGCCCACCACAGCAAGCGCCCTTCGTCTGCGCGCTTGTCGCCACCGACCACGCACTCATGTGCATGATCCAGAAGCTGTTCTCTGCTAATCTCAGCAGCAAGTGCTCACATGTGACGATGCGTGGAATACAGGATGCGGATCGATGTTGATCGAATTGGGAGCCCCACAATGACAATGTGCTTGAGCAGAGGTGGCTTGTCTGCTGAAGCGAGAAACCACGAGGTCGCTAGGCCCCAGCCTCCCCGATCTCCCAGCAGCAGCCAAGCTGAGGAGCAGCCAACGAGAGGTGCGCAAGTAGGACACCGTGCGCGGTGGAAATCTCATCGTTTCCAGGTCCAGGCCAGTTCTTGGCTCTCTGCTCGAGACACATGTTAAGACCTGCTTGTCGCACGTGCCTTGGGAGTGTGAGGCAGTGGAACGGTCTGTTGATCGGTCCTCCATCATGCCCTTCAGATGTCGCCATTTGCTCACGGGCAACTTGCAGGACCGGTGCGCGCATCATTATAGCCTCGAGCAGGCACTGTCGAACCCGGTCTCCAGACGTTATCGACTTATCGAGTCAGGTACCTGTGCGCACTAAGTCGCCCAAGGACTCAATGTCCCGAAATACAACCTTGCGCGTCTCGTGCTCGCCGTGCTGTCCCGCTCACCCTCGATGCTTGCTGAGCGCGGAGTAAAACGTGGCTGATAACGGACTAGAAGCATGTCAGGTAGATGGATGGGCTGACGTAGTGATAGTCTTGAGCGCGATGATTGGACTCGGAACTGCCGAGAGCGGGCCCGGCTCTGGAAACATCAGAGACGGATCTGTCCGTATCTTCGGCAGCACGGCGGTGGGGGCGAGCTGTCCTCCGCCATTCCCTCTCGGGCAGCGGGCAAGATGATGGTCGAAGGCGAAAGTGATGGATAATATCTGTGTCTTCGCTATCGTCTCCTCATTTTCTCTTCCCATGGTGTATCTGCCATCACACCGACGCTGCATTGGGAGGTGGCCTCCGATGCAGATGCGCCACATCAGCGCCACCCACGTACCACCCTCGACCAGCACATCATTCTGCACATGCTGTGCATGCACTCCCGCGCGGTCTCCATCTCATCCCGATCTCATGCCAAGTAGAGGATTTCGCTGGCGTCCATCAACAATCCTTCGGAGCTCTAAAAGCCTCACGTGACTCTGAGGAGATCATCACTTTCAAGCATCTCGCATGCTTGCTGACAACAGCTTCCGCACCCTCCATCACCACGCTCTTCCGATTCACCCGCGATCCCGACAACGGGCTCGAGCATTATTGACCTGACAACGTTGGAATCAAGGGGCGCCTACGAGCAACGAACCTCGATCGGCTAGCCACTCACGCGACCAACGCATACGACCCACCATTTATCTGCTCGGAACGACGTGCCTAGGCGCCGCTCACCTCGCTTGCGGCACATTCCCAGGCCTCTCAAACAAGTTTTGCAGCTTGCCCGATCCACGCTCGCAGCAGTGGCACGGGTCCCCGGCGCAACCTTTTGCCGGACAAGGCGCAGTGCACAGGTCATCTGCATCGCGGATGTGGGGTGCCCTGGGGCTCACAAGGTCAGGTGGAGACCCGGCTTGGCAATGGTTTACCCTGCTCATGCTCGGAACACGACCACCATTTGCCACCCAGTGGCTGATGGCTCACGGTCTGCGGCTAACGGCTCAATCTTTCGGCCGTTGAGCACAAACGGTCATGAGCCAGTCGTTGGCGGCGCTGGGCGCGCTGGCCCACTTCCCCTCGCCCTCATCCCCTCCCCCACCTCTTCCCCTCGCCGCTGGCGACGGACATACCGCACACGCCCAGCCGCATGGGTGGCCTTCAGAATTGCCGTCAGACAATGGCAGCCCGCGCAGCTGCGGGCCACATGATTTGCTCGGAACGCGCCAGGGGTGCCCAGATGGTATTTCGAAAACGGCCCGGCGTTGCCGGGTGTGCGGCGTGCAAGCGAGGCGCCACGCCCCTTACGTGGACTTGTTGTGCTGGCAGCGATATTTTTCGACATCAGCATCGCCCGCGTTGCTGCCCACCGTGCGGGCGCGAAACCGGAGGCGGCATCTTGGCTTGGCTCGGAGCCAGTCCATGGTTATCTAGCAGCCGACCGCCGGAACAATGGCCTGATGACAGCATCTAGGCATCGGAGCCCAGGCCATGCTACGAGGCACGCACCGAACTCTCACTCCCTCGATCTCCCTGCTAGACACAGACGCCCCCTCACACGCTGTATCCAACAGCGGTTTGTTATCTAGTTTGCCGAAAGCACAAGCGCGGGGGCAGCGCCACACTGATTCTCCCGTGCGGGTGCAGGCAGGCTCTTGGCAGCCATCCTGGGAAATGACATTCTTCCCCTCTCCCCTACTCTCCCTCTCTCGCCCCGTCACCTCCCCTCCGCAATGCCATTCCTCGCGCCCCCCGCTGTCGCTGCACTCGCAGCAGCGAGTAAGCTTGCTAGCGTGTCGTTGTGCCTCACTCACCCCTGGCCCCAAACTCGAATACTCACACTGACACCGACCCAGCGATCCGGCGGTCCAGTGACAGGCTGGAGACTTTCCGAGCTCGACGAGCCCCGACCTCCCGACCGACGAGACCTGACCGCGGATTCATCGCTGGGACCTAGAGATCCTTCCGCTAGGCGCTGCACTTCCTGCGCTGGCTACACCTGACTCCTCAAACCTCCCTCCACGTCGGGCAGTTGTATAAGACGAGCTTCTTTGACACCGGCCCAATTTTTGTTCCCCCAAACAACCCCCGCAAGTCAATCTTGGCCTCCGCGGCTTCCGCACCACACGACTACTTAACACTCGCTCAACCCAACGCCCACGACCCCGATCGCCACGCTCATTCATCACGAAATGGCCAGCTCATCCACCGGCGACATGAAGCACGAGGACCGTGTGTTCGAGGAGAGGCAGATCGCCTTCGAGCCTGTCCCCGTCACAACCGCACCTGTCCCGGCGCCCATGACGCCTGCCAATCCGGCGACGCTTGGTGCGTAGTATCGCGGCGCGGCTGACGTCAGGCTACTTCTCGCTCGCAACCACGACACTCATGGTCGGCCTGCTTGTCATCCAGGCCCGTGGCGTCCCCGCACTCACCATGCTCGTCGGCCAGGTCCTCGCCGTCGGCGGCCTCGGCATGCTCATCTCCGGCCTCATGTGCTACCAGCAGGGCGCTACGTTTGCGACTACTGCATTTGGAATGTGCGTTTACTGGGAGAGTTTCCGTGATGGAGACAGGGCACGCACTGACGCGCAGGTACGGGCTGTTCTACATCTCGTTCGGCATCGTCCTCTGGCCCTCGTCCGGCGCCAACGCAGGCTACACCAACCCTGTGGATAACAACAACGCCCTCGGCCTCTACCTCATCACCTGGTTCGCCCTCTCGCTCGTCATGTGGCCCGTGACATGGCGCCTCAACATCGGCCTTGCCGTCCTCTTCACCCTCGTCGTCTTCTACTTCCTCTTCCTCGCCATCGGCTTCATGTCCGGCAAGACGGTCATCATTACCATCGGCGGCTACTTTGGCATCCTCGTCGGCTCGTGGGGCTACATCCTCGGCATGGAGACGCTCTACGCCACCGAAAACAACATCTTCAAGCTTCCCGTAAGTTGCACGCATGCCACACGCGCTGACCTGCAGAACCCTAGCCTGGCACCGAAGCCCCGGCACTAGGACATGGACGCGGAGACGGAAAAGGGACAAAAGCAGAGTCAGCAGTTATGACAGTTAGAAAGGCGTGAATATGCTCGCAGTAGTGTACTCACTCTTGGATTTGCGCATGTAGTTTAATGCTTCGCGCATGGTTGGAGTTTGGAGGTTCACGCCGCTGTTGCCTACCGTGGGCTTGTCACACTCCGTACCTGTCATACACGCAAGCGCCTTTGGAAGGCGCACCTCGTAGGACACCGCAAACTCTTGAACGCACAACATGTCTCTCTCAAGGGGGTTTAGCTGCCTCTTCCGAGCAATTCATGCGCCCCTTGCCGACCTTGCGGGTTTGGCAAGGAGACGTATGTGATCGTCCGGGCTGTCAGTTGTAATGGAAGTCGACGGTCATGTTATTGACCGCCTCTGTAGAGGTTGCTAGGTCAGTCAGCCTCCGGTCAACTCTCGTCGCTGCCATCCCTGGCGCAGTAGCCAGGAGCCAGCGCAATTGCCATTGTCCATAGGTACATCAAGGTGCGATGAAGGGAGCGTTTAGAATGCGACAAGGGCGGCCGCAGCAACAACAGCACCAACGGCCGCAGCAGGGCGGAGAACGCCGGCACCGCTGCCCTGGGACGAAGCGGCAGCGGGGGCAGCGGGGGTCGAGGCGGAGGGCGCGGCAGTGGACTGGACAGCCTGGGTCTGGAGTCAGCACATTGTGACGTCTTGACCCACCGAGGACGCCTGCGACACTGAGTAAGTCGCGTTGACGACACCCGAGGGGTAGGCGACGGTCGAGGGGAGCTGGACGGTGCCGGCGAACGACTGGGGGGTGCCCATGTCAATGCACTGCTGAACAAGCTGCTGCTGCGCGATGTTGAGGATGTCGATGTCGTGCTGAGCCATGCCCTGGGCGGGACCGTTGTTCACGAGGCACGAAGTGCAGACAATGAACTCGTTGTGGACAGATTGCTGATGTCAGCGACTGCAACACCGCAAGTATGAGGGCAATGAGATGGCGTCAGGCAGGTGCGGCATGTTCCCGATAGCGCGGTATGCCAAAACAACGTGGTGGCAATAGATGAGAGGCCAAATAACTCTCCACAATCCGTAACTGAACCTCCTACTGACAATCCTTCCCATCTCCCACGCTCTCCTCACTCACGTTGCAGGCCTTGGCGCACACAGCGTTGGACGGGTCGCCGGGGCAAGTGCCAAAGATCTCCTTGTAGGTCGCGCAGGGAGTGTCGCAGATAGAGGGGATGAGGGCGAGGTCGAAAGCGCCGTTGGCAGTCGACTGGGACTGGGTAGCCTGGCGGGCGGCAATAGCACGCTCAACGGCGCCGGCAACGAGGTAGGCGGGCGAGGCGGCGACAACTGTGGTCAGCGAGGGTGTGCGGGGGGAAGGGGCCAAACCATCAGGGGAATACGGAGGTACTCACCGGCGGCGGAGACGAGGAGAGCGGAGACGACACGCATTGTAGCGAGACTAATGTGAACGATAGAAGAAGAGGGGAGGGAGAGACAAGGAGTTGAGAGATAGGTGAAGAGAGATGAGAGGTGACTAGAGTTGATGAGGTGAGATGTGTGATCGGCGGGAGGAAAGATGGGAGGAGTACGAAGAGCCACCGTCGCGTGGAGCGCGTGCCAAGAATTGTGATGCTCAGGGCACACCGACGCGGTCTCCCGCTCTCCTCTTGCGCGCTCGCGCCCTTTCTCGAACATCTCCGGGAGCATGCCGCCAACGGAAATTCATGCTCTCGCGCAATTGTAATGGCGGCATGCTAAATGAGCTGTTCAAACGTCTCATGCATCGTCAACAAACTGCGCAATACTACTGTGCCCGACAACTTCTGATCTGTCCTTCGAACTGCATGCCGATCCCTGCCACTCCCACCGCACAGACAATCACGCTGCGGCCGGGCGCGCACCACGCGCGCGCTGCACCGCATCGAGCTGCATCTCGACCTCGGTGACAGTCTTGTGCCACTTCCACGCGGGCACCTTTTTCTCCTGGATGTTAGCGAAAAAGGCACCTGGGGTTGTGATACTCCTTCGCTACTCACGAAGAGCTCGTCGATCTCCGACGCTGACCGCCCCTTCGTCTCGGGGAGGTACAGCCACATGAGGATGCACATGGGCACGGAGAGGGCGCCGTAGACAAATGCCGCACGGAGATTGAGGGCTAGCAACATTGGTGGAGTGGCATAGACCGTGGCGATGCCGGTGACCGAGTTAGTGAAGAATGTGACCGGGCCAGTTTTGACTAGTGGTCAGCGAGGCTGAACCGCCAGCACTCACTCCGGAGCAAAGCAGATGGAAGTTCTGCAGAGTAAAGGTAGTAGCACATGCCGACGGACTGGTAAGTGAACTGCCAAATGCAGCAGATCACAAGCTGATGTGAGCGTCGCGCCCGTAGGAAGACTCACGAGGGCAGTGCCCGCCGCCTTGTTGCCGGTGGACGCGCCTGTCCAGTAAAGAGCGCCGACGGTAAAGCAAATGACGACGACGCATGTCTCACACACATTGACGATCATGCGGCGGCCGAGGCGGTCGGCGCTGAGCGCCCACAGCGTGATGGCGAGAAGTGCAACGCACGACAGGATAAGCGTGCCAAGGAATGGGTCCTCCATGCCGACAAGCGAGAAGAAGTATGTATTGTACGTGCTGATGATGGCGAGGCCGGCGAACTGCTGGCACACCGCCACGATCATGACGGTGAGCGTGCGGCGGCGGTTGATGCCCTTGAAGACGTCGCGGAAGCGCGGCTTGTTCTCGGCGAGCGTGGCCTTCTCGTGCTCGAGTGTGCGCAGAATGATTCCGTACTCTTCGTCGTAGTTGTACCATGAGATGTTACCGTAGAGGCGGCGCATCGCCTTGCGGGCCCCAGCCTCGTTGCCGCGCCGCGCGTAGTACCACGGCGACTCGGGTACGACGGCCCAACAGATGAGCATGAGGCCTATGGGGGCCCACAGTATGCGCATGGGCAACCGGAAGTCATCAGGGTATTTCTTGTTCAGCTGCTGCATCATCAAGCTGCAGATGATGCCGCCGATCGCGGTCCACACTGCCTGGAAGATGACCATGCCGCCGCGCACTTTGTCGGGGCAGATCTCCATCACGTAGACCTGGCACACAACCTGGAGTACACCGATGCCCGCGCCGTTGCATAGCTTGGCGATGGCCCAGACTGCAGGGGTCGTAGCGAAGTTCATGAGCATGCAGCCCTGGAGTCAGTGTGGCTAATCTCGAGCTCACAGTCATGAGCCACAACCATGCGAGGTAGAACGCGACCTTGCGCCCGAAACGATCTGCGACCCTGTCGTCAGCCACATCTGTGATACACTCACCATGAAATATGGGTAAACGTAACAATTTGACCGACATTGAGCATGGCACTCCACGTCGAGACTGGAATTAGCAGGTGCCATAGAAAGCACACCTACGCCAAGTCGGGTCCAGTGCGCGCACGCCCTCCTGTTCGCGCTGGCCAAACTGTCTAATGAAACCCCTGTTTGCAACAATCGTCCCGCCCGCATTGAGCTGCTGTCAGTCCAGCCGCATGTGTGGACGCACCTCGAATCCCTCGCACACATAGCCAGTATACACTAGGATGACGAAGAGGAGAACGCGCTTGAAGATCCAAAGCGTCTGCCAAATACTGAGGTGGTCGATGGGCGACTTCATGAGCCCCGCGCCGTCGGCTTCGGGATCCTTCTCGTCGCGCGTCTCAACATGATCGATCGCTGGCTTTTCCTCCAAGGCTTGGACGGACATGTTTGTTGAGGGGTGTGGGGCCTCGCCGGCCCCGGCCCCACTTTATACGGGGCCGCTGCATCTACTCATCGCGCGCAGCTAGGGTGATGGTGTGGTCGGTGCAATCCTACGCCGCTACTCTTGGCAGCGAGATCAGTGGTGCAGGTGGTGCAGCGCCCGTGCAGGGACGCCGAGGTATTTCCGCGAGGAATTCATCGCGTCGAGGCTGTTGTCTCAGCGTCCGAGGTCGGCGTCCCTTGACGTCAGCCTGGTTGGATCGGATCAGCTTTAACCCGGGTCATCGCTAGAACTCGGCGGCAATCCGTTGGGAAGTGGGCAATGTTAGCCTGCGTGGCGTGGGGTGTGGGGGCAGCGCGTGCCCACTTGCTGCGCGTGTAAATACGCCGAAGCCAAGCACGTGAGCGTTTATGCAGTGGCGGTTTGGAAGCGGCGCAGTTGCCTACCTTGATGTATAGATGGGATAATGTGGTGCCGTTTTTCGGCGGGGTGCTCGGGACGATTGACAGCTCTGAGGTGAAGAGGAGCCGAATCCCCATTGTCCGGCCGGACTCGGCAGTGGCAAGCATGTCTGGCGCAGAGGCAACTTGGCGGAGTGGTTAACGCGATTGACTCGAATGTCTTGAGACGTCGATCAATTTCCTTCGGGAGCGCATGTTCGAGTCATGCAGTTGTCGGTACGTGTCTGTTTTGACCCGGGAGTGGTCGGACGAAGGGGACAGCCTGGTGACGATGATGTGGGAGGTGGTATGAGACGTCAGCGTGCAGCACGCCACTCGTCTGCCACCCACTCCATGAATCTGCATCTTGATGGAAACGGAAGCGCGTGGATCCAAGGCACAACTCCTTCCCAGTTAGCCTTTCACGCCCCGACACAGTCTTTGCAGTTCTGCCCCAACTGTCGCTAACAACCCATGCATCTAGTACGCCCCGCTCTGGACGAGGTCGGGGTGGTGTATCGCTGCCACATCGGGATGCGCGCGTAACCGGCTTTTGAGGAGGTTATCGCCATACACCTCGTGTATGACATCGTCTGGGTCCTGGTGGTACTCGCCACTCTTCCTGAGGTCAGGAGGCAGCTCGAGGGCTGGGAACCGTGCGTCAAGCGAAGGATTGAAGAACATGGGCACGGAAATGCGCTCGGCCGGCGCCCGCGGCGCGACAACCCGGTGTACCGTCGCTTTTAGATATCCGGCGGTCGCACGCTCAACCATCTCGCCAATGTTGCACACGAAGCCGTGCTCGAGTGGCGGCGCGTCGACCCACTCGTCTCCTGGTCGGATCTGCAACCCTCCGGCTCCTGGCTGAACCCAGAGAAGCGTGAGGCACCCGCCGTCCTTGTGCGCGCCGACGCCGAGTGTCCCGGTCTCCTCCCCCTCCGTCCCCGGATACCGGACAACCTTCATGCGCGTGCTGGGTCGCGTGAAGTGTTTGTCGAAATAGTCCGGAGGTGCGCCGAGCGCCTCAGCCCACGCACGCAACAGCTTATGCGCGGCTGGCACGACCGCCGCCTGCCACTGGAGCACTACGTCTCGGAAATGAAGGAGCGCTGCAGGCCACAGGTTTGGGCCCAGCATGCGGAAGTAGGGCGGAAGGTCCGCCAACTCGGTGGGAGACAGCGCGGCGTCCTCGCTCCAGATGTCGATCTGCTCGCGCCAGTCGACCTTGCCGGCCGTCCGCTCCCCGCCGATGCGCGTGTAGCCGCGGAAGTGCGGGCTGGTGTCAGCGCTGTCGCGAGGGGGGATGCCTTTTGATGTTCTCGATATCTAGCTTGTCCTCTTCAGGCAAAGCGAAGAAGGCGCGCGCCGCGCCCAGCATCGCTTCTTCGAGCGCCGGAGTTATGCCCGTGCCGATGAGGTAGAAGAAGCCTACTTCGTGCGTCGCGCGCAGGAGGGCGGTGCGGAACCGAGCGGCGGATTCGGCTCCCGCATCGAGGTCGCGCAAGTCGAGGACGGGAAAGGGGAAGGAGTGGGTCATGGTGTGAGGAGAAGAGTCGGTCGGAGTGAGACAGGTGCGGGAGTGGTGGGAGTAGTGGGCGTGTGCGGTGTGACGTGCTTTGTGGTCATCTCGGTCTTCATCAGTCGGTGATCCCCGATAGATCTCAGACTCAGATCTTCGATGAGACCAGAGAGGTCGGAGTGCTCCCTGGGCCGGAGAGCAGTTGGATCTCGATGCAGCGATGAACGACAAGAAATATCCTTTCGATGTATGAACAGCTGGATGTCAGCTTGAGTCATGAGAGATGTATCCTTGCGGGTGTCGCCACAAACGCCTTGGCTCCTCCTCGCCGACGCCGTTCAATCACCACCGCCACGCCTAACAGAGTATCCACCTACCTCTTGGGGGCTAGTCAGGTGTAGATGTGGCGAACTGCTTAGCTCTCCCTCTCCTAGCCATGTCCGAGGACCTTTCTCAGTGCCCAAGCTATTCGAGATTGTGTAGCACCAAACTCGCGATATTCATCCCAAGCCTTATTACCTCTCAGCTGCAATGCCCTCCCCGCCCAGCAACTCAACGTTTGACAGTGTCGGAGATGTCCTCTTGCAGTCAGCGGGCGCCCTGCGGGACCCAGCAAACTCCGGGCGATCTACAGCACGTGAGCATTACCATAAGCACCACGGACGCGACTCGCATCACACCGTGAGTGTGACGGACCTCGGCCTCGGTGGATAATCTATCGGCATCTCGGCACGGCATGCCGGCCCCCGTGCGGTGAGTACCCGACCTGCCCAACCTCCCAACCAGCCCCACCCGTGATCACTAAGCCTCTCTCGCAACACTGCACACCTGCACTTGCATTAAAGCTCGCCCTCTCCATGACATGACTCACACGATGCAGCCCGACGTCGACGAGAAGCTCGTCTCCACTCCTGGCTCCGAGACGCCACCCGCCGCCCTCGACCCGGCACCGGCCGAGGCGGGGGCAGGGCCAGGACCCAACCCCGACGGAGGCGCCAAGGCGTGGCTCACCGTCACGGGGAGTGCTGTGAGTCGCGGTGGCCATGCTTGGGCGGGATAAAGGGCGATGAGCCTTGCTTACACCAGTTCATGGGCTTTGCGCAGTTTGGGCTCTCAAACGCATTCGGCGTCTTTCAGCGGCACTACGAGGAGAACCAGCTGGCGGATCGCACGCCCGACGAGATCGCGTGGATCGGCTCGATCCAGCTCTTTCTCCTCTTCTCGGGAGTGAGGCCAGCGCGGCTTGCGAAGAGCATCGAAGCTGATCCTAGGGCCTGTTCAGCGGGCGCCTCTTCGATGCGTTTGGCGCACACGCGCTCCTCATTCCGGGCTCGATCCTTTTCGCCCTCAGCCTCATGCTCACGTCGTGTACGTCCTTCCCAGACGCTTGCTTACACAGTGTGTACGGAATACTACCAGTTCATGCTTTGCCAGGGCGTGCTCTTCGGGTTAGCATCTGCGCTCATCTTCAACACTATCGTCGCCGTTCCGTCGCATTGGTTCGCCCGGAAGCGCGCGCTCGCTATGGGCGTTGTCTTCACGGGTTCTGGGTTGGGAGGCACGATCTGGCCCATCGCCATTGCGCGCATGATCCCCAAGCTTGGCAAGTGTCTTATTTCTCCCTCATCCTCCCCCTCATCGCTGCGGCCGTGAAGATTGTGGTCATCATCTGCTCACCCCTCTTCCCCGTACCTTCCAATCCTTGCCAACTCCTCATCCCTTCGAGTGCCACTAACCCAAGGCTTCCCATGGACTATGCGCGTCGCGGGCTTCATCTGCCTCGGCTGCTTTGCAGTCGGCAACGTGCTGATTCGTACGCGCCTGCCCCGTAAACGGCCCGCTCCATGGCGCGGAGTGCTCAAACCCCTCCGCGAGCCGGTGTACTCGCTCTTCGCAGCCAGTGGGTGCATCATGTCCCTGGCGCTCTTCATGCCCTTCTTCTTCCTTCCAACAAACGCGCAGCGCCTCGGCGCGTCCCCCGACCTGGCGGCATACACTATGTCGTTCCTCAATGCAGGCTCGACGCTGGGCCGCCTCGTCGGCGCGCTCGGCGACAAGATCGGCCGCTTCAACCTCCTCGTGACCAGCTGCTTCACATGTGCTCTCCTCCTTCTCGCCATGTGGACGCCCATGGGCGATGTGCCCACCCTCATCGCCTTCTCGGTGCTGTACGGCCTCGGAGTCGGTGTGCTCGTCTCGCTCGTGCCGGCGTGCATCTCGCAGATTAGCGAGCCGCACGAGATCGGCGCGCGCGTGGGTCTTAACTATGGCGGCGTGGGACTTTTCATGCTTGCAGGCCCGCCGATCAACGGCGCCATCCTCAAGGCCCTCGGGAACGATAGAGGCTTCCGGTACCAGGGTGTGTTTAGTGGTTTGTGTGTGGGCGTGGCGGCGCTGTTCATCCTCGCAGCGAGGATGAAGATCTCCACCAAGTTGCGGGCGGTGGTATAGGGCAGTGCCGTGTGGGAGTTGGCATGGGGGTCTGGGGCGAGGATTGGCATGGGCGGTCTGAAGTCTGTATGCATTAGTTGCCACTTGGTGGCGGTGTGGGGAGCGGGCGGGAGAGTCGTGGGACAGAGCCCAGTCATGAAGATGCCACACTCAACCTCCCTCTTGCACAGCCGCCACAAGCGCTTTCGCATGTGATCCTACATGACCGCATTGCTGCATGCCAGGCGTCATGTCCAGATGCCATGAGGCATCGGCAGAGCAATGAGCCATGCGGCCCTTCCCAGTATATTGCGGTATTTAGGACCAAACAGGTGGCATGTATGCGGGCGTAGCACATAGGTTCCTTGCGACGGCCGCCGTGGCCGCCGAGGCGCCGAGCGCCAGACCGCCGACTCTCCGTGCTCGATCAATGCCAGACATTGAGATCGAACCCCATGCCCTCGACCTAGCATGCCTCCGCGTTTTGCTTCAGGCGTCACTTGGACAGCCGACGGGACTAAGCGAGTTCATATGGTCATGAGATGGATGGTCAGCGTGGGGCGGACGGCTTGTCTTATCGGCACCGCCCTACGGATTGGGATGAGATCAGAGATCAACAAGGTCGCAAGGCAAGCCCACTTTACCCCGCCCCATGCCCACTGTCCGCGTTTGCCCCACTCGTCGTGCAGGCACCTCCGTCGTTGAAGCCGCATGTAGTCGGAACCTTGCCGCGGTTGTTGGAAAGTTGCATCAATGGGCGGCTGTTGGTCGGAGGCAGAGGCAGAGCCAAAGAAAGAGCCAGAGCCAGATCAATAGCCATAGCGAGGAGCCAGAGCCAAAGCCAAAGCCCGATGAGCCGGATGGACATGTAACGCTCCCGAGCCAAAGAGGAGATTAATGAGATGAGATGCGTATGACCTCTAATAAGCGAGTGGCTCGAAATGGCCGCTTGGCGCATTGCTGATTGGGAGATGTGGGAGGCATACGGCCCGCCGCCGCCAGGCCCAGGTAACGAGATGTGGCTGCGTTAGAGTTGACGTCAATCTCTACCTCTGGGTTGGTTGCTATTGCCTCTGCTCTCGCCCTCTACCGTGCTTGCGATCTCGCGAGATCCAGCATATCGGTGCATAGTTCCGATCAAGCCTCAGTCGCCGAGTGGCCGATGGAGATGCTGGCCGAGAGGCGCAAAGACTGAGAGATCGCGCCGCCATCAGGCCAAGGCCAACCAAGGCCATCAGTACCACCACCTGACTGATGTACTGTACATGTTGCGTTACCCAAGGTTCAGGTGGCTGCGAGCTTCCAGCAGTGCATCATGCTTGTCGTCTCCTAGGCTTTGAGGTCATGTGCGGCTCTGGTGCGTTGAGGAGGTCGGGGGAGGAGCAGATGGCTTGGATAATTTGGAGAGGAACTGAGATGAGCTGCCTCCACCACAGGCCACAGCCGCACAGACCGATTCGTTTGTCTTTCGACACCTTCCCCCCACTTGTCTCCTCAGCCGCCACATACCCACCTCTCCTCCTCGTTATATGTCAATGCATCTCTTTCATCTCTCATCGCTTTCCTTTTCCTTTCTCTTCTCATCTCCATCTCCTCCCCTCGCCCATCTTGTTCCTCCTCACTCTCCCCCCCCCCCCCCCCCCCCCCCCCTCGTCACTGACACCCACCGCTTCCGCCTCTCCTCCGCTCCCGCCATGACCGGCACCTCCCCGTTCGATACACTACCCTCCGACCGCGGCGACGACGCTGTCTGGAGCAGGCGTATCCTTACTGACCTTCCATACGCCGGCACAGCCCTCACCAACCCCATTCACAAGGGCTATTCATGGCGAGCCAGCGTTGGCCTCCGATCGACTCGCCTCCTCCTCTGTGGCGCACCCCGGCGAGCCACCGCCGGCTCACAAGGCGGGCCTGGCTCGCGTCCAGCATGGGACTCGGCCGACAATGTCGAGTGGCCGCACACCAACGCTGCGTACACGCCTACAGCGATTGCAAAGGACCCCCATGCCAGCATGTGGGGACAAGACGTCGGACCCATGGGCCGCATCCTGCACGGCGACAACCAGCCCCCGGCCATCGTCGAGGTCCACCACGTCTCCACGAAGCAGAACGCCCGCGTCGTGGCGCGTGACGTGCACGGCGGGTTGTGGCTGCGAGGTGGGACATCTACCCCAGATTCGCGCTGATCCTCAGATTCTGCATCAACTGCCGAGCCGCTCAGCTTTCCGGGCTTTGTCTCCCTCCCCGTGCCGTTCCGCGCCACTATGGTTGAGCCCACAGCGGACGGGCTCTTGGTTCTCGATGACAACCACGACCTATGGGAGTTGGACCCACTGTACTGCTGCGTGAGTTGCGAAAAAAAGGAAAATGCGCCAAAAGAGCGGTAGCCGGGCTTGGCCGACATTGTTGTTCACCGGACGGATTGCTGACGCCGGCAGGCCTTCCCGCGCAAGCTTCCACCCCTGGCTAAGGACGAACGTGCTGCCAAGATCGTCGCGACTGGTGGCGCTGGCATTGTCCTCCTTACTTCGCATGGCAAGGTGTGGTGGGGTCACGACGCGACGAACAAGCATTTCGAAGGCCGCAAATGCACGGCTTGGACAGAGTACGCAGCCGAGTGCGAGCTGGGCGGGCGCGGAACTGCGCGCGCGAGCTCGACTTCGCCCCGCGAAGGTTGGGAGTGGCCTGGCCTTGGAGCCTTCGGGGTCGTACGCCGCCTCTCGCGAGGGTCAGGTGGGTCACGCTCCCCGATGTCGCCCCGATCGCCCCGCTCGCCCATGTCACCACCTCCCCCACCTCCGTTCCCTGGACGCTGCGCACACCCCGTCGAGGTCGTCAATCCTCCGCATACTCCTGGTTGGCATCGGCTCCGCAACATCCCCGGTACCGGGCGGGGTCCCCTTCTCGCGCGTGTCGTGGACATTACCAAGACCAGCATCGACCGCGATCGCCAGCTCGTTGTGGCGCTCACGTCGGCGGGCGAGGTGTGGGTGCGTATGGCCGACTCGATGGGCCGCGCTGCGCACGACGCGGGCAGCGCAACGCAGGAAGCAGGGTGGGAGTTCGTGAGTGTTTCATTGTTCTGTACACGCTAATCGAAGCTTCCGCAGATGAGCTCGCCGACGATGACACACGTCACAGCTGCCCCTTCTCCACACTGGAGCGCCCTTCGGACGCCTTACGTCTGCATTGCGGCGTTTGGTGCACTCGATGTGCGCCCAGGCGAGAGCCCGTTGCGTGTGGCACGTATCGCAGCCGCAGACCTCGACAAGCTTGGCCTGGCTCGCGGTGTTGGCCCGCGCATCACGCCCGAGCCCCTACCCCCCTTCTTCGCTGACACGGGAGTGGCACAGGTCGCGCTCGGACGCAATCACGCCGCGGTACTCACGCACGCGGGCGAGATCTATATCTGGGGTGACAACGAGAGCGGGCAGTGTGGGCTTGGCCGCGCGGGCGGCAAGGTGCGCACGCCGACCAAGGTGCCACTCGCCACCGACGAGACGGAGACGCCGCCATTTGCCGTGCACGTTAGCGTCAGCGACTGGGGGACGTGCGCCATTGCGTTCCCGCCGGTGCCGGCTTGGCTGAGCGGCAACGCAGGACCCGAGTCGGCCGCGGACGTCGTTGGGTGGGGCCAGGCCGACGAGGCGACGCCCAAGGGGCACGGGTTGCGTGCGAGCCTCCGTCGCAGCCTGTCCAACCGCGCCAAACGGTTTTCGTTCACGGCGGACTCGAATACGGCGAGTCACGCGATTGTGTCTTGAGTTTTGAGGCTCCATCCGAGATCAGATTACACTACTCCTCCTTTACCATGACGGCTAGATTCCACCCTACTGTACACTTGATCCTACGCCACGCCACGCGACGACTAGATCTACGCGATAATCTCCACGCTTCTGCGACTCTTCTGACTCACACTGGCGACGTCTGTACCCCCGTCGCTGCGCAGTAGGCTGCGCGCGCCACCAATACCAGCGCATCGCATCATAGAGACGTCATATAGATATGTTGGTAGCTAGGCAAATATATATATCACATTGTAAACACTCAGGGAGGAGGGAGACTGAGAAGTGAGGCTGAGCACGTGAATGTCAGGTGGTGACGTCGAACGCGCCACTGCTCCATTCACAACTTTTGGTAACTCCTAGACGCTCCTTGAGGCTGGCACGCCACTTACGCACACAACTGTTGATACATACCGTCGACCATTGACAAGGCCGACACACGTCCAGAAAGCTACTGCCAAAGAACAATGATTCAAATCAAAGCCACATCGTTGACTTGTCGTCGTCGTCGTCGTCGCCGTCGCCGTCGTCGCCGTCGCCGTCGTCGCCGTCGTCCTACAACCTCTGCGAAGATGCAGACTTAGGGCGACTTGGCTTTGGGGTCGACGTCTGTTGTCAGCTAATCTGTAGAGACCAAACAAATGCAACGCACCATATACCACCTCTGACGTGTCAGCGTTCCGCAGCCACAGGCTCTGGGTTGGCGAGGTTCCAGGGCCAGACGCGCTCGCGGGCGTGCCGTTGCTGTTCCCCGGCGCGTTGCCGTTCCCGTTGGTAGGTGCGCCGTTCGAGATAGCGATGGGGGGAGATGCGGCGGCGTCGATCTTGGCCTGCTCAAGCACACGCTTGACGAAAGCATCGGCGTCCGCCTGGCTCTTGAATCCCAATCCGGCCTTGTCGATGTTCTTGAACGTCGTGCCGGTGAGGTATGGCCCGCCGGCATCCTTTACCGCCGCGGCCTCGAGGATCTCGTCACCGGCAAAGAAGATGTGCGGGCCCAGTGTGTGTCGGCTGACGGTGACGATCTCGCTCGAGATGGTGAGGCGGTCCGCGCTCTGCTTGAGCGCCTCGCTCGACTGCTTGACGCCGCTGGCGGCCATGGCGGGCCTGTTCTCCCCATTGTCCTCGACGCCCTCGACGAGCGCAAGCCACACGTTCTCGTGCACGACGTCGTCGAGCGCGTACTTCTTATCGCCGACCCAGTGCACATCGAGCGCAGGGTTGAGCGCTGCCACGACGTCCTCGCCGGCTTTGGCGGCGCTCAGTGCGTTCGTGAACAGGTTCTCGATGATCGTGCGCTCCTTCTGCACGCCCGTCCCGCCCTTCTCCTTGCACACCTGGCCGACGATCTTGGCGAGGCTCGGCACCAGCACTGGGCGCAGCCGCAGCTTGGCCATTGCGGCGAGGAGGTAGCCGAGCTCTTTCGGGGACACGAGGGCGACGCGCGCGTCGATGAACGCGACGCCCGCGCGCGGCGGCGACAGGCTCGCGGCTGTCGCGCCTGGGCGGTCCGGGTCTAGCGACGTCGACCAGGATGGGCGAGCGGCGCCGGACGCAGCGCCGGGCTTCGAGGGCGGGCCGCCACGGAAGGACATGCCCTGCAGCCCGCCACTGGGTGCATCATTCTTCGAGTTGACCTTCTCCTTGAGCTTCTTGAACATGATGGAAGGGAGAGGGTGAGAGGTGGTTGAGTGTGGATGAGGGGATTAGGTTGCGGCTGGCGGGGACTGGAGGTAAGGGATTCAGAGAGAGAGGCGGTGTGGCCGAGGAGGCTGAAGCGGCACTGGGGGGCGGCGCGGGGTTGTGTATAGCGGGGTGTAACGTGGAGTAGCAGGAATGGTGTCGACCGTGCACGGCGTGCTGAGAGACGGTGGTAGTGGTGTGAGCGATGGAGATGGTGACGGAGAGTAAGTGGTGTAAGCGAGGTTGAGCGGGGACATGCGGAGGGGAGTGAGTGTGGGGGCGGAGGAGGAGCAGGAGACGAGTGTGGCTCATTGGTGCGCTGCAAGTGGCTGCGGTGGCTGCGACATGCCGCAAGTAGCAGCGGCCAGCATCAGAGGTCTCACCTCACCATTCAGACGAGTACGACCTCTTGTCGATCCCCACCGTGCCTTTATGACGCATTCTGCCCTGCGTCCAAGCTCTGATTCTGCCTCTCCTTGTATTCATCCTCACTGAAATGTCCCATCCTATCTCGCGACCTGGCGCGTGCGTGGGCTGCCCGCATCTCCGCTGTGTACACTCGGGCGGGGACGGAGGATACCCACATGAGGACAAGGCAAGGAGGAGGGGTGCGTACCTCGCTGGTGTTCGCTTCCACCCCCCGTCTTCGCCTGGCGCCGTTCTACCCTGTGTCAGGCTCCCTTGCCCACCTTGCCTCTTCGTCTGCATCCCATTGCTGCCTCTGCGTGCTCTGCACCTGCCTGGCTGAGACGACGCACGTTTCGGGGACGTCGCGGTGCCTTTCGTGTCTCTCCCCGTGCCCCAAGTTCCCCCTTGCAATTGCCTCCTCCCATCCTCCAGGCACGCATTACGTCGATCACTGATCACCAAGATTCACCCCATGTTGATGTGATGAGACGAGAGATTGTGAATGCATTCATGCTGAATGCCACGCACCTGCTGTGCATGGGTGACATGGGTGGACGCCACTCGTAGGCGGCTCGTGCCTAAAAGATCTGCGTTGCATGGGAGCGGGAGAGCGTGGGCGACCGCAAGGCGCTGGCTGATGCCGCATGCATCCACCACCCACCAACCACAGTTGGCGCTTGGCAAAGCCATGCGCTACTCCCCATCCCGGCGGCTCGTATAATGATCGAGATTCCGCGTGTCACAACGTCATGAAACCCATCCGGTAGCGGCACGCTCATCGGCGCGCTAGCTAGGTGCCGGCAGCCACCCGCGTCCCGCAAGGGCCAGAGCCAACGAAAGCCGACTGCCAGCTGCCAGCCTGACGACTGAACACCATCTCGATGGTAGCTGTGAACGACACGCATCTCCATCGCCCATCTCTCATTACCACACTTACTTTACTCACTACCCATGTCCGCGCCACTCAACCCAGCCGAGAAGGCCGAGGGCCTCCCGGAGCCCTGGTGAGTCACCCTCCCATCCCCCTCCCTCCCTCCCTCCCTCCCTCCTCCCACTTATGCCAGGCTGCGCCAGTTCGACAGCCCGTACGGCTGCTACTTCTACATCAACCCAACTACGACGCCGCCCACCGTATCATGGGTACACCCGCTGGAGAAAGACGGCGCGATGCACCCCGAGCAGATCCAGGCAATCAAGAACACGCTTGACCAAGAGCTTCAAGCGGAAGGGCACTCAGCCCCGCCGCCCTACGACCCCGCGAACCCCGGCGACAACCTGTTCCTCCAAGCTATCCCGCAGGGACAGGCGACACAGACGCAGACGGAGAAGCCGAAGCGCCGCAGGAACTACGACGCAGCGGACGGCCGGCTCCTCGAGAAGATGGGCAAGCCCGTCGCGCAAGTAGAGGCCGAAGAGCGGGCGCGCCGCGCCGCAGAGTCACGTGCCGCGGCCGAGGCCGATCCTGTGCGCAGCCGCGGCGCGCTTTCCTCCCTCCTGGGCGCTGCGCTTAGCGGCGGCGGCGGTCGGCACGGCTACGGCGGCGGGATGGGTGGCATGGGCGGTATGGGCGGCATGGGCGGCATGGGAGGCATGGGAGGTATGGGCGGCATGGGGATGGGCGGCATGGGCGGCAACCCCCTCGGCATGCTCATCGGCAGCAGCATGGGTGGAGTGAGTTACTGTCTAGACAGACTGACACCAGCGCCCGAGCCACTACCAGGGCGGATATTCCGGCGGGTGCTACACCCACTCGATGGGCCCCCCGCCGTTCGGGATGTACAGCCCAATGATGGGCGGAATGGGCGGAATGGGAGGCATGGGAGGCATGGGCATGGGCGGCATGGGCATGGGCGGAATGGGTGGCATGGGCCATATGGGCATGGGTGGTATGGGTGGCATGGGCGGCATGAGTGGCGGTTACGGCCGCATGGGCGGTATGGGAGGCATGGGCGGCGGCTCATCCCTCGGCATGCTCGCGCCGCTGCTCATGGGCGGCCTGGCCGGCGGCATGATGGGCGGCATGATGTCGGACGACTACGAAGGCGGTGGTGGCATGTTTGAGGGTGGCGGCGGCTCGGGCTCTGATGGCGGGTATGATAGCGACTAGGCTGGCCGATATACATGATGTATGACTGCAGAAGTGGGAGGTGCGTCGACTGGTGGTTGTGGCGGTATCAGAGGAGAAGGTGGCAACGTTCGCCACGCGCAATTTAGCGCCACCTTTTAACTTGGAGCGCGACGATACCGACACAGCGCGGCGAACACGGTGAAGTAGGTTCATCAGTAGTAGCGGCGCGACATACCTACACTCTCCCGAGGAGCATTAGCGGGAGTGCATTAATGTGTCGGAAAATCGTCTCCCATCCTTTGTCCATCTATTGTCCATGTCTATCACTCATCCCGCCACGCCGGATCATATCGCGGGGGCGCAACCGCCACGATCCGTCCCGCGTCCGTTTCCTGCAGCTCGTCTGGGCCTGTCTCTCGTACCCGGCGGGGACGCGGCGCGGAAGGACGTTCCAGCTTGGGATCATGGGAAGGCGCAGGCGGTGTCGAGGCAGAAGGTACGGCGTGCGATTGGGTGCTCTGGACGGGAGTCGAGGGTCCAGTCGTGCCGGCGGACGAAAGTGGGTGGTACTCGCTAGGAGAGGAAATGGAGGGGGGTGGATCCTCCGTGCGCGCGAGCAGGGGGGTAGGTGCGCGCTCGGCAGAGATGGGCGACAGCGCTATGTCGTCCCTTGTGTGCAAGTGCGGCTCTGGTATCAGCGGCCGATGCAGTCTGACCCACTTTCGCTGCTCCGACGTGAGGAAATTCTGTAGAAGGCCTGCGGCTTCGGCGCGGCATCGTCTACCTCAAAAGCGCTGTAAATCGTGCTCCGTTTGCTTTTGTGCTTGCGGAGAAGCCAGAGAGCAAGGGCGAGGGCGACGAGGAGGGCGACACCGCCGAGCTGACGTCAATAGTGCAACCACATTACTCACGACTCCGCCGACTATTGCACCGATATTGGGCTTGCCTCCCCTTCTGCCCCCATTGCCAGGGTCTGCGCCAGTGCTAGGACTCGTTCCATCAGAACCCGGGCTCCCTCCTGGATTGGCACCGGATCCATTGCTGGAGCCAGAAGACGCTTCGGACCCAGAGGTCGTCTGGCCGCCGCCCGAGCCGTCGTTCATGCCTGGCGGGAGAGTTGATACGAGATCCCCGCGCGCATGATAATCGTCACCAATAAACAAGATGCTCTGAAGTCCGACATCCCCCTCCAGCGTCGTGACGCTCACGGCATACTGCTGTGCCGGATCAAGGGGAAGGCCAAAGTACTCCACGACGTGTGGCCACGCCCGCGCCGTCATCGTCGACATCGCGGGGCCGCCCTGCAGGGGGTCCGGGGAGAGAGACACCGTATACCGCGCGGCTGTGTTCGTGGCCGTCCCATTTATCTGTAGATACGTCGTGCGAGGGGGCACGTTGAATCGAAGCGACGCGCCAGGGGAGCCCACAAGATGAGGGAGGGCGATGCTGGCGAGCTCGGAGCGCACATTCCACGCCCCGCTCGTAGTGAAGTTGGCATTGGCTGCTCCCCCTTCGACCGCACGCCACGCCGACACAGGCAAATCCCACCAAGAGCCCCGCAGCATGATGTCACCGATGTACATGTTCTGCGGGCTGGAATCAGCACTCACGGTGTGGCATAGCACTCACACATTCGCCACGTACGCGTACCGCCTGATATTCACCATCGTGAGATTCACGAATCCCGAGTTCACCGTGAGTGTCACGTTAGTATACCCCAGCGGCGGGATGCCGCTGGTATACGCAACGAGGCGGTTCTCGCGCTTATCCGGCGCCTCGACGCCGTTCACCGTCAGCGTGAGGTTGGCGCTGCTCGGCTCGCCGTACCAGTATATATCGCTGCCCCAGAAGGAGGCGCTGACGCTTGCGCCTGGCGCTCGCGTCGCAACCCACGAGGTCCCGTTATATTCTCTCCGGGCGGAGGCCGCGCCGCCGACCCATCCCGAGCCGGGGTCATCGCCTAGTGAGGAGAAGCGAAATATCGGGTCCAACACGTCGTGCGACCACCCGAAGGCGACGAGAGGCGCAGAGGTCACCTCGTCTGCGGCGGTGGCGGCGAGCACCGGGCGCGCCATGGCGGCGATGAGGAGGATCATCCCCGAGAGTGAGTGTAAATGGCTAACGGGACAGCGGCGTGAGGGTAGAGTTTGTTCGCTGTAGGCACATCAAGCTTCGAGTTCCGGCATACAGGCACGAAATTACCTTGGCGTGTTAGTGGAATTAGTCAGTGTTGGGATCACGTTGCGCCACAGCGTGTGAGATCATGCTGTACCAATGATACACGGATCTGAGGAAGCATGCAGTGCTGCCTGAATCACGCTTGTGTGGTTTATATGTATGTAAGAACGAGGAGGGGTCAATTGATGTTGCTCAGCCTTGCTGCGTCAATGGCCCTCAAAACCCCAGGCTCAGCAGTTTCCCAGTCAGAATGCTCTGGCACGCTATCTCGCCATGCATACCGCTACTTCTTCTTGGGCTTGCGCCACATAATCACGTGGTTGCCGCTGCAGATCCGCTCGCCTGTCGCCTGCTCAAACACCTCGCAGCGCGTGTATGCAATGCTCCCCGTCATGCGGTCGACCGTTACCAGGATGTCGAGGACCATCCCCTCATGTGCTGGCGCCTGGTACGTCATGTCGAGGTTGATGCTTACGCCAGGCCCCCACCACGTGTCCGTGCCGAGCGTTTCCACGGCGCGCCCCGTGAGGTTGTCGACGAGCCACGCAGCACAGCCCCCGTGCATCGTCTTGTGCAGGTTGCACCAGTGCGGTCCCACGGTACCCGTATACAGCGCGCGCCAGCCAGCGACGTCGCGCCCACCCCGTGCATTCTCTGGAGGGATCGGGTCAAATCCTGCCGGCGTAACATCGTTTGCAACGCCGTGCTTCTCCGTAAAACCTCCTGAGGTGCGGTCGCGAAAGGTCTGAACGTCCGCGGCGGTCGCCGGCACTAGGTTGGCGAGGTTCACGCTGCTTCGTGAGCGGAGGGAGGGAGTGGACGAGAGGGATCGGGTGCATGGGTGGAGATGCAGGAGGGCAATTGGTCGCCGAGGAACGAGGGTTGGGGCGCGAGCCCTCGCAACAACAGACGCCTGGCGTAAAAGCATCTCGGTGCGAGATTGGCAGATGTGAAGTATGAGACTAATTAGAGACGATGGAGGTGAACAAGCTTCGGCATCAGCAATGCCGCATGCCGACACCACGTGGTGCGTCCACCTCGGGTTTGAGACCGCGAGCGGAAGGAGAAGTGCATGGTTTCGGCTCCTCATGCGCTTTTCCGCTCTGTGGACAGATGCATGGGCCGCCGGCAAGAGCTGTAGTCGGAGGTTACCACCACTGCGAACCGCAGGAGACACTCGGTCTCCCTTCTGACTCAATTTCAGAGCGACACTCAGTCTGTTTGCGACTTGGTAAACCTATGGGGCGAGGCAGCTGAGATATTAGCCCCTCTCATCGCGATTGCAGGTAAAAAGGTGGGTTGGGTCGCGGCATTCGCACGGGACAAGGACGGGAAATCCATCCGCACCTGTTCAGTTCGCCGGCGGAGAGCTCGCCGAGAAGCGCCCAGCGACGGTGACCACGGCAGAGGTGAGGTCGATGGAGTGGGCGAAAGTTTACCCCGTTCGCCATTACAGCGGCCGCGAGTGCGATGTCGGTGTAATTGACTATCATTAGCAGGACATCAGCTCTCGCAACTTGCCTACAGATCGCCGTCTCCACCAGCATCTTTTGGTTCGGGTTTGGGTGCTGACGTCCTGGGCCAGTTTAACTGCAGGTTCAGATGATGCATAATGACACCGTCATCGATCTGTACCAGGTGCAACATCTTACATCTGCCCAAGTGCCAAATCGTGGTGGGGACACTGCTCACGTCAGCCTGAAGAATATGATACCGGAGCGGGGACCCCGGGAATTTTCTGCCCCAGCCAACGCATTTTCGGTGCTGCTTGACTTCGGCAGCTGCAGTTTCCGACATCATTACATCTTGTTTCCACAAACATCTGCTTCCTCGATAGCACACTCTCACCGCCTCGCCTCTAGGCTGCGCGGCTGATTCGCCACACCCTCTTACGACCCTCACAATCATTTTCACCGACCCCGTTGAACCGATGAGCGACAACAGCTCGCGAGCTGCGAGCCTCCGCGACAAGGCCATCATGGGCGAGGACCATGCGCCGCTCGACCCCGGAGATCTTGCAGCGTACGACATCGATCCGGCCGAGCAGCGGGCGCTGCTCCGCACGCTCGACTGGCACATCGCACCTGTGTGCATGGTGCTCTATCTCGTCGCTTTCCTGGACAGAGCTAACATTGGTGAGTGCGCTCCATCTTTTGTTCCTGACATCAGGCAACGCTGCTGTCGGCGGCATGGTCAAAGACCTCAACTTCCCCGCCAACGGCCTGTCGGTCGCAACCTCGATCTTCTACGTGACGTACGTGCTTTTCGAAACGCCCGCGACCATGTTACTGCGCACGCTCCGGCCCAGTCGCATGGTCCCCATCTTTGTTGTCATCTGGGGCGGCGTCATCATCGGCAACGGCTTCGCCACCAATTACGCGACTGTCGTGGCGTGCCGGCTCCTTCTAGGTGTCTGCGAGGCCGGCCTGTTTCCTTGCCTCGTCCTGTACATGACCTCATTCTACCAGCGTGAGGAGCTCGGCCTGCGCACGTGCTACCTCTTCATCGCAGCTTGTCTTTCTGGCGTTGTGGGCGGCCTCATCGCCACCGGCTTTCTCAAGATGGATGGCTTGCGCGACCTCGCCGGCTGGCGTTGGCTCTACATCATCGAGGGTGCACTCACCATTGTGGTTGGCATCGGCTCGTTCTTTGTCATTGCCGATCGCTACGAAACGGCAACCTACCTCTCCGAGCGCCAGAAGTTCCTCATGATGGTCCGCCAGGCTAAGGCCGCCGTCTACTCGCGAGACGAGGGCTTCAGCTGGGGAGAGTTCCGCCAGTACGTCCGCGACCCCATGATCTACCTTTCCGGATTTGTCCTGCTGTGCATGGACACGTGCATGTATGGTTTTGTAAGTCCCGCCGACAGCGCGCGCTGATACAGTCCACATTCCTTGTTGTCATCATCAATGGCCTCGGTTACTCGCCCATCGTAAGCCAAGCGCTCTCTGCACCGGTGTACGGCTGGGCCGCGATCGTGTATCTCGTTGGGGCTCTCGTCTCAGACCGCTACTCGATGCGGTACAAGATCATCCTGCCGCTGAGCCTCGTTACTATTGTCGGTTATGCCATCCTTGTGGCCAATCCGGCCAATCTGGGCGCTCGCCTTTTCGCCTGCTTCCTGGCCGGAATGGGCATCTACATTTCCGTCGGGCTGCAAGTCACCTGGCTCGGTCAGAACATGGCCGGCTTCCGCAAGCGCAGTTATGCCATCGGTATCCAGCTCACCATGGGTAACATCGGCGGAGTGTGAGTTGGCCTCGGACTATCAGTCGCTGACTGCAGCATCGCGGGCCAGATCTACCGCACCAACCACAGACCAGCGTACACCCTCGGGCACGCGGCGTCGCTAGGATTCTGGAGCACCGCAATCCTCGCTGCAACGCTGCAGTATTATGTGTGGCGGACGCGCAACGCCCATCGCAACGCACTTTCGGCCGAGGAAAAGGCCGAAATGGATGAGCGTGGTGTCACGGGTGACCACCACCACGGCTTCCGCTATGTCTTGTAAAATAGATTGACTAGACGCATCTGAATAGAGCATTTCCCATAGATATGTATAGACATTCCCTGTCAACGGCTTGCGGTACGACGAGGTCGTCAAGCGCCGTGGAAAACAGCACTGACACGCTCAATTAATATCCCCGATTGAAAGCTGGTGCGGCGTGTGGTTCTAGATGCCAGTATCGTTCACACTTCGTGCACCGTGCAGTAAGCTGTGAAATACTGACTCCAGTGGTGGCTCGAGATCCTCCCCACGCGATGCGCGCAACCCGGCAAGAAATGAGTCTCTCCAAACGTATGTGCGACATAATTTGGGTGCACTGACCTTGCTGCATCACAGGCAGTCGCAGGAAGGCGAGAAGAGGGGTGAGAACGAGGACCGTGGAGCGTGAGTAACACCGACGTACAGACAAATACGACGGCGAAGGCGAAAACGCAAAGACGAAAGACAGGAAGAGACAGCATGATCCATGGCTGGGTGAATTCTTCACACAAACACTCCAATTTTGGGTCAGCTTCCCAGCGCGAAGACGCATAGGTCAAGTGTGCGAAAGATGCCGATGAGCAGCCGCTTCTCGTCGGACAGTTTCCCGCGAGGACCCTCACTCAGGCCCACTTCCTCAAACTACTTGCCTACTGAAGCTTCGTGCTGCTGACGAAGATCACGACGCCAGTGAGCACGTCGTCTCAGCCTCACTTCGACGCCCTGTGCGCCTCCAGACCGTTGACAGTGTCGTGCAGATGACAAAGCGAGCTTCGTGATCACCTGACCGACTCCCAGAGTGCCGTGCTTCTCCGTTCACTGGAATTCACTAGGGCAAGAAGAAACAGCGCTCCGTGTTTCTCAGGTACGACCATGTTCATCGTGCGAGGCGATGTCATAGATATGGAGGTGTCAAGTTGGGCTAGCTCAAGTATTATGTACTACAAAGAGCTGATGGTCTGTGGCCCTGAGACGACACAGCGATGGTGAACACCGGTCATGAGTTGCCCATCGATAACTGACTGAGGCGCGGACTCTGCGGCCCGCAGACGGGATGTAAGTGTTGAGGGACTTGGGCGCCACCAGCGGCCACTCAAATGTCCCCGTCTTCGCATTCCGCGGCGCAATCCTCAATCTGTGCAGATGACTTCGTGGAGACAGCGGGAAATGCCGCTCCCTTCAGTCCGCTTGCTTTTGCTTCTTATGTCTTGGCGAGCATCATTCCACCGTCCGCATTCAGCACCAAACACCGGGATGTGCACTTGGCTCAGTCACGAAGTAACCCACTATCATGCGCTGCAGTATGACCCTCTTTACTGGCTGGACTGTGTCATGCGTGACCCAGGCTTACCTCCATCCTATTCCGTTGGGCTTGGCTTGGACCTGGCTTCGGATTCCAGGTGTGCACTCTCGTTATGACATTGCGTCAACTGATCCTCCCCCCCCCCCCCCGCACTCCATCCAGACGCAGTTGTCAGGCTTAAAGCATCATTCACTCCTCACAAGAATTCCCCCCCCCCCCCCCCCCCCCCCCCCCCCCCCCCCCCCCCCCCCCCCCCCCCCAAAATCACGTTGTTGTGAAGTAGTATACACGTCGCAGGCTCAATAAATTCGTCGTGGTCCAACCCGTTCCTGTTTGCCAAACCTTCCAAACTGCGCCTTTTGCGTTTGCATCGCGGAACTCTTCACGAAGCCTATAACTATGCCGCAGCTGGTTGGTGCCCGTATGCCCGCAAGTGGCCCCAAGAGGTTCCAAAGGCGGGTGAGGGGGAGAGTGACATTAAGCATGAGAGGGTGGGGGCGGCGCATCGCCGAGGGCCATAAACGGATCGACAGGGACGACGGCGAGGGTCGCTTGGCACTCCCGCCCAGGGCCTGCGCCACGAAAAGATATCGTCCGCAAATGGTCTTTATGAGATGTGATCAGCCGTGTCATATTATGAATGTCTTGCCTGAGCTAAATTGCACCCGCGGGCGCCAGCTGCAAGCGAACATCGGTACGCCGCCGACTGTTGATCGGGTGGCCCTCGGTTTACAGAAGTACGGCCGCAGACCACGCCATGTCACCCCGTGCAGACAGAGAAAGCGAAGGGTATGTCACATTGCAAGGGCCGGAATCGCGGGAGGCACCTGGCGTACGTCATGCGCACCCGAGAGTGCAGGAGCCCGCGCCATCCGACCCCACTGCATGCAGTCCCAGTGCGTGCGGCAGTGGCGACATCGATCCAGATCTGGTTGAGGTCGTAAACGAGCAAAGGTTTCTTGACCGCCGAGCTCCAGCTCATCTCGTTTTCTCCTTTCTGCTGCGTCTCCTCTGTGCACTCGTAGATTTACTTCGATCTTGAACATACATCCATTGCCTCTCAACTCTTTCCACCCAACTCCATGTCGACCCCGCCACGCTTGTCACGATCGTACCGCAAACCCGTGCCCCTGGACGCGCACCCATTTGAGATGGAGCAACTGGCCGTCGGGGTGACCCTCGACGGTGGGAGCAGCATCTCGGACTCCATCGCGCCGCGCCTCAGCCACGGTGACTCGGCCAGCTTTGAGAGTGAGGTGCGCCCACAGTCAATCCCGTCCACCGCATCCGAGTCCACCGCAGGGTTGCCACATCGCCTCGACGATCGCGAGGAGGGTCGCGAAGTGCCCGATGATCGCGACCAGTCACTTGTCCACCTTTCCGCGCCTCAGTCTCCTATCACCCCCGTATCCGACAAGCAGCCGCTGCGGTCGACGATCAGCCTCGCTGAGGGCAAGGAGGAGGAGTTCGCCGAATACCGCCCCCCGACAGAGGCGCAGCTGCGTGAGGCGGCGAACCACGAGCTTATCGACGAGGACGGCAACACGGTGCTCTTCGGCGAGTTCTATCCAGACTGGTCGGGCGAGCTTGCCTCAGACCCACACGCGGGTTTTGTTTCGAGTGGCACTGCCAGCGAAGACCAGCCGCGCACCGTCGTCTTCTTCATCCGCACCATGGCCTGTGGACAGTGCCAGGACTATATGAGTGCAGCGATCTCGCGCCTCGACCCCGATGAGATTGCGGCTTCCGATGTCCGCGTTGCCATTATCACCAACGGCGGCTGGAAGGGCCTCAAGAAGTACTCGCAGCTCATGATCAATTCCAAGTTTAAACTCTACACCGACCCGGACTTGGGCCTGTACCGTCTGCTTGGGTGAGTTCCTGATCGGTTTCGCGAGTTGACCTCAGGATGAACCCCAAGATCGCACGCATCGACATGCTCAAGGGCATGTTCATCACGCCCGAAAATCGCCCTGCATACCACCAAAGCTCGACGTTTGTGCAGCTTCTCAAGGGCTTGCGGGTGAATGTGTTTGTGTGATCATGCTGACCCCAGACGGCGTCCAAGCTGGGCACGACCAACCTCGGATCGCCGACGCAGATGGGAGGCGAGTTTGTCCTCCAGCCCGGGTACAAATGCACGTATGCGCACCGCATGCCGAACAAGTTTTCGCACGCGCCGGCCAAGAATGTCGTGGGCAAGGCCGGCGTCAAATGGCCTGAGGGACGACGAGTTGTGGAGAACATCCCCGACCCCGCCATCGCCGCCATCGAGCAGGAGCAGCTGCTCGAGCCGTCAGAGGAGAAGGCCTGGGTCGGATGGCGGCGCCCGATCGAGTCAAAGGAACGAGTGAGCGTCGACAAGGCGCTGCCTGCGCTGCCCCTGACGAGGTAGTGACAGTAGTTGTCGTAACACCCGTTGAGGTTAGAGAAGAGGCGTAGGCGTCGGCTCCGCGCGGCCCGAAGGGGAGTAGCTGCTCCGGGGCGCATACGCAACTCGGCTACACCTCCATGCGACGCCCAAGACTCCAGTATAACGCGTTACAAATGATCCCAGCGGTCAACCATCCCATCCCTGCATCTTTGAGCCCTCTGTATAATACCCTTCCATTAGCATTCACGCAATGCATGCATGTACCTTCTTGTTTCCTTGGCGCGGTGACAAGGGTGAACTCGACTCCTTCACGACAGCTGCCTCACTGCATGTATCGTCGCTGCCCAGCCCGTCTTCACCGAGCTCACAATGTGGAAGGCGTTGGTCGCGCCCAGCAGTGGCGATGGCGGTACCCTGCCCGCGTTCCTTGTCCGTCGAGCCGCCGTTCCGTCAGTCCTCCGTCGGATCCGACGAAGCAAGCTCACGATCACTGTCGTACGTACACGGAGATTGGCACAACAGGGGCGGCACAAGTGGCGGGTGCGAGGGACTCCAGCCGCTGAGCGGACTACTTAGATGCAGCGCATGCAGCTGCTGCCACCACCCCTCACCGCCACGCTGGGCACAGCTGAAGCCAAGCATCCACCCAGCCCTCCTACGCCATGTCCGCCATGCCCGCGCCCGAAGCGAGCCCCGAGGCGCCGCCGACCCCCAGGACCTCGTTCACCGTCTCGTCTGGCGCCATCTGTTTCGGAGACCTGCACAACATGTGGCACGGTGCGGGCGTGCCAATCCAGCCCTTCCGGACCACGCCCGCAGACATGGAGGTGGGAGGAACGGTGCGGGTGCAGCAAAGTGAATATAACACGGTCGCGCGCAACGGGGTGTGGCACGTGTACGCGCTCATCTGCCGCGGTGTGACGGGATGGTTTGCGGCGCACGAAAGCGTCGCGCCGCGGCGCGAGATGCGCCGCATCCTGCGCGTGTCGGGAAGCCCCGCGAGCTTGGACCCCGGAAGCACGTTCAACGACGAGGACACGGTGCGGGCCGGCGTGTTCGTGCTCAACCGCTACGACTGGGGGTACTACGACCGGCGGAGCGAGGGCGAGGTGCGGCGGGTCACGGAGAGCGGGCCGTGGACCATCGGCGTCGGCGTGTGCGACTACGGGGATGCGCGCGCGGCCGTGCGCGCGTGGGAAGGGATTGTGGGGGATGAACGCGCACCACGCCCCGCCGGCGTGTGGATGGCCATCCCGAATGGCGAGTACCTGTACGGCAGGATCGGATATGGTGCGGGCGAGGCGCACTCGTTCCTCTTCTTCAACACTTATACACAATTTGAGAGCACGACGTTTGAGGGCACAGTCACGCCGCTGAGCGAGCACGAAACAATCCGTGAAATGTTCGAGCGCCGCCTGCGCGAGGGCTACGATTTCGGCAGCCGCAGGCGGATCCGCAGCGTCATTCCGCGCAACACCCAGATCCCGCCGGCGGCGGAACGCACGCGCGTCGCGCGCGACGCGTACATCCTCTCGCAGGCGGACGTTACGCGCGCGCTGGAGAGGGAGGAGGCCCGGGGCGGCGAAGCGGCGCTGAGCCCCGACGTCGCTCCTCTCTTGGACGCATGGCGCGAGGCAACCTGCAACCTAGTCAACGACATGTTCATCAGCTTCCTGCAACGCCGCGTCGCGCCACACGCCGGCGGCTCGCTCGCGGATGCTGCCGGAGCGATTTTTGCGCGGCCACCCCCCATTGCGGGCTTCAGCGTTTCCCGCGGCTTCGCAACCCTCGGGCGGAGGGTGTTCATGGAAGTGGACCAGCCTCCCGACCTGGATGCGGCTGTCGTCGGGCGCATCAAATTGTTTCTGCAGCAGACAGCGCGAGGCGTCTCAGACGAGTTGGTCGCTGCCACGGCGAGACTCGTCGCCTGCGTCTTCCGCGAGGTGATGGAAGAGGCGCGAAATTGCAGCCTCGACAAATGCGACTACCGGATCATGCCTTGCCACATCCGGCTCGTCGTCGTCGACGAGACACTGCTGTTCGAGTGGTTCAAGTATTCGCCCGTGTTCTGGGAAGGCATAGGGGAGTGATTGCAGAGAAATAGCGCGGGTGCATGGAAGCCGAGGAGGACTGCACGGGCAGGCAGATCGCATGGAAGGGCCGTGCATGCCGTGCCGATCGCGGCGATCTGCTCTGCTCCGTCTCCGCAGATCCCCGGATCGCCAGATCGCCGGCAATCTCGCCAACACTTGCCAGTCGCCAGCGATGCAATCAGCGACCGAAGAACAATGCGTCCGTAGCCCTTGGCAGGCGCCCGTGGCTTCTCGAGCATTGTAGAACGCATTCCGCCCGCCGAAATTGAATTGTCCAGGGCTCGGACAACGGTCGGACAACGCTGGCGCTCGTGCTCGCGCTAGCGCGGCCACGCCCGGCCCACGGGCCGTGCTATCGGCAACCCGCGGCATGGTCCGCCCCGGCTTTGTCTGCGGCTCATCTCGGCCAAATATATACAACCACAAGCCTCAGCTCGTCATACCTTGCACTTCCTCTCTCACACACCCACACACCCACACACACAACATGGACGCTATCGGACCGCTCGAGACGCCGCTGCGCCTGGTCAAGGGCGACCAGATCTCGGATGCGCCGGTGACGCTGCGCATTCCCAGCCGCAACATCGGCATCCGGGGCGTGAGTGTGTCGTGCGAGCGGCGCTGACGACAGCACGACTACGACATTATCAACGAGGACACGGGCAAGGTCATGTACAAGGTCAAGGGGTCGCCGATTAGTTTCCACAGCACGCAGGGTGGGTGATTTCTCCTCGCTCCTCGCCCCGCTCACACCAGTCTTCTGCACCGCGGACGGCAAGGACCGCCTCTTTGAAATCAAGTACTACAACGGCGCCAAGCCGCACTTTGAAGGCGCGCGCAGCGACCTCTTCGACATCTCGAGCGACTGGAGCACGTCGCTGCTCGCCATCTTCGCGGCGTACGAGAAGGAGCGCGACGGCGTCGTGACGCGCCAGACCCAGATCTACCTCCCGTCGCGGGACACGGTGCGGCCCGGCGCCGTCGTCGGCCCGCGCCTCATCCTGCGCGGCGACCTCGACACCGAGGCCCAAGTCGTGCTCCGCTCCACGGGCCAGGTGCTCGCCGTCATCCGCGCCGACGACCGCGGCCGCGCAAAGGACACGGACACGCCGTCGTTCCTCGTCACCGTCGCCCCCGGCATGGATATCGCCGCCATGGCCGGCATCGCCGCCAGCTACAACCAGCTGCATAATCGCGCGACCGCGGGCAGCGCCGCCCAGTCCCGCGCAAACTCGCGCGCTCCGTCCCGCTCCCAGTCGCGCAACCCGCTCTCGCGCACCAACTCGCGCTCCGCGTCGCGCCGCGGAAGCCGCGCGCCGTCGCCCGTCTACGGCGGCCACGAGCACGCGACTTAGGCGGAAGGCGGAATATCCGTCATGAGAAGCTTGCGTCGCGTGCAGCGGCGCTTGCTTGCCTCGTTGTCTCGTTTTGATATTATATAATGCATCAGATTCTTGACTGCAATTTCGGGTTGAACGCAGGAGACGCGACTTATCCAACGCCGTACGCCCTGTCGCATCAAGACCACGGGCCGACAATCATGTAAACCTCGACTACCGCAAAACGCAGACATGCATGTTGTACGTCTAGTCGAATGCAGGCGGGTATGTGCGATGGTTGGATACTATGTACAGGCCACGCGAATGCAAACCAGCCGTGATGGTGTAGTGTAGTGGAATCGTGATGATGCGGATGGATGTGTGTTGTGAATAAGGGAAGGAGTGGTACCGAAACAACGTCTACCTACAGGCGCGAGTACGGACCGTGCCGCCACCGCCGCCAGTTCTCCTGGACCCACCAGCGGCCGATGAAGGCGGCCTGCTCGGCCCACTCGGCGGCCTCGACGCCAAACTTGGTCTCGACCTTGCGCAGAAAGTCGTGGAACTCGAGGTCGAGGGTCACCTGCGCGTTGTGGATGTCCGCGCTGAACTGCCACTCGACGTCGGTCGCGTCGCCCACGGGCACAGTGAGCACCCACTGTTTGTGCTCCGCGTCGCGGATCGTCAGTTGCTCCCCGCCGGGATTCACAACTGTGAACTGCCAATTGGCGACGTCGTTCAGCGTCTTGGTCCGGATTGGTCGGATCATAGACTGGCCCTCGTAGTTGGCCGTGAGGTCGCGCGCAGCCTTGGTTGCCGGCTTGGAGAGCGACCCCGTCTCAGCCAACAGGTCTAGAATCGTCGGCACAATGTCTCGCGACGTCACCGACGACTGGACCTTGATCGGCGGGAGGAGCGGGTGGGAGAAGACCATGGGCACAATGTTGTTGATCGTGTACGGGTTGTAGTAGGTCGGCAACTTGCCGTTCTCGGGGATCGACAAGCCGTGATCGCCCACCATCACAACGAGCGTCTCGTTGGCCACCCCGAGATCGTCAAGCGCACCGAGAATCTTGGCCAGCCACCGGTCGTCGTACCCAATGGCATTCACCCACTTGGACAGGTCGTCCAGGCCCTTGCCTAGCTCCTTGTACTTTTCGTCTGGCTTGTCCGTGTCCGGAATGCCGTAGGGGTGGTGACTCGTGCTCGTTAGGTGCGTAATCATGATACGCTTGTCATTCTCCTTTGCCATGTTGAACTCGTCCTTGATGTAGTCGAGCAGTGGGTCCTCTGGGACGCTGAAGTAGTTTACGTCGGGGAGCGTGACCTTGCCAAACTTGGCATAGTCGGCCTGGAGATACTCCTTGTCGTAAAAGTGACCGTAGCCCATTTTCCAGACAAGGTTCTTCTGCTCGTCAAACGTGCTAGTGGCCGACTGCATGAAGGTCGACTTCCAGGGGTACGAGCGGTAGCCTTCCTCGCCTTTGTGGTTGAGTCTTCCAAGAACGTCAAGCACATGCGGCAGGCATGGCTGATAAAGATGCTTCTTGTACTCGCGGTTAAAGTCCACGATGAGGGGGACCACGCCACACAAGGACCCCGCAACGCTCTTGAGGGTGTAGGTCGAGGTGACAAAAGTGTCCTCGAACGAGATTCCGCCGCGAGGCTTCTTCATCTTGTCCTCGGCCCCGCTTTCGTTCTCGACCTCGCCCTCGCCCTGGGGGGGCGCAAAGCCATGATCAAAGTCGCCGGTGAGGTGACGTGCCGTCGCGGATATATTACGCAGCCGCTCTTCGACGTCAGAGGGGAACTCCTTGTTGTCCCACGTGTCGGCAAAGCGCTGGGCGATCACACCATCCTTCTTGAGGGGGAAGACGTCTTTGCGTGTGCTCTCGAGGAGAATGGTAATGACATGGCGGATCGGCACAGTCTTGAGGTCGCCGAGAGCCTCCAAAACGTCGTCGTGCAAGTTGCTGATCTTGAGAGGGTCATGCGAGGCTGTGTAATGCCTTCTGTCGTGGTACCAGTCCTCGAAACCTGCGGGCTCGCGGTCGGACGGCAACCACTCGTACTTTGTTGGACGGCTCATGGCGGTCCTACCGTCCCACTTGAAGCCGATGCCCGACTTGTAGAGGGGCTTCATCTTTGCCAGGGCCTCGGACGCGCTGCCCAAGGCGACGAATGGCGAGACGATGGCAGTCCATGTCATGAGCTTGAGCGTCGCCTTGTGGGGGCGGATCATGAAGAGGATGAACATGGCAAGAAGGGCGGCCAGGCCGGCAGCGTGGGTGAAGATCTGGAAGAGGAGCACCCATGGCCAGTTGCGAAGGTTGAGGCGCCTGTGCCATGTCCATGTGCGGGGGTTGAGAGCGCTCCATGGCCAGTTGCGGGGATTGAGGGCGTGCCACGGCCATGCGAAGGGGTTGAGCGCGCGCCACGGCCAGGTGAGCGGGTTAAGCGCATACCAGGGCCAGTTGCGGGGATGGAGGCGATCGCGCCACGAGCGGCGTTGTTGCAAAGACGAGACAGGGGCGGAGCGAGCATTGCCAAGCAGACCGTCCGTCTCCTCTTCGCTGGAAGCCAAGTTGTCGAGGTCGTACTCGTCACTGGAAGTCTCGTCGAGGTCAAAGTCTTTTGGTTCGCAAGCTTCGAGGTCGATGGAGCCAGAGGTAATTCGTTGCCTAGCAGAGGCGAGCCATGCGCGCCAGGTGGTGCGGCGGAAGAGGTGGCGGGGCCCGACAGCCATGACATAGGCCATTGCGATGAAGGGTGCGGAAAGGAGGTTGGAGAAGATTTCAAAGATAAAGTAGAGGGGCCATTGCAAAAAGGCGGCGGTTGCGATGCAAGCAAGGGTGATGTAGATGGAGGGCCAGAGGCCTGAGAGAAGGGTGCGACGGCCTGCAGCGTCGTTTGCGAGGGTGGCGTTTGCCCAGTGAACTTCTACGCCCGAGTTGTAGAAGACGCATGCGTTTGAGAGAGAGACAAAGACGGAGGTTGAGAGGAGAAGGGTGCCTCCAAATCCTACGAGGACGCGTAGTGTCCTGGATCGGTTGACGTCGAGCTTTCGTGCGACAAAGAGATGACAGATGACGAGTAGGACGACGTCTTGCAAGAAGAATGAGTAGCACCATCGGGTCAATTGTCCTTCTTGAAGTGCGCCGTAGTGGGCGTAAATGTGGACGACTTTTGAGAGGATGGTTGTGACGGCTACGAGGGCAAAGGTTGCTTTACGGTTGAACAAGATCATGCCGAGGAGCGCCCCGCAGCTTGGGCGGGAGCGTAAGGCCGAGGACATTGCAGCTACGTTTGCTTTGTTAGGTCAGAATTGTGGGTGGGACCTAGCAGCTGGTATAGCTGTGCAAGGAGGAGGAGGAGGCGCGAGGCGCGTGCGGCGCGTGCGCCGACGGAAGCGGGGAGAAGGTGGCCCGGGTGGTGGTGTTTGGGAGAGAGAGCAAGAAAGCGTCGGTGACGGCGGGCTGTTTGAGAGATTGTGACTGCGCAGCAAAGAGTGTGTTTGGGGGGGAGGTCGTGTGACGAGGGGGAGATGTGGGTGGGACGGCCGCCAGCCGCCGGGGCTGATTTAGAGGATGATTGTGGTTGTGGAGGGTATAAGTGAGGCGAGGAGGAGGAGGAGGGTATGTATGTTGACAGGGAAGCGAGAGAGGAGAGAGAGAGAGAATGAGATGAGATGAGAGAGATGTGTGGTGTTGTTGAAACAAGAGTAAAGTGGTTGTAGTGGAGATGGAAGAGGAGGCGAGGCACAAGCGAGAGAGTGATGAGTGAATAGGCGTAAAGTGGTAAACGTGGGGTGGAGTGATCCGCAGTTGAGGGGGCTAAAGGTATAACGGGGGGCGGGGGTTGATGCAAGATGATCCGCAGTTGAGCAGTCAGTCGAGTGTGTCGTCAAGAAGAGTCGTAGTAGGAGAGTGTTGTTGTTCTGCCTAGTTGATCTTGGGCCTAGAGATGTGATGGGTTCTGTTGAGAGAGAGGGGATGTCTGTTGAGAGAGATGTGATAGATGATAGATGATAGATGAGATGGAGACGAGTTGAGCAAGAAATTAGGAGATGGACGTGTGTTGCCGGGCTGAGCGTAAGCGCCACGCAGGTTGCCGTCTGTCGTCAACCTGCGGGGTTGAGCCGTGAGTCGTGTGCGGGGGGGAGGGAGGGAGGGATGAGAGGGATGAGAGGAGGCCTCGCGTGACTCTGCATGTGGCATGGCATGGCCAGGGTGTCAGACGCTTGTGGGCCAGGGTGTGCATGAGAGTGGGCCAGGCCCCTCTCTCTTTCTCGGGTCCCTCGAGTCCCCTCTTCCACCGGAATCCCTCTGCTCTTTCTTCTCCCCCTCCCCCCACCATGCATCGTGTATCACTCTCTCTCTCTCTCTCTTCTACTTTTATTCTTGACGTCACCCCTCCCTCCCTCCCTCCTGTGGTCTGGCCAAGTATACGCTCTTGGACACTCAAGCCTTGGCTGACCGTCCTATTACTCGTATAGTCGCTCCTCGCCACTCGCCCGACCCCTCCCTCCCCCCTGCTCACATTCGGACCCGATCCTCCATCCTCACCCCACTCGGTTATACAACTACTCACCCCTGATGCTGTGCAAGCCATAAGCCATAAGCCATAAGCCCAGATCTCGCTTCGTCCACCCTCCTGGTCCTCAAACAATCGTGCATGCATCCATTAATCTGTGCCATCTCTTGCAACATCTTGGCTTGGCCGTCTCCGTTGGCCGTCCACATACAAAAGCGGTGTCCGCTCAGACTTGTAAATGCTTCATGGCCTTGTCCCATCGGACATTGCACTCGGCCTCCGCCGGATCACCAGCCATGAGCGACCAACCAGCCAACCAGCCATATCCACTGCGGCCGAAGCGGTGCATATGCATCGGCCGATGCTTGGCAGATAGCATGCATGCACGAGGGAACGATAATGGCAGATTTTTTGGCACCCGGAGACGTATCAAGGTACGCAGATCGAAACGCAGCGAGTCTGCGTGATCGCGCGATCACCTCACGAGTAGAATGCATGCATGCATCCATGACACCGCCGTCGTTTAGCCGCATGCCGCGACCGCGACTTGCCAAAGCCGTGGAATTGCCGGATTCCCCACTGCCGTACACGAGATAACCACGTGGTACAACCACGTGGGATGATTGCATGCGAGATTGATAGCAATTGCGGGGCTGCTCTTGTGGACGACGGATGTACGGTGGTGACCGTAGATGACTGGACTGCATCGGACCCTTCCTTGCCACCAAGATTCTTCTCTCGTCGTGTCATTGTACATGTGCACTTTCCACATCTCACAACAATCATTTACACTCGTCTTCCAACTCGTAACGAATTCCGCACGTATTCTTCGTTCCTCGCCGCGCGCGACCGCGACAATCCGCAAGTATTACGCGTGGGTGAGTTCCGTGTCCATGCCCACGCCCGCTGACGGCCAGGCGCACCATCACTTGCCTGTACAGCTCCCCAACCTGCGCAAAGTTGCAGGAACTCTGTTACGCCGCCTTTGCCTACTCTTTCCAGCAAGCCTGTCGACTCGATCGACTTTATCCGCCCACCCTTCGGCCCCCCTTCGCCAAGTTTGACCGCAGCACGCTGGGCGAATTCGCGCCTACAGAGGCCGGCCTCGACGGAATACGGCATCGTTGTGCACAGGGAAAATCCATCCGTCTGCATCATTTGCCTCTACTTTCACATTGTACATACGCCTCATCATTCACCTCCGCCTACATGATTTGCCTATACTTTCACATTGTACATACGCCGCATCATTTGCCTACGCCGGCAACCTCTGCAGCACCGGGTTCTCAATGTTTTGCAGCAACGGCACACCCCCAAGACCCGGCTTGTCCGCGTCCATATCAAAGCGATCGGGCAGCACCAGCCCGTCCTTGCCATACCGCGCCACCATCTCCAACGAGCACCCGTCGCGGACGAGCCACGGGTCGTGCGTCGCCTGCTGCCACTGCTCGAGCGTAAGCCGCATCTTCGCCAACACCTCGGCACACTTGGGGTCCGTCGCGAGGTTTACGACTTCGTCGGGATCCGTCTCGAGGTCGAACAGCTCCTCGGCCGGCCGGAAGAGGTAGTTGTTCAACGTGCGGCTTCCAATCACGGGGGTCGCCGCATTACGAATACCCTCAAACGTGTAGCTTGCGTACAGATCCGACGCGAAGGGAAAGTCGAGCCGCCACGCAATGTTCCGGTGGTACTTGTACCGCCGGGAGCGTAGGACGCGCGTCGGCCAGTAGTTGTGCAGCTCGTGAAACGTGTGCGAGCCGAACACGTGATGCTGCCACTCGGCTTCGGGGACGACGTCACTGCGCTCCAACACGCCCAGGAAAGAGCGGCCACGGCGCGGCGGCGAGCGCAAGCTCGCGTCCTCTTCGCCGTACCCGCCCCCCGGAACCTGGTGGGACGAGCCCCCGGACCCGGATCGCGTCGAGTAGTCGAGCGGCAAGCCGGCCCAGTCGAGGAATGTCGGCAGGATGTCGGCCCACGACACCATATTCGGGTTGGCGACGCCGGGCTGAGCGCCCGGCGCGCGCACGAGGAGCGGGAGACACGTACCGGCATCGTACAGCGTCGTCTTGGCGTTGATGAATGGCGGCCCGTTGTCGCTGAGGAACACGACGAGCGTGTCGTCCGCCACGCCCTGCCGCTCCAGCGCGTCCAGCACCATCCCGATGCCCTGGTCCGTCCGGTAGATCGCCTTGTAGTACTCGGCCAGCTCCTGCCGCGTCTCGGGCAAGTCCGTGAGCCAGGGGGGCACCTCGACGTCCTCGGGCGCCACGTCGAGCGGCTTCACGCGCGCATCGTACCTGCCCTCGTTGCCGAACTTGCCGCGCGTCGTGATGTCGCGGTGCGGGTCGACATACCCGACCGTGAGGAAGAACGGGCGCTCGTCCTCGCGCTGCGCGCCGAAAAACGCCTCGGCGCGGTCCGCGACCCACGCGACGTCCCGCGTCTCGCTCTCCTCCCGGTGCGCCCACGGATACACGCTGTCTGGTCCGACGTGGATCTTGCCGATGATGCCCGTGCGGTACCCGGCGTGGTTGAAGAGCAGCGGCGCGCTCTCGACGTGCGCAAACGTCTGGAAGTGCGTGCGGAAGATGTTCAGCCCATACTGCCCGTTCTCGTGCGTGTGCAGGCCCGTGTACAGTGTCGAGCGCGAGCCGCTGCACGATGCTGTGCTCGCGAACGCCCAGTCGAAGCGCGTGCCCTGCGCCGCCAGCTTGTCCAGCGCCGGCGTGCGCACCGAGGGGCAGCCGTACGCGCCGACATACTTCCCCAAGTCGTCCGCGATGAGCAGGAGGATGTTCTTGGGCATGGTTTCCGAGGTGGGGCGGGATGCGCGCCGCCATTATCATGTCCCGCCATTATATTGTCAACAAATGGTCGTGTGCCCACCATCGGAGAACGCCGCTGGAGCCCCGAACACGAATATCCGGTTGGGCCATATCCCGTGGCGCGCCTCGGTTTGCTCGCGTCGCACATCGCAATGTGAAATCGCCAGTGCACCATGCTTGCTACTCCACGAAGGAGCAGGGCCGAAGACCTACAGTACGGCACCTGGCGCCAAGACATGAGCCCCGCGGTCGGCGATGCTCCGCTATTCGTGGCCGCCGAGGATCAGCTGATCCGGGAAACGCGCGAGTATTCGTCGAACGGGAATTTCGACGTCTGATTGCCACTCACCAGTGTTCTGCGAACGGGAAGGGCGTCAGAGATGAGCCTGACGCGCAAATTCACTGGCCCTTGCCGTGCTGATTAGGCTCCTCTCTGACGAACGTACATCCCCCTTGATCGAGAACAAAATTCGTCGAACGGGAATTTGGCTGGAAATCTGGAGATGGCCGTGGCGCGAGTGGGCAAGCCGGTCGCCATCTGGATAAGCATGAGCGCCATCCGGATTTCAGGGAGCGGAGTGGTTCCCCGCGGAGTGTTCATAAGCTGGGCCTCGGCAGACTGAGCCCCACACGAGCTCCAGACAAGCATTGCTTCACCATGTTTGACCTGTCGAAGCGTCCCAAGGCCGCCTGGACCGAGGCGACGCCGTACCTCATCTACTGCGCCATCGCGTTCGCTTTCGGCAACCTGCTCTTCGGCATGTGAGTACCCGCCGGACTGCTTCCTCCCCCAACTGCTGATGACAGCGACACGGGCTCGTTTGGGTCTATCCAGGCGCTCCCGTCCTTCCTCAACGCGTACGCGCCGCTCGGTGCGAATGGCAAGCGCGCCTTCTCCACCGTGGACAAGTCGACGATGAACTCGGTCGTGTGGCCCGGCAAGATCTTTGGCACCTTCATGTTCGAGCCGCTCGCCGAGCGCCTCGGTTACAAGAAGACGATGTACATCGTGGCCTTTGTGCAGTTTATCGCCCTCATCGTCCAGATGACCGCCAAAGACTGGAAGGTGTTCACGGGCGGGCGCGTCATTGCCTACGCTGCCGTCGGCGTGGTGGAGAATGCCGCGCCTTCATACATCTCTGAAGTGGCGCCGGCCGGCATGCGCGGTTTCTTCGGCGGCGCCATGGTGGTCGTCGTCACCATCGGCAACTTGTGGGGTGCGCTCATGGGCCGCGCATACGCCAACGAGCCCCGCAAGCTCGGGTATCTCGTGTGTGTTGGCGTGCAGTTCATTCCCGCCGTCCTCATACTCTTCCTGGTGCCCTTCTGTGTTGGTGAGTCACCCGCATTGTCTGCCGCTCACACACAGAATCCCCACGCTGGCTCCTGTCCAAAGGCCGGAACGAGGAGGCGAGCAAGAGCCTCGACCGCCTTCGCCCCCACGCTGATGTCGCGGCGGGGCGCACGCTCGTCGAAATCGAGGCCCTCCAGGAGGCTGTCGAGGTGCAGGAGTCGATGGACCAAGGACGTTGGATCGACCTTTTCCGCACAAAGGGCGGTCACTTGCGCCGCACTCTCGTCGCATGCGGCATCTTCTTCTTCCAGCAGACCGCCGGCAACCAGCTTGTCAACTCGTATGGTCCCACGTTCTTCAAGATCTACGGACTCGGCGACATGGCGTTCACCTACAACACGATGATCACGGCGCTCGGCATCCTCGGCGCCATCGCCGGCGTCATGCTGTGCGACGTCGTGGGCCGCCGCCCGCTCCTCATCTTCGGTCTTGCTCTCGCGGCCGTGTTCAGCGCCGTCGTCGGTGGTCTCGGGACCAAGCCGAGTCTCAGCTCGTTCGACATCCACATGATGGTCGCGAGCTTCGTCTTCGTCGTCGTCGGCAACAAGATGGGCGTCAACGTCCTGTGCTGTAAGTGCCGCTGTGACGGAGCTGACCTTAGACCTCATCGCGTCCGAACTCGGCGGCACTCGCTTGCGCAAGAAAACCATGGCGCTCTCCACCAGCTTCGACGTCGTCTCGGCCTTCGCCATCACCTTCACCATCCCCTACCTCCTCGGCAAGCCCGGCGCAAACCTTGCTGCCAAGGTCGGCTTTGTGTTCATGGGCATCTGTATCGCAGGTGTCATTTTCTGCTTCCTCTTTGTGCCCGAGCTCTCCGGACGCAGTCTCGAGGAGGTCGACGAGCTGTTCGAGGTGAGTACTGGAGTTGGGTGGGCTGACGAAAGCAAAATCTCTGGGCGTGGCAGTTCAGAAACGCCAAGACCACCGGCGTGGGTGCGCGCATCGCTGAGCTTGAGCGCGGAGGCGGAGCGCCGGTCAGAGACACCAAGCTGGACGAGGAGATGGCGGTGGAGAAGGTGCAGGGGACTCGCAGGGAGAGTGCGTAATTGGAGAGTGTGCAGGGGAGGGGTAGTTAATCTTGGGATGTGTACAAAGTTGGAATAATGCAGTATCAACAAAGCGCTGCTTTGTGCCCGTAAGCTGTGGCTGCAATATGTGGACGACAGTTCGCTTGGAGCGGGCGTCACTAGAGAGAACACGGGCCGGCGCGGGTGAGTCAACGCAATGAGACGTCAGAGCCGGCCACCTGGCCTTGGTCAGAGGCGAGTTAGTTTCAGCTTTTGGAATGGAATGTACATGCTCTAGTTTGTCTACATGCACCAGTCTGCGTCGCGGTTCACTGACCGCGCAGATTCCGCTTGATTGTCTCGACATCCTCCTCCGAAAACCCAAGATGGCTCGTCACGTAACCCTCAAACCCGCCGTACACCTCTTCCATGCCCTCGACAAAAGTATGCCAGAACGTGGGCCGGAGGGACGCAAAGTTAGACCATCCAGGTTCATTCTGCGCATCCGCAATGTTCCAGTGCGCCAAGATGCGTGCCTCGAGCTGCGCACGTCCAGGCTCCAACCCGACGCGCGTGAGCATGTAGTCGTACACGATGTCCTCCTCCGGCGTGCCCGCGAGTGCGTGGAGAATGCCGGCGACGATGCCAGTGCGGTCCCGCCCAGCTGCTATCAGCCGCATCCCCGACCCAACATACCAGTGCAGTGGAACAGGAGGGGCTCAGTAGGTCTGTCGCGTACGTGCTCGAGCACGGCACGGATGCCGGGGCGGTACAGCTCCGCAACGGCGAGGTACTGCCGTGCCCACTCCTTGCTCCCGTCACCCTCGATGAAGCGCGCCAAGTCGATGCGTTCGGGTTTGTGCTCAGGTGGGAACCAGACACTCTTCACACCCTCGACCTGCGGGTCAGGTGAGTGCCGCACCTCGGCCTCGCCTCGCAGATCGAACACCGTCTTCACGTGGGATGCAAGCCATGTGCACGTGGCCTCGTCGTCCTGCAGCTTGGCGGAGCGGTAGACCAAGCCTGGGCGCACGGCGCTGCCGGGCACCGCGCCGAGATCGCGCAGGTTCAACAAGCCACCTTGGATGAACGGAGTGGAGCTCAACGCCGCTGCAAGCTCAGCGGAGGGGATCGTGCGCGCGATGTCAGTCGCGGACAGCTCCTCGATCTCGGCTCGAGTGAGGGAGAGCGTCTCTGCGGCAGCCATTGAGCAGTGGATGTGGTGTTGGGGACTAGAGAGATGGAAGCGGCCAAGACCGTCGACTTCACATTGGGGTTGGCCGGTTAGCCCGGCCCGAACCAGCCGTTCGTGATAATGCCTTGTTTGGTTCCGTCAGTACCATGCCCTTGTCGGACACTTTTGGTCCCGCTCCCTCATCGACACGCTTTGATCCCGCTCCATGTACATATACGCGCGTATCGCGTATCCTTCCATGCATCGTCCTCTTCCTCTCTTCAGTCGTCGTTAGCCCTCCAACTCGGTCGCTTTTCTCTGCCGCATCAACATCTCCTTCATGTCATTCCCAGTCCGTGTAAAGGTGGCGCATAATCCCTCGTTGCGATGCACCTGCGAGGTCACCGGTTCCTCAATGCAGTGTCCAAGGCGCTCCCGGTGATCTGTGCGGAGAAGCTGACGGTGGAGGTGGCGTGCAGGCGTGCAGGTAGCCATCTCTCATACCTCTCATTGTCTCTACGTCCTCATCGACTCACCCAAGCCCTTTGTCAACATCAATCTTTCAACATCTCTTCAACATCTCCCGAGTTCAGCCCAAGACCCAGTGATGTTCGATTCACACATGTACCCGCACCTCCTCGACCTCGTGCTCGCGCACGCTTCCCGACCTGTGCTGTTTGCGTTTCGCGCGACTTCCCGCAGCATGCGAGTGAAGGCCGACGCACTCCTGGCGTACCACATTGTCCTTCGCGAGCGACACGATGCCACCAAAACATACGTTGCACCTGTGACAATCGAGAACCCCGAGGGCCGCCTTCCGCTGTTCTACCTTTGGGACGAGGCCGAGGATGATAACTTGGGCGACTGGCCCGTCATAGCCTACGACAGGTGGTGGGCAGCGTCCGAAGAACCCGACACCGCGCTGGCGCAGCGGGCGTACGGAGCCCGACAATGTCTCCGCCACACCCGCATCCTGGATATCGCGGGGGATGTGGATGGCAGCCGCATCGTCGAGCTTACCTCTGGCTTGAGAAACGGAGCTATACTGCGAGCTTTGCGCGGGGATGACGGCCTCACCATCCTCCATCCACACACCGAGCACAACGACGACACCCAACAAGCGCTCGACCGCCCGTTCAGTAAATTTATTGCCTTCGCGAATGTCTGGGACTTCATCAACATGCCAGAATTCCAGCTTTTGCACGTCAACGCAACCAAGGTTATATGGAATCTTTTTGTCGAAGAGCCTCCCGCCTGCGCGCCGGTCTTTGAACAGAACAGCTACGGCCCCACGCTCGGCTGGGGCACTTCTGAGCTGGTGGTCGTCTTCCGTCCTTCGCCCAACCCTGGACCATTCAGCCTGCTCGAGCGCGTCGAGCACCTGGGCTGGCTGGAGTTGGTGGTGCCAGGGAGGCGTGATGGGCGGCTTGTGTATTTCTGGGATTGGCTTCTGGCCACCGGCGTCAAGATCACACTCGTCAACCTCGCTGCACTCAAGGAAGCGTGGGCTCTTGATGAAGAGGTGGACCTACGCCGTCGCGGGACCGAGACGGGGGCGGACATTCGCTTCCTCACACTCGACGAGTACGAAAACGAGGCAGGGGAGGACTTGGAGCTGGAGACCGCGGAAGGTGCATGGTGTCATTGGAAGTCTGAGCCGCCGACCCCTCGCGAGCTTGGAGAGGCCAAATGGCGCACGGAATACCCCGACTCTGAATCTGACATGCCCGAGTTCTATGAGGAGTTTCTATGATCAGATTGATCGCGCCACGGCTAGGTCAGTCGCGAGATGGGACATGCAGATTGATATTTTGCCATGCACCTCCACCCAGCACATCATGTGGCCTTTTCATTCCACGCTTTCAAGACTCTCTGTAACAGCTGCCGCACGCCGGCGAAATATCTCCCAACTACTCGACGGTTAATCTGCAATAGTCAACGGAGATGGCTTGCGCTTCCAAAGGGCAGAGAGGTCCCGGGGATGTGCTCCCTCGCGACTCGCGGATCACGTCGCTGCAGACTCAAGCTGCCGAGAAGCAAGATGGCAGGCAGGTCTCGGAAGCTTTGCAACACCGCAGGGCTGGAGGCCATGGTCTGCGGCGGAGGAGGGTCTTGAGGTCACGATGAATCCGCGCTTACGGCGCTGGCTCGGGACCAGGCACGGCGGAAACAACCTCTGGCGCGTCGCGCTCCCCCAACCGCGATGGCGCGCAAAAGGCGTTGCGGTACCTGGCCGGGTTTTGGCATCGGACCATATTCCTTGGCCGACACATCCATCGATGATGGTCGAAGAAGAACATGTCAAAACAGCGCTGGCGTCCCCCATTAGCCTTGGTACTTCTCGCTTCAGCAATCCGGAGTCGATCATCCTGGCTTTTCCCCGTTGCCCTTCCATCCACCAGCTCCTCCGGCAGGCGCGTCTCCGAGAACACATGTCGCAACTCATGTCGGAACAAAGTCCACAGTCGACGGGCCCGCCTACGCCACCTTGGGAGTCCTCAGCGTACGCGTCCTCTGACACGCAAACGGAACGGTCATCCACGAAACACCGAGGAGTGGGGGAGTGGGGAGCTGGGGCATCCGTACTCGAGCTGCTGGTTCGACATGCTTCGTTCGAAGTTCTGCTCGCTCTCCGGACTGTTTCGCATCGATTTTGCGACAAAGTCGATGCGCGCCTGGCCGAATACCTGATCATCACTGAGCAGGGAGACCTTCCTGCCACCATACGAGCACCAGAGGGCCGGGTGCCAGCTCTGCGACCTCTAGAAGGCGCAGCACTTAGAGCCAGCGGGCCACCATCCCCCGAGTACGTCGGCCGACCCCGTTCACGCTCACACCAGATCTCTTCTGGGACTAGCTAAACAGCTCAAGTCTACGCGGGTGCTCGACTTTGCCGGCCCAATAACGGATAAACCCGCTGCCCACATCATTGCTCTCCTCAAGCATCGTGTGACCCTTCGATTACGAGCCAACGCCCTAGGCCAGCGTACCCTTGCACTCGGGCAGCATCTTGGACCAGAAGACTCACTTGCAATGTACTTCCAGGTCATGCGGCACGTTTCCCGGCTCGTCATGTTCACCCCGATGTGGGATCTGCTCTCGCCGAATATGCGGTACCACGACTTTGGCCACCCAATGCTGGATAAACTGGTCCTCAACAAGTTCGTGCTCAACGTCTCGTTCGACCCAGCATCACTCTCGGCGCCTCCAGACATTGTCGATACAGAGTATCCAACGGGCACTCAATCACTCGTCGTCATATTCCGGGCCAAGCCTGCCCCTCTACTGAGGACATCGAACTTCAACTTGGACATCGTGAGGGCTTCCTCGAGCCTCAGCCTAAGCCCAGCCAGTGAGGAGCCCGACATCACACTAGCCGACCTCCGAGCGCATATGGACGCGATCTTCACCGACTTCGCCTTCTACCTCTACGACATCCAGCATACGCTCATCAATATCGGCGACCTCAACCCGGCCTGGATAGGGGCGAACCCCACCGCTCCCCCACACACTTGGGAGGACGTCATTCGCCACAAAATTCGCGGCCATGTGCGAGCGCACCGCCCCGACCTTGCAGCGGCCGAGCTGGAGGAACTCCTTGCCCGTAACCTCCGCTTCATGACCCTCGAGGAGTACGAGCGGGAGATTGGTCCCTCTGAGTTCCGCATTGAGACGGTGGAGACCGTTTGAGGGGCGGGCAGTTCAACCACGCCCACCTTGTTTCCATCTCGCCTCCTCTTATTCCGCCTCCTCTATTCGTCTCGCTTTCCGCCTCCTTATACTGTAAGTCCGCGGGATGGTATGGAGCGAGAAGAGGTCTTATCAGCCAGGTTTGGTGCCGCTGATACACCGTGCCGTGCGCCCTCTGTCCCTTACGTTTCAAGCATGTTTGACGTTTCGCTCCATGTTTCGGGTCACCCTGCAAGCTGTCCGCTCCTTCATCTCGACGCGCTCACAAGACGCCACCAGACGTCGACCAAAGTGAGTTGCGCCTCAGAAACCTTTCCCGAAGCAGCCACACCACGAGGCCATTTCATTCCCCCCCCCTTCCAAGCTGCACCAGCCGAACAACAATGTTGTGAGGGAGGGTCGAGGGTGCGGGAGCGGGTCGTGCCTGGCCTGCCATCAGTGGTCGGATCTGATTCTGGGAATGCCGTTAATTGACGAGAGATGTTGAGCAGGTGCTCAAGAATCGACATGCGCAAACGCGCTCGGCGCGACGCTCGGGAAGCCCTCGTCGTCGGGCCTGAACCTGAGCCTGAGCACCTCATTCTGCGCCGATCACTCAGCACCCAACGATGCGTTATAACAACATGACAGTCGCCCGGCTTCGCTCGCTGCCTTCATCAACATCACTCACCATATCTCAACAGTTGTACCATAGTGGGCGTCAAGGCCGACCCATCATCCGGTCAGGATGTCCACGCGAGCTCTCCAGGTGAGGCAGACGAGGCGTGCACCCACACGCCCTCGCATCCGCACCAAGCCGCCACAGCCGTCCCGGATTTGCCTGGACGCCAAGATGTATCCTCACCTTCTGGAGATGATCCTGGAATGCGCGGAGCACAGGTCGCTTATCGCGCTGCGAGCCGTGTCACGTTCTCTCCGAAACCGCTGCGATGCGCGCCTCGCCTGCCACCTCGTCATGGCGCCGCGACATCTCCTACCTTCGGCATCGCCTGTGCAAGTTGAATCGCCACCACCTCTCTCACCACCAAGATGGGCTGCGGAGGAATGGGAGGAATGGGAAGACCCTCCCGACGCATTGCCTCCCTCACTACGTGCGTATTCACAGCCTAGGCAGGAATTTAAGGTGTCGATCACATCACCTGCTGGGCGCATCCCGCTCTTCCGAGCTTGGCAGCAGGCCATCTGGAATGACACCGAAGCGGAGGTTGACGACCAACCGCTGAACATGGAGTGAGTGTTTACTTGACTCTTCTGACCTCAGATCAAAGCTGCGGGCAATTCTCAGTCTGCGGGGCACACGAACCATCGATGTCGTCGGAGCGATCATCGACCCCCGCCCCGCCTTAATCTTCCAGCTGATAGGGCGTCCCATTACCCTTCGTCTGCGTCGGGACGAGACGGGAATTGCGCCGCAGATGGCCAGCGGCGCGGCGCTTCCACCTGACTTCGACGTGATCAAGCTGTACTCGCTCGTCGTCGAGAATGTACACACAGCCGTCATGTTCTGCGACCTCTGGGACACACTCCATCCTGCGCTGCAGCACCCTGATGTCTCGCACCCCTCTCTCACGCAGAGCAAGCAGCGACTCCGCCGCGTTGTACTCAACCTTTCGTTCGACCCCAGCACATTGTTTATCCCTCCCGATCTTAACGACGCCGAATTTCCTCTGAGCGTGCATGAGGTCGTGCTTGTCTTCCGTGCGGTGCCAGGTCACCGGCCGCGCGGGGCAGTGCGGGCCGAGCCAGACGACATCGCACGCTACCTCGACCTCCTATTCGAAACTATCGGCTTCTATATTCGCGACATGGCACACACGATCGTCAACGTCACGGACCTGAATCCTGCGTGGGGCGGCAGCGAGGGCGCGGACTGGATCACGCTTATCAGAGAGAAGATTCGTCGCGACCTTGCGCTGCGCTCGCCTGAACGCGAGCGCGAGGCGCCAGACGACCTCCTCCAGCGCCAACTGCGGTTCCTGTCTCTCGACGAGTTCCGGCATGAAGTAGGCGAGGAACAGTTTCGCATTGAGACAGTCGAAGAGCTGGACAAGCAGCCCTGACACGGGATGAGACACGGACACTCGACAACACTAGGACACTAGGACATTGGAACAATCCACAGACACTCACTATAGACAATTATTCATAGATTCTGCCCGACAGCCACATGGACACTATGGCCCGCAATCGGAAGGTGGGAGTTAGATTCACCCGGAAGGGATCTTTCGGTCCGAGTCGGCGCCCGCCGTCATGTCTGTTCGGGCCGTCAGGACGGAGTAGACCCGTGCCTACCCCGTTATCCGTTCTGTTCTGAGGCGGCATAATCCGTTGCTCGCTCTCTGGCGGCTAGCGGACGTCGTCATGGCAAGGCGGGCAGCGGGCGTTCCTGGCCGCGGACTATCGCGTCGCGCGACGCGAGGTCCGCTGATGCCAATTCTCAACCTTGACATGGCAGGCACGGGCTACCCGGCATCTGCTAGCTGGTCCTGGCCATCACGGACCCGCCACGATGCCACATGCCTGTGAGCAGCTGAAGCCTACCCGCGTCGATGCGAACACTTCTCGCTTCGCTGCTACACAGCCCACCAGAGTTGTTGCGCGTGACGAGTTCATGCACTCGCGCCCACAAATCAGCTTCGCGTTGCCCGTGAACGCAGCGGTACATACAGAGAGGAGCAAACTGGATCGTGGTGTACATCGCCTCGCTCCGGACCTCTTCGTATTCTCGGGTTTATGGATGGAGAACCATGAATGACCACGTTAGGACTCTCCTTACGTCAGCAGGAGCTGAGTAAAGATCTGACTTCCTGCTTATCCTCTGACGGTCTCTTGTACTTCACGCCATCATGAACGCCCCCGCGCTCATTATGCAAGTTGGGGCGCTATGAGCGAGAGATTTTGTGCTGCTTCTATGGTTCTGGCTCACCTCTTACTCTTCATCTCTGACCTCGCTTCTTCAGCTCTTCAATGGTGCCACTAAACTGCGTCTCAAACGACATGCCTACCGCCGGGGTGGGCGCCCTGTCGCTGGAAGTAATCGGCCCAACAGCTGACAACAGTGGCGAGCGAGGCAAAACAGCGCCTCTCGACGTGACCCGCTACCCCCACATCCTCGATGTGGTCGTGAATGTGGCGCGCCACGGCTCTCTCATCGCGCTGCGCGCCGCAAACCGCGCCTTGCGGGATCGGTGCGACGCACTGCTCGCCGCACACCTCGTGCTGCGCTACTTCCCCCCCTCGCCACTGGACCCAAAGCACTTAGTCCCCGCATACCTCTCCTCGCGCGGGGGGCGCGTCCCCGCGCTCCTAGACTGGAACAGGCAACGTCTAGCCGAGGACCGGGCGCTCGCGCTCGCCGAGCCGCACTACATACCGGGCATGACGGAGATGAGCCCGCTGCGGGGCGACGACTACCTCTCGGACGCGGACATCGACGGCGTCGCCATCGCTTTCCTCCCCGCCCCGCCGTGTTTGGCGGGCGCGCGCGTCCTAGACCTCGCGGGCGCGCGCGACACGCACCTCGCCAAGGTCTTGGCTCACTGCGCGCCGCTCGTACGCACCGGCCGCGAGCAGGACGGGTACCACGCGCTCGCGGCGGGGAGATGGGCGCCGCGCGGCCTCGCGGTCCCGCGTGCGGTCGTGTGGACGCATCTTTGGGACTGGGGGCACAGTGGGCCGCACGACTACGACCACGGGCCGCACATATCCCTCCTTAGCGCCCGCAGCCTCGTCCTCAATCTGACGTTTGACCCGCACGCCACGCGCAACTCGTGCTTCATTGACATCACGTATGCCGATGCCGTGGAGGACGTCACCGTCATTTTCCATGCTGAAAGCGGGTTTGTAGGACGCCTCCCCTCTCACCCGTACATGGGCGACCTACCCACACCGCCGCCCCAGCGGACACTCCGCCAGGTTGTCACCGCGCTGTACTGCGGTTGCGAGATGCCGCACACTTTCGTCAATCTCTCCGCTATCCCTGCCTCTTGGTGGGGACAGGAAGGGTCATGGGACGACAAAAGGGCTCGCATTACGCTGCACGCCGCCTTGCTTGAGCGCCACGCCGTCGATCCCCACCCGAGACTCCAGGTGGACGCGTTGCTTGACAGGTTCACGGTTCTGTCACTGAATGAGTATCGTGAGATGGTGGGCGAGGAGAGGTTTGAGCTGTTTACCGGCTGATTGTACAATTTTGGTCGGCAATGGTATCCGTGATGTCAGCATTGGCCTATGCGCAATTACGTTGGGGGGTATGGGGCATCAGACGCGCCCAGAGCCAACAGACAAGAAAATGCGTACATGGGCTACATTACACTGAGAAACGAGGGTGCCATTCTAGATATCGCGCAAGAGACCCTTTCCGCCACGGCGCTGGAGGCTCTCCGCCAGCCCAACCGACCCGCCCAGCTGCTCCTGGTGCTTCATGAACATACCCGCCGCCTCGTCGCGGTGGTACTTTGCGCGCGCGCGCTCCTCGGCCTCGAACACGCGCTTCTCCTCCTCGGCGCGCTGCGCAAGCTTCGTGGAGCGCTCGGCGTACATCTGGCTCGCGGCGCCCGACATGGCAGCGAGACGCGCCGCGCGCATGTCGTCGAGCGCGTTGCCGGCGGGCTTGCGCTCGGGCGAGGGGCGGCGCGGGGGAGGTGGGCGGTCGTAGCTGCGGCCGTTGCCGTTGCGGTGGTCGCTGCCATTACTGAAGTCACGTGGTGCTCCGTTGCGGTCGCGGTGGTCGCGGCGGTCACGGGGGCGAGCATCGTCATTCTCGTGGCCGTTGCGGAAGTCGCGCACGTCACTTCCGTTTCGGCTCTCGCGTGGGCTCCGAGGCTCGCGCTTGGGTGTAATATCACGCTCGCGCTTGACTGGCGAGGGCTCACGGTGATCACGCGAACTGCGGGGCTCGCGCTTTGGCGAAATGTCGCGCTCACGCTTGACAGGCGTACGGTCGCGGTCGCGGCGTGGTGAATCGGAGCGCGAGTCACGGCGCTTACGCTCACGGTCGTCGCGGCGGGGAGATAGGGAGCGGGAGCGCTTCCGATCCCGGTCATCGCGGTCATCGCGGTCGTCGCGGCGCCTGTCGCTACGGTCGCGATCGCGGTGGCGGCGGTTGCGGTCACGGTCACGGTCGTCATCGTACCTGTCGCGGTCGCGCCTCCGGTCGTCACGATCGTCGCGGCGGTGGCGGCGCTCCCGGTCCCGGTCGTCGTCCGAGTAGTCACGCCGCCTCTCATGCCGGTCCCGCCTCCGCTCCTCCTTCTCAGCGCGGCGGCGCTCCCGGCGGTCCTCCTTGCTCTCCTGTTTAGCCTTGAGCGCACGGCGCACATCAGGCCGGTTGGCCAGCGCGGCGAGGTGCGCGGCCTTGGCCTTCTCCATGGCGAACATGGGGTCTTCGCGGATCTTGGCGGCTGTGTCGCGCGCCGTGTTGGCGTTCTGCAGCGCGATGAAGTCCTTCGACGTGTTGCCCACGTCCTTGTCGGCGCCGCGCAGCGCCTCGTCCACACGCTTCTTGCCGAGGAGGTAGTCCTCCAGCTCGCGCTCGGTGCGGCCCCCGCCCATGGCGCCCTCCGAGGTCGACGGGGCCGCGTACATCCAGTCGAGCTTCTCGACACGCTTCTTGCCGGTCTGCGCCTCTTGTAGTCGCTGGAGCTCGGCGAGTTGGCGTTCTTCGTCCCGCTCCTTCTGAAGCTGCCGCAACGCTTTGCGTTCCTCGGCCGCCTTCTTCTCCGCTTGCCACACCTTGTCCTGGTTCACCAGCAGGGCTGGGTGCCAGGACTTCTTCATGTTGAGATCACCGCCGCCCATTTTGACGAGTTGCGCTGTGGGAAGGAGGAGGGCGAGGGGTGGCGGAAGTCGGAACGAATCGAGAAGAGAAGCTTCGAGTCGATAAAGTAAGCCCGGCGCGCGATGGGTAGCACTCGCTGCGGTGAAGTTTTGCGGCCGATCTGAGAGGCAGGCCAGACAGCAAAAGCAAGAGGGAGAGAGTGCGAGATAGAGAGAGAGAAAGAGAGGGGAGAGGATGGAGAGGAAGTGAAAGGGGGATGAGTCTTGGTCAGTTGGGTGGCGACACCCCCAGCCAAATTTCCTCGTGGCAATTTGATTCCGCGCCTCCACCTCACAGACCCAACAAACATCCTTCGAGATGCAGACGTCGATGCGGGCTGGACAAGGTACATGCATTGTTACAGGTATGGCAATCTAAGACGACAAGGGAGATCGAGATACGCGCAGGAGAAGCAATCGGAGAGGGGCTATCGACAAACTCTCAACTACAGCGCCTTCCAGCGCTCCATCCGCTGAGTGAGCGACCGGAACACCTCGTCCTGCACGAGCTTCTTGACGCTCGCCTTCTCCTTGCTTCCCAGCCCGCCGTTTTCGAGCTCGTCGTCAATCCGTCCCGGCGACAAAGCGAGTGGGTTGAACGTGATTGTGCGACCGTCGCTCAGGGGAATGTCGACGAGGGCATCATCGACCAATGCTGGCGCCAAACTCTGACGGAAGATTAGGGAGGGGGCACGTTTCGACTTGGACTGCGTCGTTGCTCGGCTGGACTGTGATGCGCGCTCCGACGCGCGTTCAGCGGCTTCCTCCATCGCTGCGGGATCGGGCAGCTCATCGTCGTGCTCGCTCTCACTCTCCAGCTCGGGGTTCACTGGCGAGCCGTTCTGGCTGAAAAACGACTCGTTGCGCCGAGGCGCCCGTCCTGCGGGTGTCTGGGGCAGCTGGGGATTGAACTCGTGGTCCTGTGGGAGCGTCGAGGCGCTGGTTGCAGGAGGGAGCGGCGTCTTGGCGGCCTTCTTGGTGCGGCGCTTCGGTGCAGGTACAGGCTTCTTGGTGCGCGCTGGCGTAAGTAACGGCCCTCCCACTGCGGCTCACCACTCTTCGTCGTCTTTTCGGAGGGAAGTGGTGACTGCCCTTCTCTCTTTCTGCCGTCAGTTTGTGATTACGGGAGCGAGCTCACCTCTTTGCAGCAGCCAACACCGACTGCTCGTCCGTTGAAGGCGCCGTGCGCTCAAAGCGCTTCTCTGCAAGCCGCCGGGAAGTGTCGGCAAAGTTGCCCGCCCAGCACTCGTCGAGCTCGCCGAGCGTCATGGTGCGCAGGTCGCGCGGGATGCGAAGAATTTCGGCTTCGACGAGGGAAAGGAAGGTAGACAGCATACTGTCAAGCTCGGCGCGCTTGGTAGATGTTCGGTGTGAGACTGCAGTTAGCACGGGGCATTGCAAGTGAGAGAGTGTCACGTAGGAGCAGAGAGTACTGCTAGGCGCGGATGATTCAGGCAGCTAGCAAGATTGAACAACGTAGCACACGTTGGAACCGGAGCAGCACTACGCCGTCTTGCCATCAGAAGCTGCACTCACCCTCAAGCTCGTAGTTGTCAAGGACAGCCTGCCGGCTCGCGTCGCGACGGCTAGGCGTCTTCGGGACCTGCTTCTTAGGCGTCGACATGGCGACTGGACGACGGATCTTGGTAGACATGGTAGAGGTCAGTTGAGTGATGAAGATGTCGAGTCAAGTAGTGTTGGCGGATTGGCGGCTGAGAAGGTGCGATCGGTTGTTGACAGCGAAGACGGCGCGGTTTTGCTTCCGTCTTCCCTGGCCAAACATGAAGTCGTCTTCATCCACTGCTGCCCCACTCCCCTTCGTACATGGCTCACGACAAGCGACTATCGAGTGCATGTAGTGAGACTCGACTCGAGCATAATGGTACACTGGCGCCCTACCGCATACCTCTCCTCAACGCTATTAATCCTCCCCACTCACTCCTGCACCCCTACCCAAGCTTGGGCCTCACGGAAGGCGCTCGGAGGCGACGCCCGTTCTCGCCCGCGTCCCAGATCTCCCTGGCGTCAACTCTGGTCTAGCACACCACAAAGACACCTACTTGACATTGCGCGGTATGCCGCTCTTGGGCCGGCGGCCGTCCGACGCAGCTCGGTCTTCGCCGTTCTCCAGCGGAGGACCAAGAACCGAGCGTCGCACCTCGTCGCTGGCGGTGCGCGTATGTCCCATGCGGCGAGACGGTATGCCCTGCCCAGAGCTGGAGAAGCCGTGGTATCCAAGCGGCGGTGACATGTCAGTGCTCTTCCGCCGCACCGCGGTAACCTTGCGCATGCCGTCGCCCCCCATGCCGGAAGATGGCGCAGGTAGCGTCCCCGCGACCAGGACAGGGTACACCTGCTGTGCAAGCTCTCGCACAAGAACAGGGTCATTCTGTTGCGCAAGCCGCTTGACAATCCGGTCGAATCGGTACCGCGGCACGAGTGTGACGCGCTGTGAGTGCGATTCCAGAGCAAGTCGCGTGATGCGCAGTAGGTTGAGCGTGATACCCGCCTTGGTCTGCCGCTCGAGCGATTCGGCCAGGCGCGTCAAGAAGGGCGGCGTCACAAATGCGCTCGTGAGCGGCGGAGAAAGCCGCATGATCTTGAGGAACGGGTCGAGAATGCGCTCATACGACTGCGACGACGACTGCACGAAGCACTTGGTCAGGCAGTCGATCGACTCCTTGCCCAGCAACTCGCCCTCCACTCGCGCCGGCTCATCTTGCATCCACGCCGTCAGCGCCTCGAGTGCGCTTACACGCCAGTAGGGGTCGTCCAGCAAGTCCAGGTACACTGCCATTAGCTGGAGTCGGAATCAACAACATACTGTTCAAGCCCTCGTTCTGCCAGAGAAGCCTGCGCGACTGCTTTCCAGCGTTCGCAAGGTCGCAAAGAACGGGGAGTGCAAACTGCTTGAGTTGCGACTTGGACATGATGACTCGTTTGAGGAGCGGAATGATGCCCGCAGCCGCCGCCTCCTCCTGCCTCGACTTGGACAGGCGGCACATGGAGAAGATGGTCTGGAAGATGTGGGAGCAAATCTCGTTGCTGTACGAGCCCTTGAGCGTCTTGCCAAGCAAGTCGACGAGGATTTCGACAGCGTTCGAGTTCTGCAGCACCTCCACGAGCTGGGGGTGTGTCGCAAGGTGCTTTACGGCCTTGATCGCCGTGACGAGCAGCTTGCGCGGGAGAAGGTCGAGGGCGCGCAGCAAGCGCATCATGATCGTCCGTTCGGCGAAAGACTGGCGGACGTGCGAGTCTGCCTGGGCAACTTGCGAGAAGAGGAGAAGGACGTCAAGGCACCGCTTAGTGACGTCCTCGTCGGCATCCTTGTCCTTTATCAGACTGAGGAGCGCGGTTGACAGCGGGTCCATGATGCCTTCTCGGGTAAACATGCGACAGAAGTCGGGTTTGGGCGTGGGCGACTGAAGGTCGAAGACACTTCCAATGCCCTCAAGTGCGGAAAGGATTAAGGCCTCATTGAGCGAGTAGTCCTCGTCCAAGAGATCAACGAGAACCTTTAACCCGCGGCAACTGATGTCAGCTTGCAGCTTTACCCAATGTCTGAAAAGCGGACGCACGAGATAAACATTTGCAGCGTTAAGGCACTGCGAGTGAGATGCTGAATGAATGTGGACGCCTCGAGGCGGATGTTGAGGTGATACCTCTTGCTAGTGTATGGCTGAGGTCAGCTTCGGGGACGCAAGAGTTCTCTCACGATCATGACGGGGATGCCGCCAACAAGACAGAACGATTCGAGATTATCGACATCAACGGCTACAATCTTGGTTCAGCGGAGACGAGCGCAGTGCTCACGAAGTTAACAATCTTAAGTAGAGACATGGGGAGCTCGCGGGCATGGTCGCGACGGTTTAGATTAGTTTCCAGCATGTCCAGAAGCCTGCGATCAGCGGCACCAACTACGCGCACTCACGCAAGCATGCCTCGATTTTGGACAAAGTGACGCTCGAGCTGCATCTCTGGTGGCGCGTTTTCGAGGGTGGACAGCTGGGCATGTTAACCACACGTTTCGAGAGTCACTCACTAGCTCCTCCGTCACCTCCTTGAGCTGCGGGGGTGGAAGGTGGCCCTCTAGCCGCGCAATGAGTCGCTCGACACTCGCATGCTTTGCGGCTCGTCGGTCGCGACGAAGGTTCTCCTCGTAGCTGTCTGTTGCGAAATCGTCCTCGAGCTCGGCGAATGGGTCCACATCTTCTTCCTCCTCATCACCCCAGGACCTATTGGACCGCCGCGTAAGCTGGAGTGATCCCATGGTATTCGTCCCTGCGGTCAGCTCCCGTCATCAACACACGTACCGTCCTCATTGGTGGCAGATCCGCCAAACATGTCGGAGTAGTCCTCGTCATCGGCTTCCGTGTACTTGAGTAACTCGAGGTGGTTACTTGACGCGACACGACCCCGCAACGAGCTTTGTCGCGAACCTGGTGGCGTTTTGGTGGGTAATGTAGGGCTGTTAATCGTGGATACATTTGGAGTAGGGGCCGGAGAGGGCACCCTTGCTGCTGGTGGAGCTGGGGCTGGCAGAGCTGGGGCTGGCAGAGCTGGTGGTGGCGCGGCTGGTGCTGGTTTAGGTGGTGGCACTGCTGTCGCTTGGGGCAGCGGAGGGAGTAGAGTCTTCGACGGTTTAGAGGAGTGCGGTTTGATCGTTCCGACCTTGTAGAGGTCGTTGGGATGGAGGATGGGCTTGCGGCCCTTATGCTGGGACTGTTATTAGCTTGATGAGACTGGTCAAGCTCACCCTCATAATCGACGCCTTGATTTTGAGCTCGTCGCCCTCCAGCCCGAGATCTGAGTAGTCTTCCGCAATAGGTTTTGGCCGCTCCTTCGTAGTCCTCTTACTCGCCGCCAGTGCATCACGGGACGGGCGCACCGTGGCGTGGTTTGTATCACCATCTTCTGGCGGGACAGGACTCGCCTTGCTCGTCAACTTGGGCAAGCTTATATCAAGGGCGAAGTCGTCATCCCACTTCTCAGCCTCGTCGCTCTCGCGTGCGCGGCTGAGAGCGTCGCTAACGTGCTGGTTCTTTTGCAACAGCCCAGTCGCACCCTGCCCCGCCTTGGGCTTGGGTGGTGCTATCGTCGCGTCGCTCCGGTCCGCCTTGGCCTCATCCTTAGCCTTCTTGGGTACCGGCAACCGCCGGATAGTTCCCGAGTTCTTTGGTACGGCTGCCGTTAGTCAACTTGCGAGGGCCAAACAACTCACCATTCAACGCTTCGTTCCACGCCTGCACCTTCTGGATGGCCTCGACCGCTGCGGCTGGCTCGTCGCCCCCCTTCTTGGCCGTCTGCATCCACGGGTGGCGCAAAAGTTTACGCGCCGACACACGTAGATTGGGGTCCTTCTGGAAACACTGGTATAGAAAGTCTTTGACGATCTGGCGTCAGCATCTGTCGCCAGTATAACGCTGATACGCACTGGACTAGCGCCCTCCGGTATCCTCATGGATTCGTCTTGAACGATCCGCCAGAGTGCCTGCATGGGAGTGAGACTGCCGAATGGCGGCTTGCCCTCGAGGAGCTCAACAACAACGCATCCAACACTCCACACGTCCGACGCGGCTGTTGCACCGGACTGCTCGATGACCTCAGGCGCCATCCAGTAGGGGCTACCGACGACCTCGTTGTCCGCGTCCGGGTGCTGAGCAGCGGCTGCGAGGTCGGGGGTGGGTGCGCGCGAGCTCACGCCAAAGTCGGCAAGCTTGACACACCCGTCCTTGTTTGTAAGAATGTTTGCGCCTTTGATGTCTCGATGTATCACACCCTGGTCGTGCAGATACAGCAGTCCTTCGAGAACCTGACGCATGTAGACGGCCACGAGTGACTCGGGGAACTTGCCATACCGCTTGAGAATGTTCTGCAACGACCCGTTTTCGCAGTACTCGAGCACGATGAAGAGGTTCTCCTTGTCGCGCGCAAACCCCTTGTACTTGACGATGTTTGGATGATTGAGGTTTTTAAGCAGGTCGATCTCGCTCATAATGTCTGGAAGGCTGCTGGCGGGCAGCGACGCCACCGAGATCTGCTTGATCGCGACCGTCTCGCCTGTATGGAAGTTGAGCGCGCGGTAGACATTTGCACTCGCTCCACGACCTAACAGGTCACCGAGACTGTAGTTTGAGAGTGTCGACGACATGGCTCATAGCGCGCCGCGCACGCGCAGTGAAGGTGCGCCGTCGGGGAAAGCACAGGAGCGACGACGCGGTTGAGCGCGGAGCGTGACCGTTGATGCGGGCGGCGAGTGTGCGGCGGGGTGGGAAGAAGCGCAGGAGACAGGGGGGAGGTGAGTGCTTGAATATGAGCGTGGGTAGGTAGGAGGATGAGGCCAATGCGTGCGATTGATGTTGGTGACCGACGGCTGTGCTGTGGACGCTAGGTGGTTTGTGCTCGGCCGGACTTGATGGAAGCGGTGGACGAGGATTAAAGTGGAAGGAGAGACAAAGAGCGAGATTGAGAGCGAGAGAGAATGAAAGAGAATAAGAATGAGAATGAGAATGAGAATGAGAATGAGAGTATAAGAAGAGTTGATCGAGGGCAGATGTGGAAGGAGAGGACGGCGAGTACGAGATGGACGATCACCCGACCCCTTGAGTGGCGGCGACAACCGGCACGCGCCTCCTCACCCAAGCCACCACCCACCCAGGCCACCCAGGCCACCTTGCTCACCCAACGCGTCATACTTTGACGGCCACACCCGCCTGGCCGCCCGACCCAACTGCCATCCCGCTCTTTTTCATGCACTTACAGTCCTCTCTCACCGGCAACTCTTGAACCATGCTACTGGGGTGTCGCCGATGTCTACATGCATAAGAATATCAGAAAAACGTGACAGTGTGCAAAAGGGCGTGGGGGTGCTTCTCCGCGTGGGCAACCAGAATGTCATCAATCTGGGCGTCGAGGTCACGCGCCGTCTCAATCTGCACATGGTCAGCGCAGCCACCGGATGTACACCAAACCACCACCGCCACTCACCTTCTGGCACAATTCCAGAATCGACTTGCCCGCAATGTGCGCTTCCTCCGGGTTGTCCTTGATCTCCACGTTGATGACATGAATCGGGCGATTGTATTCTCCCCCACGCGCGAGCATGTCTGGGGTCAGAAAGCTGTGTTGGGCGGATGGTGAACACCTGGCAGAGGGTGCGTATCGCTCACCTTCGCATACCGCATCGTAGCAACGCTCCTCGCAGGTGATGACAACGTCCGCGAGCACCGCGCGCTGCTCCTGCCACTTTTCCGGAGCTAACTTGACCTTGCGGTTGCGATCCAGCATCGGCAGCAGTCCGTTGGCTGCATATCTGGTGTTAGCTTTGCCCGTGGGTTACGGTGGCGCTCACAGTTTCGGATCCTTGGACTCAAGGTCCTTGTAGATGTAGTCATATGGTGTCCCGAAGCGATAAACGTTAGGCTTGTCGATCGCCGGACCTGGCAGCCGCACAGCTGAACCCGTTCCCGCGGAGATTACGCGCAGGCCTGCCTCACTGTCGTTAGTTGTCATTCCGAGTGGGGTAATGGAAAAGATGGGACGGTGTCGAAGAGCCAAGCGGAACGCACTTCAACACTTTGTGCGCCTCCATCGACCGATTCTGCGGTCAGCTGCGCAACATGAACTGCAACTCACATTGTTGCTTGCACACACGACACAGAACAAAGGGCGCTGTCGAATCTTGGGCTCGTCCTCCACCACTCCTGACGCCCCGTTCGTCCGCGCAACGTCAGCCGGCGGAGGAGTAGGACGATGCTCTGGCGGAACTGCGCGCTCTGGTGGTCCTGGTGGTTGTCCTCCTGGTCCTCTCCGGCGAGGGTCACGATCGCGCGGGTCGCGCCGCGGATCCCGAGACTCGGGGTACGGTTGCGTTGATGTCTGCCCTCTTAAACGTGGATCAGAAGGAGGGAAGGGAGAGTTGGATCCACGGTTGAACCGTTCTCCCCCACCTCCCTGCGCTCCACCGTACGGTGGATAACCTGCCTGTCCCCCTCCTCCACTCCCGCCGCCGCCGCCGCCGCCGCCGCCGCCACCACCACCTCCTACTGCTCCTTGTCTTCCGTAGTCGCCGCCACCACCGCCGTAGTTTGGTGGCTGGGCCCCGTACCCAGCTTGCCCTCCGCTGGGTCCAAATCCGCCGCGCTGGCGAGGGTCCCGTCTTCTTGGGTCCATGATACTGGGGGGTAAGCATCCGGAAATGCCACTGTACAACGCTCCAAGACACAAGCTGTCGAGCTGGAGACGCACCTGGAGCCCTGGTAAGAGAGAGGGTGGGAAGGATGAATGCGAGAGTGAACGATTGTTGCGGGGCCAGCGGAATTCGAAGAGAGGTGGTGAAGTCAGCGACGGAAGCAAATATTGTGTGTCGTTTTCTGGACCAACAACGATCCCCTCCATGGCATCCACCTCGCACTCGATCGCCCCACTTGCCTCGCTCTAGATCACTCCTCCAACTCTACACCTCTCTACTCCACCCCCGTTCCAGTCCTCGCAACGCTCGAGAGCTCGACTAGTCGACACCCATACGGCCCACTCACCCACCCCCACCGACCCGGTGGAGCGACCGCCAAAGATGGCGCTGTACACCCCCTTCGAGCTTGTCCACGCGCACCTAGCCGAGACGAGTGCCGTAGAGGTTGCCGTGCCCTCGGAGCGCTCCTTTCCCGCAACTGAGCATGACTACAACACTCCCCTCCACGCCGAGCACGCGCTCAGCGCCTCCTTTGATGCGCAGACGGGCACCCTTGCACGCTCAGTGTTCAATGGGTACGCGCTGGAGCTGCGTTCCCTCTCCCTTGTGATCAACTCCAAGCCAGACTCATCGCCCAGTGTGCTGCGTATTGTGCTCCCCGACCCGTTGCGGCCTCTAGCAAATGGCTGCATCATTCCCGACTTTGGAGCGGGCGTTCTGATCGTGCTCGTCGTCACAACCGCCGACGTTATTTACCGCTTCACCTTTCCTCTTTCTGGCTTCTCCGACGCGGGTGACCGTGTCATACTCCAGACGAAGGACACAGACTGGGCCGAAGAGATTGAAATCGGTGACGAGACAATCAACGCTGCTGGCGGCATCGCAAGCTGGGCAGCCGTCAACCAGAACACTGTTATGCTTGGCTGCTCGGACGGTGGCATCATAAAGGTCGCTCGCCTTCCCGACTCTACACCCGGTGAGCGACTTGGTGGAGGATATGAGCTGATAGTAGAAAATCCCATTTGGACCGCGTCGCACCACCGCGGCCACTCAAGATTGCGCTTGGGCTTCTTCAGCCGCGGCGCCGATGAGACGGTCACGTCGCTCGCAGAGTTCGACTACCAGGACCAGATTCCGGTGCTTTACTCGTTGTCGCGCGACTCCAAGTTGCGCACATGGTCGAGTGTCAGCGGGCTGTGTCTGAAGACGCTGGACGTGCGGCTCTCATCCCAAGACCTTGTACCGGCTACCCAGGTGCCAGGCGCGCAACCCTCAGCAGAGCTTTCGACGTCTCTCATCCGCGTTGTGCGCCATCCCAATCCTAGCTCGCGTTGCTCGCATATTGTCGTCGTCTTCATTCCCACCCCCTACAACCCCTCAGTTCCCGGCACTTTTGTGTTCTACCGCGCTTCCCACCCGACTTCTGGAGCCAACGATTTGGTGTACGCAGGCGAGCGAGCCGGGTCACCGGCTTCCGCAGGCAGTGAACTGCGTGGCTTCGAGATCCAGCCACCTTCACGGACGGACGCAGCGGACGGATGGCGGCTTTGGGCTGTATGGGATGCCAAGGGCAAGCTCGAGGCCGACTCGGTGCCTATCAATGACATCCTTCAGTTCACCACGTACCACGCGCCACCCACCAAGCCGCGCATGGTCTTCGACTGGCAACGAGCGGCGTGCTACGACGGCGTGGAGCGTTACGACACATCGTACTTCGACGCAATCCTCAGCCTTGACCCACCTGACCCGGCCCAGCCGTATGCGAACGAGGACATCTCCGATGTCTTTGTCAAGCACCTCCTTCATCCCGGCCGCTTCTCGAGCCTTGATCTCACCACAGCTCTGGACGACTACATCGCCCACCTCCCCATTCTTCTCCAGGAGCGGGCTCGCAGCGTTGTGTACCCCAGCCTGGCAGAGCGTTTCAAAGGCGCCGTCGGCTCGGCGCTGACCATGAAGATGAGCCCGCAGACTGGCGCGCCTGTTGTGCGTGAGTTCCGCGCCGAGTTGAAGCAGCAGTGGCTCGGTATATGGGCGCGAGTGTGCGAGCTCGACAAACAGGGTCGCTGGCCGGTGGCTACAACTTGCATCGATGGCCAACTCGTCATCGTTGACCGAGAGGGCGCCTCGACTCCCGTGCAGGAGGACACGTCGGCAGTCCTTGTTCACCATGGACAAGTTCCGCAGCAGGCCGCGGAGTTCCAGACATTGCCTGAAGGTGCTCTCCGTGCGTTGTATCCTGCTTTGGCGCCGCCAAAAGCACGCCGCGCTATCACTGCTACATGTGTGGCTGGCGAGTCGCTATCCACATTGTTGCGGAACACGTCTTCAGGCGACGGCAGCGTCTCTGCGCTCGACGCGTTGTTCAGTCATCTCGATAGCGAGCTGTCGGTCCCCGCCTCGGTTCCGCCAGAGGAACTCGCTGGCGGTCTCTGGGACGACTTCATGGAGCCGTACCTCACGGAGGAGACTCGGGCCCACGTCACACGCGCACTTGCCGAGTCATCCTCGATCCCTCGCACGCTCGCCGACATCTTGGAGATTCTCTCGAGCTACCCCGCCGCGGCAAGCGGGTCGCAGAAGGTCGACAACTGGTCACTCTCAGGCTTCGGCAACGCCCTGCTTGCCTCGACTGTCTCGGCTGTCATCGCGAGCCGCTTCGCCCTCGCGCGCGATGTCCTCCTCGTTGCGTTGTACCACACAGCCACATCTTCTGACCTTGCTGAAGACGACGACGCGTCGGAAACCCTCATCGCGGTGATCGCTCGGGCACAGGTCACTTACCACCGCTATCGTGTTCTGTCGTGGCTGTCGCAGCGGAGCGGTACTAGAGAGGGTGATCGTGAGATTCAGAAGCGGAATGGGAGAGATGATGTGCTTGCCGCGTTCGGCAGCCTGAAGATGCGCGAGAATGAGGACAAGGGTATCGACAGCGACGGATACGACACAGCCTACTCGCTTTTGCACTCGCTGCTGGCACAGTCCTTGAGGCCGCAGGCACCACGTGACACCTTGGCGGGTCTCTTCAACATGGCGAGCAGCCTCCTCGCAGACCTCAGCCTCGTGGGCAGCGAACAATTTGATGTTGAACCTCGCGCAGCCGACGTCAAGCTCGCCTTTATTGTGCTTGCCGACGGGCACGCGGCTACAGCCGTAGACCTCACAGAGCTATATCCCATGTCGTCTGGGACGGCATATGTGCGCGGCCTGGCGCTGTTAGAAATCGGGGACGTTGAGCGAGGAGCAAACCTGCTCGAGCGAGCCTCAGCAGGTTGCAGAGGTGAGCTCTTTCTTCTATTGCAGCGAGCTGACATCAGATGGATCACTGCAAGTGATCAACCACACGTGGCGCTCGAAGAAGGCGCTCGGTGACTACTTCCTCCACGTGTTAGATATCGTCAAGCAGCGAGAGCTGTGGGTCCCCGTTGCGCGGTTCGGGGAACGCGCGCTGCAGACGATTGACCAGAACGGGAGCGACGCCAAAACTGTCTGGACAAGCGTCTTCCTCGCCTACCTCCAGCTGGGACAATTTGAGGACGCCTACGCAACACTCACTGACGCGCCGCGGGCAAACAAGCGGGACCTGCTGGGCCAGCTCATCAGCGCGATGTGCGAGGCAAACGAGATTGGGCGCCTAAACTCGCTTGGCTTCATTGGGTTCCAGAAGGAGGTGGAGGAGCTCCTCAACTACAAGGCGCGTAACAGCGACCCTCTTCGTGCCCCCAACTACTACGAAGTGCTTTACTCATGGCACATCAGCCGGGGCGATTACCGCTCGGCCGGCGAAACAATGTATGCGCAGGCGAACCGATATGCCGAGGTCAGCTCGAAGCTGAACCGCACGCAGGTCGCGGCGCTGAGAGCGCGCTCGTTCCTGGCCGCAATCAATGCTCTCTCCCTGGTCGACAAGCGCAATGCCTGGATCACGATTCACTCCCCACGTGCGGCGAAGCGGCGCCGCGTGACCTCGTACATCCCCGAGGAGGCGTTCTCCGCGACGGCTTCCACCACTGACATCGTGACCTTGGCCGACATGCGGTCAGAGTACCGTGCCATCCTGTCGCAGCTCCAGCTCGCGCCGGAGGTGCCCGACCTGCTGGCGGGCAACGTGTCGCTGGCGCCGACCGAGATTGTGGGCTTCTTCACGCAGCGCGACAAGTTCGACGAGGCGTTCCTCGCCGCCGCCGAGATGCACGAGGACATGACAGACATCTTCACGGCGCTCGCGACGCGGTGTGTCGAGCTCTCGCGCGGCGCGAGACGCGACGACGCGCGCGCCGCCTTCCTCCGTGCGCCTGCGACCGCGCGCTTGCGCGGCCCGCCCTCGGCCCTCGCACTGCGATACCTCCAGATCGCGCTGGCCCGGCACGACAGCGCCGCCACGCGCTGGAAGTACACTGCAGCGGTGGCCGACACGCTGTTCGCGCTCAACGAGGACGCGGCGGCCGGGTGGGCTATGCCCGCGTGGCTTGTGCAGGCCGAACTCGCACGGGATGCGGCGGGGTGGATTGCGCGCGCACTCCGTTTCGGGTGGGTGCGCGAGGCGGTCGAGTGGAGCGCGGACGCGCTGCGCGCCGAGGCGACGCCTGAGGCGCGGGACGCCAGTGCCGACACGCCGTTCAACCTCTACGATCGCGTGTTGGCGGCGTGCAAGGACGGCGAGGAGAGCGGGGACGAGCGGCTGCAGGCCGCCAGTAGGGCGCTGCGCCAGAGTGTGGAGCGCCGCGTGGCAGATACGCGTAAGGTAGCGAAGGTGTAGATGGTAGACTGGCAATGCATTTCATTGTGCTCGCGTGGTGTTGGGTCCGTTGGCCGGCGGGCAAACCTCATCTACGCCACTGTCCTAACTTATCACGCCTCGTTTCGGAGGGAGTGCGGCGGCATTGCAGCGGTCAGTCTGTCCCATCTTCGTGCCCGGGGTGTATGCATATGCTCCCTCTACACAATGCTAATGACAACAAATGATGAATGGCCTACAGCCGCCGGTCGTGCATGAGGGCGCGCAGACCGGCAGACCGCTTCGGTTGCACCGCCGCCTGGAGGTGGGGGGCGCGTGGTGGGTTCTGGATGAGAGGGGTTTTTTGATCGGCAGCCTTGGCGTGGTGGGCCTGGGGCTGAGGATGGGGTTGAGGCTGCGGCTGGGCGTTGGCGTGCGCCTCAGCCTTCGCCTTAGCCTTGCCGTTTGCTGTACCAGTGCCCTTTTGGAGGAGCTCGAGGACAGAGGGCAGGAGCGAATTCTGTCTGCACAGAAGCACGATCTCCTTGCCCGTCTGCAGGTCGCCGAGACCTGACAAGCCGGCGTGATGGCCTCGCGTCGGCTGGAGCGGTAGGTCGGCCTCGTCTGGCGCCAGCTTAGAATACGCAGCAGATATCGAGCCTTGCCGGAGGACACGGGCAGGTATTGAGGACGGCGTGTTCGAATGTGGGCTGGCGTCGGCGTCCTCGCCGCAGTTTTCGTGAGGCATAAGCGCGTCCCGGAGGACCTGGAGCGCAACAGCTTCAGCGGCGCGGTGCGCACGCCCCTCGGTAACCTTCGCAGCGGCCCCCGAGGTCTGCTGTTGCTTCTTGGTGCATGCGAGCCATATCTGTCTGTTGAGCGTCGTTCCCCACTTGGCGCGCAGGGTCGCATCTGGGACAGAGAAGCAGTATTTGCGCTTGCCGCCGAGGTGGGAAGGGAACGCAACGTGGAACGTGTTGCGCATGAACGCTCGCTCAATGTTGAACGTCCACGATTTGCCAAGAGTGGGGTAGAGCGCGCTGAATGTCAGCAACGAAAGGAAGAATTAACTTACGCGCTAGCTCCAAGTCGCTCGAGGAGCAGCGTCTGTGGACCCAAACGAGTGCCGCGAACCTTAAACGAGGCGTCCTTGGACCGCGAGAAGTCCAGCACGGGAGGGTCCAGCTCCAAACCAGTGCCGACCAGCTTCACTTGGAAATGAGGATCGGGCTTCGGAATGGAAATTTGGAAGCTTTGGGACCATTCCCTGCAGGTGAGTTTGCTCGGAAGTCGGGCAGGCGTCTGGACCAGCTCGCGCACAAGATGTCCCTCGTGAGATGACAAGGCCTGGACGAGCTTGCCGCCGCGGATGGAATCGTAGATGTCCGCCAGTAACTCCGCGGGCACGAGGCCGTGCGGGTCCTTGCTCTCGAAGGCATGGACAAATGTGTCCCGCGAGACGGCATGGTTGGGGAATGCAAAGCCGAAGGTCGAATACAGCATATCGTTCAACTCGAGTGTGGCAAGCACGAGATCCTCTGCCAGTGCCGCATCAAACGTCACGCTATTCTCATTAGCGGCGATGTAGCCATCTGCGAAGCCGCGCAGGATAGCTTCGGCGGCGTGTATGTCAGTCGGCAGGCGAACGTCGAGGAGGAACAGTCGTAGAGCCTCATCGATGCGCACGAGGTTGAAGTCGAACATGCCAATGTACGCGATCAAAAGGTCAGGGTCTGAAGCAAGTAACAGGCCGAGCTGCGTCTTGTCCAAGTTGTCTGTCTTGAAGAGTAAACTCGCCAATGTCGCCGCGTCGAGGCTGGGATTGCTACGCTGGACCAGATCACGCACGGCGGATTTGGCGTCTGCCGCAAAGTCGCGGATGAACTGCTGAACGGTCGGATGCTGGCTCGGCTGGGTCGACGGCTCGTCGCTCAAACCAGTGACGGTAACTTTGTCGAGGCCCACGATCGACTTGACAACAAACTTCATGTCGAGGTTGGCCAGGGTTGCGCCCGATCCCATCACGGGCTTCGCAATGACGAGGAGATCATTGAACAAGAACAGGTATCGGTCCTTGACGGTGTTCACGTTAACCACCTGGAGCACTTGCTGGGAAAGAAGCAACTTGCGAGGGGGGTCATCCAAGAAGTCTGGTCGTGAAGGGTCATTGGCAGGCAATGACAGGACCCCGTCCATGCGACGCAACACCTCACGAGACCGCGGGGGTAGATTGTTCAATTTTGAGGATGGAGGGGTGACCGGATCGTCGTTGATAGACACGACGTTCGAGTCAGCGAGCTCTATGGGCGGGGGAGGAGCGCGGCGGCGGTTCATCATGAAGGAGGGAATCTCGGGACGCTGTTTGGCTCCGGGTCGAAGGATGTCCTGCTGCACCACGGGGCTGTTGCGTGCTTGCCCATTGGTGTTGCTGACAAGCTCGTGGTGACCGTGACGATGGTCGTCGCTCTGGCTGTGGCTGAGACCCCGACTATGGCTGCCGTAGCCATGGCCATTGCTGTGACTCTGAGATGAGTGAGTGCCAAAACCTGATCCTCCGCCTTGCGAGGAAATCGAAGCCGCATTGGAAGCGTCCACTCCCTTGTGCTTTCCCCCGCTCTCCGTGGAGCCCCGCCCGACCTCTGCGTGCGGCGACATGCCTCTGACCGTGGGCAAGGTTGGGTCAGACGTCTGCTGAATTAGACGGGGCTGGTCCTCTGAGGGCCGACGGCTGCGACTCTCCAAGGCCACAATGCCGGGGAATGGCGATAATTTCGAGTTGTGAATGCGAGGATCATTAGGTGTGGCCCTGGGCAAGAAGCTGACGGGTGAAGGGGCGCCAGACGTGAGTTGGTGCTGGATGAGAAGATTGTTCGCATGATCTGGAGCCTCGTCCTTCTTGTACATCGGCGACTTGGGGCCCAATGAATGAGGTGAGACAAGTTTGTTGTACTTGGGATCAGGAGTGGGCGATACGCCGCGATGAGAGTACTGGCTGTGTACGCTGTGGTGGCTCTGCGAGTTGGATGCGTCCGACTGCCGCCGGCTGCCGGAGGCGCCCTCGCGTGGGCTAAGAGGAGGCGTTTCGTTACTCGCGACAGAGATGCGGGGCTTGACGGCGTTGAGCATTGCGCGGCCCATTAGTTTCGAGATGCTGCTCGATTTCTTGTGCGGGCGACGTTCAGGAGGGTCAAGGTGGCCGCTGTTACTCGACCCGGGCTCTGACACCTTGCTCATCGGACGGACGCCGTCACTGTAGTACGCCGAGTCGGTGTCCCCGTGGCCGTGATGTCCCGTGTTGGTGTCCACGATCGAGTGAGTATCGGGGCGTGAGGTTTGCCGCGTGAAATCATGGGTATGAGCTACAGTCAGCAACTGTGAGCGCACGACAAGCTTACCATCCCAGTCATCGCCGTCCAACCGTTCCTCCCGCTCGTCGTCGTACATTGATCCGCTCTGTTGGCTGGAGTGATATGAGTTGAAGGGGTCCATTGATGGGGCCGAGGGAACGCGTTCCAGGCTCGTAGTCGCTGGTGAGACTGCCTTGCCCATGACAGTGGTCGCTGACGATGAGATGGACTCGTGTGCCGTATGCTTTTTAGGCGTCGCGAAAGGCAACTCGGGTATGGGCAAAGGTGTAGGATCATCGATACCGTGATCCCCGCCTATTTCACCCATGTCGTCGAATGCCGGTCGCGACTCGAAGGCTGGGCTCTCCTCCATCGCCTCGGTGCGCGCTGTACGCGTAGACATGGAGCGCTTGAGGTGGGCCTCGTACTCGAACACATTGTCCGAATGTTGAGTACTTCGTGAAGGCGTGCGGTCCGAGCCTGCACTAGCTAAAAGCGCCGCTAGACCCCCTCCTCCGACTGCGGCTGCAAAGGCAGTTGGTGGCGGCTTAACTGGGGCGACGGAAGGGGCAACAGCTGGCCGGGGAGGCGTTCCGTCTGGTGTTGATATATCTATGCCCTTTTGACTTCCCCTGGTGCGTCGACGCTCCTCCCAAAGCTGTCGGACCTCTTGCTCCTCTTGCTGGCGTGCCGCTCTGCGCGCCCCCAGGCGTTCGACCATGCGACGTCCCACTGCGCTGCGGCGCTCTTCACCCATGTTGGATGAGGACACGGTGAAGCTTCGCTGAAGTCGAGGGCGAGGGACATCATAAGCCGTATCCGGGATGGGGGTGATGGTCGAGTCGTCCACGACGGTCTCTGCGGGCATGCCGAACATGCGCGGGACACCAATGGTGCCCGAGCGATGCAATGCACGCGCCGACCCAGGCAGCGACAATGTCACATCTTCTTCTGATGAGGAGAGCATGCCGCCTGGATTTCTGGTCTTGGTTGGCGTGGCGGCGCCTCCGATGAGCTTGTTCATGGCATTCTGACGAGCTGCTGCGGAGTTTGACCGAGAGAGGTTGCGTAGTTCCCCCAGCGAGGGGAGCGGGGAGGGTGTGTTGCGACCTGCGCCGCCGCCGCCACCTGGAGTTAGGTTTGTAGGGAAGGAGCTTGGCGGTGCCGTTGCGTTGGTTGGCGGGACAGGGCTTATGGAGGGGAGGTATGACTGAGCGAGCTGGTACGCGGCCCAGTCTGTCCCCGGGTTGCTCGCTGGCGATGCTTGGGCAGTAAAGAAGGGCGAAGCGTTGGCAGAGCCATAAGGGGTAGGCATGTGAAACGACGACGAGTCCGAGTTCGAGCGCTGCATCGACGACCCACCGCCGCTTCTAATGGCGTTCGCGGATGGTGATGCAGCCAGGAGCTCTTCGTCGCCCCCGTAATGCCCTGCACCCTTTGTCGGCGAGGGTGTCATGCCAGACTCGAGCGACGAAGGTGCGCCATGGCTGTCCTCGGACGCCGCCCCGCTCGGGCCTGCTGCGGCTCTTGAATGCGGTTGGCGGCGGCCATCTGGAGTACGGGGAAGGGAGGCTGCGCGCTTGAGCTTTGCGATGGCCAGGGAACGGATCTCTGCTGAAGGTGTGGGAGTTGGCTGATATCTTGTTGGTGATTCAGACATTTCGCCGGGGGAGGAGGAGGAGGCGCACAGGGGGGTGGTGGTGGTGGTGGTGGTGGTGAATGTGAAGATGGTGATGCTCCGCAAGAACTAGAAGAAAGTGATGCTGAGCGAGATGAGAACGGGGCGAAGAGGGAGCGACGTGACGAGGCGAAGAGAAGTAGAGGTGGTGGGAAGATGGGGAGGATGGAGGGGAGTGCGAGGTGCGAGAGGGTGCTGGCGTGATCAAAATGTCATGGGCGGCAGATGATGGTGTGGGGTGTTCTAAGAAGGGCTGCGGAGAGCGTAGTGGTAGTGAGATGTAGGTAATGGGCCCAAGTCGTAGAATGAGGACAAAGGAACGAGTGGTGATGGCGATGGAGGAGGGGGGTGGAAGGACGAGTAAATGTTGAGAAGTGAGAGAGAGTGAGAGTACGAGGTCGATGTCGAGGACAGCGAGGAGAGCAGTTGAGACGACGATGATGATGGTGAGCGCGCAGAGTCTTGACCAGGACAAAGCAGCACGCGGGAGCCATCTCTCCCACCCAGGGGCCAGGGCCGCGGTATGCAAATGGGGGCCAGGCCCTATTCATATCCCCTAATTGCCTCTTCATTATCTTCTCCATCCAACTAGCGGAATCAATTCATCCAACATCATCCAACACCTCCACTCTCCTCGCAACGATCACAACTCTAAACCACTACTAGTTACAATCATCATCCCCATCAACCCCTGCCACTCTTCCATCCCGCATCTCTTTCCTCCTCTCCCACTTCTCTCCAGTGCTGGCAACACCCTCCCAGCGCTGGATCCCCCACCATGATCACTCTCACCCCCTTGTCCTCCTCCGCATCATCGTCCTCCACCTCGGAACCCGTCGCCTACTTTCTCGAGCTCGACGATGCCCGCATTCTCCTCGACATGGGGCAGCGCGACTACCGCGCCAGCCTTGAGCAGGACAACTGGGAATATGAGGACAAGATCAAGGAGTGAGTCTGCCACGAGGGCGACATGGAACACCATTAAACTCAGACTTGCACCGACTCTCTCCCTGGTACTCCTGTCTCACTCGCCGTCCACTTATCTCGGCTTGTACCCGTATGCGCGAGCACACTGGGGTCTCACGTGCCCCGTCTACGCTACCCAGCCCACCGTCGAGATGGGTCGTGTAGTTTGCTTGTCCGAGGCCGAGAGCTGGCGCTCAGAGTGCCCAGTCGAAGTGGCGGATGGCGAGGAAGACACAGCCATAATTGCCAAGGGGTCCAACCCACCACGGGGTCGCTACGTGCCTACCGTCGAGGAGATTCACGAGGCCTTCAACCACGTCAAGGCTATCCGTTACAATCAGCCATTGCATTTGGGAGGTACGTTTGGCCGTGTCCCCTCCAGCTAATATACAGGCGACCTGTCCCATTTGTTGGTGACGCCGTTCCCGTCCGGCCATGTGCTCGGAGGAACACTGTTCAAAATCCGTTCCCCGACGTCAGGTACTGTGCTGTACGCAGTGGGCATGAACCACACCGGCGAGCGCCACATTGACGGCATGGTTACAGGTGCGCGCGTTGAGACGATTTAATAGCTAACCACAGGACAAGGCGGCCTTACAGGATATGCCGAGGATATTCGACGACCTGATCTTCTCATCGTCGAAGGCGACCGAGCGCTGGTCACCAACCCCAAGCGCCGCGATCGTGAGACGGCCATCCTCGGTACGTGCTCGACCATGGAAGACGCTGATCCTTCTCAGAAGTCATCACCAACACCCTACAGTCTGGACACTCGGTTCTGATGCCAAGTGACCCCTCACCGCGTCTCCTTGAGCTACTTGTCCTCCTTGACCAGCACTGGTCGTTCAAGATCAACCCCTCCGGCAAGCCCGATCCTGGACCAGCTTCAGCTTCGGGCTGGAAGTATCCTCTTTGTGTCGTCAGCAGGACTGCACAAGACATGGTCAACTTTGCCCGCAGTTTGATAGAGTGGATGGGCGGCGTTGTGCGCGAGTCATCTGCCGATGACGTGATGGGCGTGCAGGCTGGACGGGGAAGGAAGCGCAGAACCCGCCAGATTGCTGTGGGCTCCGAGTATGGTGCTCTTGACTTCAAGTAGGTTCATTCTCACAATACATCACTGATGCCCCTCAGCCACGTCGAGTTCTTCTCGTCGCACGACATGCTTCTGCGCAAGCACCCTCTAATCGAGCCAAAGCTCGTCATTGCGGTGCCCACAACAATGTCGCATGGTCCATCCCGATTCCTCTTCACCATCATGGCCTCCAAGCCTGGGAATGTCGTGCTGCTCACCAATCGTGGTGAGGAGAACACCCTTGCACGAGAACTGTACTCGCAGTGGGAGAAGGAGCAGACTGAGGATGCCAAGTGGGGGCGTGGCAAGATCGGCGAGATCGTCGCTCTGCAAGGGCCACTCAAGTTCGAAATGGACGAAAGGATTCCCCTCAGCGGCGAAGAGCTTGAAGAGTACGAGGAGAGGGAACGGCAGAAAAAGGAGCGTGAGGCGGCTCAACAGGCCGCTCTGGACCGCTCAAAGCGCATGCTCGAGGCCGACGACCTAGAGTCGGACTCGGACAGCGACAGTGACGAGGAGGGTGTGCGCGGGATTCTCACTACCCGCACCGAAGGCGCAAACACGTTTGCCGGTGACAATGAGGATCTGCGCACCATGTCCTTTGACATTTTCGTCAAAGGCCAGCAAACACGAGTGGGCCGTGGTGTGGCGGGCGAGATGGCGCGGTTCCGAATGTTTCCTTTCCTGGCCAAGGCGCGTCGTGTTGACTCGTACGGCGAAGGCCTTGACATTGGGCAGTGGGTTCGCAAGGGTCGCGAGATCGAGGAGGAGGGTGAAACGGAGGAGGTGCGCGAGGCTAAGCGACGCAAACTTGAGGATGAGGAGAAGGCGGTGAGTACTACGAAGGCGAAGAGAAGCTGACATCAGGCGGTACCTCCTGAGCCTCCATCCAAGTTCATTAGCAGCGCCGTGACACTGCAGCCGCGCGCGTCGATCGAGTACGTCGACATGGACGGCATGCACGATGGGCAGGCGATCAAGACCATCATCGCGGATCTGCAACCGCGCAAGCTTGTGCTGGTCAAGTCAAACGAGGCCTCGACTAAGGCGCTTCTCGACTTCTTCAAGTCAACTCCCTCAATCACGCATGAGGTGTTCTACCCCGCCACGAACGAGTCGGTGCGCATCGGCGAGCACGTGCAGAGTTTCTCCCTCCAGCTCGGAGATAGCATCTCGGCGCTCGTCAGCGGCAAGTGGTCTAAGTTTGAGGGCTACGAGGTCGCCATGGTGGACGGCAAGCTGGCGTACGCGTCGGGCTCGACGGTGCCTTTGCTTGAGGCGCCGAGTGTCGTCCTCCCGCCTGTAGCCGAGGTCAAGGAGGAGCCTGAAGCCGTGGCGGCGGCGGAGGCAGAGGAGAAGGTGCGGGCCGAGGTTGAGGAAGAGACGAAGGCCGAAGCCGAGGCTGATGCGCCTGTGGAAGTGGCCGAGGCGGCGGAGGACGTCGCCCTGGAAGAGGGCAAGCCGGACATTGTCACAGACGAGCCCGCGACCGCCGCAGACGCCGAGACGGCCGCGGACGAGGCGGCCGAGGCGGCGGTGGTCGTGAAAGAGGAGCTGTTTGAGCCAATCGAGCCCGAAGTCGTCGCACCAAAGCCCTTGCCGTCCGGTCCCGCGCCGCTCCCCGGCTCGCTGTTTATTGGCGACCTGCGCCTGCTGGCACTCAAGAACCGGCTGGCAGGCCAGAAGATCGATGCGCAGTTTGCGGGCGAGGGTGTGCTCGTATGCGGCACCGAGGGGCGGGGGAGCATGGTGGTGGTGCGCAAGCTCGGCGAGGGGCAGGTGGTGCTCGAGGGCGCCGTGAGCCGGACATACTATGCCGTACGCAAGGAGCTGTACGGGTCCTATGCGCAGGTCACGGCGATGTAGGGTAAATGGATGCATGGTGCGCTGGGCACTGACGGATTACAGCTGACGGAGCAACAATGCATGACTACAACTACTTAGCCGGGCCCTCGATCGCCTCGCGCGCGCTGCCGTTAGCCTGCAGCTCTCTCCTCCTCCCAAAACTCACCCCCACCCAATCGCCCCCGCACTCTCATACTCGACGCGCTCCAGCCGCTCCACGACATCGCGGAGCAGCACGCGCTGCTCGCGCGCCGCATGCTCGACGCCGCGCAGGCCGTAGAGCACACGCGCCGAGTTTTCGGCGCGGCTGTCGGCGAGGGACGCGCCGAGCGCGCGCACGCTGGCCGCGAGCTCGGCGTTGGCGGCGCGCAGGCGCTCGTTTTCGCGCTGGGCATCGGCGTGCGCGGCGCGCAGGGACGCGTGGTCAGCCAGGAGCGTGTCGAGCTTTGCGTCGAGGCGTGAGAGGGCGGTGAGGGTCGGGTTTGGTTTGGCTATTGTTAGCGCGGAGAGGGGGAGGGGGAGGGATGGAGAGGAGGGAAGAGGGAGAGGCAAGACGCACGCATCGCAGAGCTCCAGCTCGCCGCGTTGTTCACCGCCACCGGCGTGAAGCGGATCAGCGCCTTGCTGTCTTTCGAAGCCATGTCGGGATGCAGATGAGAGTTGGAGCGAATCCAACGTAGACGTACAAGTACCACCCCGAGTCCGACATCGCGACACATCGCGAGCTGTCTTGTGCGCGCGACAATGCGCGCACGGGGCTGAGCAGAATGTCCTATTGTCTGACGCGCTACGCTTCCTGGCACAGCAACAGCGAGGACGTGCCCGCTCCCAGGCGCCCGTTCCGCTCCATTGCCGCTGGCTCACGATGGCTCACGAGAACCCCGAGTGCTTGGACCCAACTTTGTACAATCTGCATCTCTACCCTCTACGCAGTACCCCTCCCCTCACAGCTTGAACTTCTCGATCCCACTCTTGACCAGGTCAATCGCCACCGTGTTGTCCAGCGGCTGGTACTGATTCGTGACCAGCTTGATCGCCTCCTGGCCCACGATACCGCCCATGAATGCGGCCGTGTTTGGCGGTGTGAGGAACCCCCCACGCACCCTGTTGTCAGCTTGTCCACCACGTCCAGCTTACACCTCGCCGATGGCATTGGTCAGCTTTGTCGGGAGCTCGTCAGAGTCCGTCTCGGCGTGTACCGTCGCCATCGCCTTGCGCGCAAAGCGTTCGACCTCGGCAACGTCCGTTTCCATGTCGCCGTCGGTGCCCCCTGGCCAGTGACCAAATGCCTTGTAAAACTGCTCCGATGCCAGAATCGCAAGCACGATACTGATCTCCGAGCCGTAGCCAGGCATAAGCTCCTCGCCTTCTCCAAAGGGAAAGTCCTCCTCTGCCCTGTCAGCTGCGACCCAGTAGGTTCAACATACCAATGCGGTCCTTCATCCCGCCCTCGTACGCCTTGGCTGTGAGCAGCGAGGTGCCCTCGACAATGGCAACGCCTCCGACGTTCTTGACAAACGCCTCCACCTCCGTCTCGGACACGGCATCCTCCGGCAATCCAATCTCCTTGAGCACACCGGTGAGAATAGACGAGAACTTGGCCAAGTCCTCCTGGAACGCCTGCTTGTACAGCTGCTGTACCTTCACGTACGACTCGGTCGACGAGTGCATGTCCGGCAGCGAAGGCGCCACGGGAGGGAGCTTGGGTGGCACTTCCATGAAGCGTCGTAATGTGTGGAGGAGGATTTGGAGATTCTTCGACTCCATGTCAGCACGACGACAGTATAGAAGAGCTCACACTAGGAGAGACGTTGACAATAGCAGGGTCATTGATTAGCTCCGCGATGTCGTAAGGTAGCTCAGATGCAACGGAGGCCCGATATGATTGTCCAACCGCCTCGTCAAAGTTCTCCTCGTCATGCTTCATGCGCCAACTGTTCAGCAGCTTCTTGAACTCCTCCTTGTCCTCCTTGCTCGTCGGAAGATTTCCGCTGTGCTGACGTTAGCAGATTTCCTCTCAACTTGGCTTACGCTAGCCTTCCAGTGGCTTGTGGCGCGAACGAGGAGCACCACCCATGGGATGTGGGAGTGAACATGCGAGTCCATCGACTCGAGATCGAGACCGCACGCGTATTCCTCGAGCGCGGGAAACGGTGCATCAATGCGGAGCGTGTGTGTGGTATCGGGGTGTGTGTCCACGACTGCTCGTTAGTCCATGGGCCCCTTCCCGCACAGCGCACTCACCGCAGTGCTCGCGAACCTGGATCTGAAGCCGGCCTGTCAAGCCTGAAGTGCGAACCGACATCAACGGGATGTCTGGCTTTTCGGGCTTTGACGATGCTGCCGTTAGTACTGCCGGAAGACACCTCACTCTGCCACAGGAGTTCAGCAATGCGCTCCTCAAGTTCAGGAGGAACGTTGGATGTGATAATCAGATTGAAGGAGAGGTAGAAGGCCGGATCACTATCGAGCAGAGCACCAGCGTCCGCAACGCGTGCCTCGCCAGTTACGGCAGGGTTGAGCTCGCAGAGGAACCTGGTGTCAGTACCGTACTGCCCCTCTGCTTACCGGACCTCCTCTTTGGCAATGGGCTGCCCGATCGACGTTGGCTCCAGGAAGAAGTTCGACGCGACATCAGCAGCGGTCGTGGCGGCGTCGGAGAGGATGGTAAAGTGATGAACACCTGTCATCAGCTCGAGTCCCACTCTTGCCTTCTCACCAGGAAGCACGAGATTCTTGAGCGCCTGGCACCCCACCGCGTCGTGGCCCACAAGGAGGATGCGCGCCGACTCGAGAGATCGCTGCCCCGCTGATGCCCAGAGACTGTCGTTAGCAAGCCACGCTAGCGGAGCACATGGTTGGCTCTAACACGTACCGGAGCTGGCGATCGTACCGGCGTGCCTTTGCGTCTGGCCGTCCGCTAATGTCAGCTCCGACCGGCGTCCCGACGCACGAGGGCACGGGCGTGTTGCGCGACGACGTTCCCGAGCCGACAGCAAGCGCAGTGGTCGCCTCTGTGATGTCGACCGCGTCGTCCATCTTTGCAATCTTTGGAGGACGGCTGAAGGCGGAGGGCGAGGAAGGCGGGTCGCGTCCACGCGTGGGCATGGAGAGGCGGTTGCCGAGACGAGGCGAGAGCCGTGCCGGATCCTACGCTCGAGGCGCACAGGTAATTGCTGAGAAGGGGACGCGAAGCGGTCCGAGATGATCGAGCGGAGCGGGAGCTGCGGCTGCTACCGAGTTGACGAGATGGACGTGGAGAAGTGCGAGTGGAGGATGAGCAATCGAGTTGAGCAACATCTCACTGCATGACGCGCCCACGGAATGATTCCGCTCCTTCCGCGCACCTCCGAAATGATGACTGCAGCCTGTCACCCTCCCCCGTCGACAACATCGCCAAGCGCTCGAAGCGTCACGTAGGATGCAATGCAACCCTGGGGGCGAGAATAGCCGGACCAGCAGCCTACATGGCTACATGCATCCTTTAGCCCCGACGTCGATTATACTCCGCTTTATCTATCACCTACCACGACAAGAAGCCCTTGTCCTTGTTCGCTGCCCCCGGACGCGCGAGGCCAGCTCCGCTGCGGATCAACCCGGGCACCACCTTGCCTTGAAGGATCGTCTCCTCCACCACACGCGGAATCTCATGCGGAGAGACACGCCCGTACGACAGATACGCGCCCGATGGGAAGAGAATCTGTGGTAAGCCCAGACGTGGAGATCGAAACTCACGAGCATAACGCCGGCGTAGCGGTGACCACCAAGGTGGTTGATGTTAAAGACGCCCACCTCACCGCCCTCGCCGCCATGCACGCCCTCGATGTTCTCAATGCGCCGCCCGACCTCGGCTTCCCGCTCCGCATCCGAGCCCACCAGGTCCTCGAGGGGTGGCCCATCGAGGCGCGCGAGCGACATACCAACCTCATCAACTGTGACGCCGTTCCGCTCCAGACACCCGATAAGAGCAGGACGCAGCAATCCAGCGGCGATGTGGCACCGCTTGTCGCGATTCTTGTGCGAGCCTGCGCCGTGAGCAGCCAATCGCGCATATGCACTTACACAGCAGGACAATCGCGCGATAGGGCAGCACCCATGACCGGCGGCGCTCGATCCCCTCCCCGCCGTTCTGAAGTGGTCGCCCCGCGCGCCCCAGCTTGCCGGACAGTGCGCCGTCCCACAACGCCTGTGCTCCCTCAGGAGAGTTCTCCACCTCCAAACAGACCTTCCAGTCCGGGAAGACGAGTGCCATCTGATCTGTTGGGTCGTCGGACTGGCTCACCATGCTGCTCGAGTAGAGTGCGGGGAGCTGCGTCACAGGCTTGGTGAGGGGAGTGGAGGGTGTGGGAAACGCGCTCGGCTTGATGTAGGTCGACGGATCCATGGGGTTCCCACCCTTGCTTTTTTTCTCGGTGTTTGGCTGATCTACCAATACCTGGTTGATCTGGTACGACAGCGAGTCCTCCTCGTCCTGAGTGAGTTAGAATCGCTGGCGAAGCCAAACTCACGACATGATCACGCAGCCAGTTACTCTTGCCAGTAGAGATGACCACGACGCGGCCGACGGGTGGCCCACCACTGCCGGCGAGGTCGGTCTCCCAATCCTGCTCCACGGTATCGGGCATGCCTTCGAGACATCCGTACTTGTCCTCAACATACTCGTCATACGTCTTGCCATCCCACGCGTTGCCAATCTGCGCCGCTGGCCCGCTGCCTGTGAAGTTCTTTTCATCGCAGGGAAGGTCGCAGCTGGCGCAGTCTGCGTGAGAGACGGGGATGTCGGAGTGCTGAAGGGCGGATGCCATCTCAGCGTACTGCTTGATGCGATTGGGGTCGTCATGTCTGTCGCCGAGGGGTGCAGGGCTTGCGCGGAGGGAAGAGACTGCCGAGTTGGCGGCGGATGCCAGCGCCTTGAACATTTTTGGCAGCCTTTTGGGAGGAGTGTAACGAAGAGGAGAGTGGGGACTGAGAGATGAGAAGTAGAAGGATGGAGATGACGAATCTGAGAGTGAGATGTTGGGAGGGAGAGTGAATTGTGCAACGACGATATTATTGAATGACTTGAAGACGAGACGCGAGTGGCCGCACCCAAGGCCGGCCGGAGTGATTGGGGGGCCAACTTTAGCCCAAGACGTCATGCCGCAGTCCGTCCACTCACCCAAGTGGAGTGATGGGGGTCTCGGTCTCCTCCGCAATTACCCACCTGCTATTTCCGCCCCTCCACATCCCCACTCAGGTCGCCGCTCTTCCGCAAAAGTCTCCCATAATCTACGTCCATGATTCGAACCCTCGGCCTCCCAATCAAGCGTCACATGACCTGGAGCCCAACCTGACAGCTGGCAGGTCCAGTCACCCGTCATTATTGTGGATATCTACGCCTATATCCTTGTTTGGCTTGCACTCATCCTCTTCTGCGACGTGATCCGACAACAACCCAGTCCGCGTCAACTATTTTGTGCGCCAGACCATCAAATCAACTCGCATGACACGAGCATGCCAACCTAGTGCGCAGTTTACTGTAGCAGCTCAACTCACGCAGCAGATCAGAATGCCTCCACCACAGCAGTCATCCGATCCATTCGACGATGACGACTTCTTCGACGACCCCTCCACCCTGGCCGCCATCGCCCAGGCTGAGGAGCGTGCCATAGCCGCCTCCCAAGCTCCCAAGCGCTCGGGCTACCACCACACCGTGTCCCGTCCAGCTGCTGGGCCCCGCTCCACCCAGAAGCCCCCGCAGCCCATCAACACGAACCCCCGCGTCTCCAATTGCGGATTTGGCTGGGAGCAAGGGGGGAAGCACTCGGAGCGGATGGCACAGGGTCTTCCTGTCTCCGGTATGGCGCGGTACAACAGGGATGAGGCGCCGACCGACGTGGTTCTCGACCACAAAGGCCAGTATGGGTTCGGGTCGGCAGAGGATGAGCCAATCTACGACCAGCGACAGCGACCCGAGATCCGGCAGATGGTCGAGGCAGCTGCGCGGGAGAAGGAAGCGCCGCCACGGACAGCCAAGAGCCAGGTCCAAGGCTCACAGGCGCGGCGCGAGGCACTCGCTGCTGCCTTGCCGCCTCGAGCACCGATCACGAGAACGACGTCCGCCAACGCGGTTGCCGGACCATCCTCCACTCAGCCCGCACGGCTGGGCGCACGCACCTTCGGACGAGCAGCGTCCACTGGGACTGCGACGCTTGGCCGAGCTGGATCCGTCGGACCGTCGCGTCCCATCAACGTGCTACCTACCATTGGATCGCAGAGCAGTCAGCCGTCATCGCAAGGCGCGGCGTCGCGCAGGGCATTCTTCGAGCTGGAAGATGAGCGGAAAAGGCGGGAGGCTCTTGAGGCAGAGTTGGGCACGCTGCGTGTGCAGCTGGAGAAGGCTCAACGGCAGAGCCTTGTGGATGCACCGCGGATGGCTCCCGGCTTTGACGCGGCAGCGCGGGATGAGATCGAGCAGCTCAAGCAGCAGCTCTATGTCGCGCAAGGGCAAGCTGCAACAGCCAAGCGCAACCAGACGGCCGTGAGTCATGGCATCGGGATCCCCTGACAGCTAGCTGGAGGCCCGCCTGCACGCCGAGATTGACAAACTCATCGCCGACAAGCGTGAGATGGAGCAGCAAATGCGAATCCGAGAGCAGGATAACAAACATGCCCTGGATAGCGCAAAGACTCAGATGGTGTTCAGCGTGCGTCCCGGGTCTTTGCTCGCCTAACGTTACAGAACCATCAAGCTCTCACCTCAGCCTCCAAAGCGCGGCAGCAGTCACAGTGGCAGGCGTCACAACGAGGTCCGCCGGGTTCTCCCTTGCATGACAAAGCTACTGTAACTCCGGCGCCGCTGGTACGATCTGTGAAGGGAAAGCGTGAGTTCTGTCCAATTGGTAGTCGACTTACTGCAAGCTCGCCCACCACCACCACGATTCGACGGGCTGAACAACGCGTTCAGCAAGACTCCGACGGTCGGACGAACGCGCAGGGGCGGGACAGAGGCACCGAGCCCCACGACGACTCCGAAGAAGCACCGACAGTTGTCCTCGTCACCCTTGCCCTCCCCAAACCAAAGCCAACACTTACCGCCGCCATCCACCCCCATCGACGACAATGGCGACATCAGCATGGACTGGCAACCCGACTTTGCGCAAGCTACGATGGAGCATGCCATTGTGGACCACGAAGCGCGAGATTCAAAGGCAGAGGTTGGTACGGAATGGTATCCAGCTGATGTCCAGCTGCATTATCACCTCGTCACCCATGTCGCTGCCTCACCTTTGCGTCTCGCTAACGAAGATTGCCACGAACCGACGTTTATTCGGATTATGGCGTACAAGCTTGAAGTGGATCAAGACGCGCAGCAGAAGTCGGCTGTGGACATGGTGCAGACTTGGAAGGCCGGGCAAAGCGCGCTCGCCTCGGCCATTGGAGCTTCGGTCTTGAATTTCGAGCAACTGTGCGCCAAACTCGCCCTCGCGTTCAGAGATTTATTGGTTGCACTAAAAGAGGTCCGCGAGGCCTGCTGGAGTCTCGGTAAAGCGGTCAAACTCGTGAGTACTTCGGAAAGAGTCTGGCTGATCTCAGGCCGACATCGACGTCGATGTACTACGTCTGTTTGCGTCCACTGTACTTTTGTTTCCAGAGCTACCGAGCGCGGACCCTGCGTCTTTCGGCCAAATTGCACATTGCCTGAGCATTCTAAGCCAAAGTCTGTCCACGAAAGACAAGTCGGCCAAAGACTGGGTGACTCCCGGCAAGCCAACGACGGGAGACAAGGAGACTACACTCGCAGAGAGTCTGCCCGGTTCTAATCGTCCCGAGTCTCAGGTGGAGTCAGAACTGGGAGACGCCATCGCCGAAGCCGGCGAAGCATTGTGCATGGCCCACGGCAAGTGTTTATGGTGCGTCCTTAGTCTGGCTTTGAAGCGCTAACCTCAGGCAAGCTGATGACCTGTCAACGACCGTGCTCAACCTATCCATGTCCGCGGACTGGGTCGTCGCTGCTCGTGGACTCGACCTATTCATTGCTGCTGCCTGCCGCCCTGATCACTTCCGCCGTCTGATAACAAAATCAGACTCCGTGTCTGGAGGGATAAACCTCATGGACAGCATGTCGCGCTTCCTCTTGACCGGGCACCCGCGGTTTAGCCCGCAGCAACGGTTTCGTTATTCCCGGGATGTGCTTGGGGCGCTGGCAATGTTAGCGCGGAGCGATGAGAACGCGGTGGTACTCATGACGGAAGGTTCCATCCTCGTACCAGCCCTGGCGATGTTTCTGCATCGTCACAGCGCCTCGCTATGGGCCATACGATCGTCCGATGTGGGCAGCCATGAGTGAGTCACCGGGTTGGGGGAGTCACTAACGCTTAGTCCCCTGGAACTCATCACCCCCACCATGCTTTTGCTACACCATCTCGTGTTCCCGCCCCCTTTCGCTAAGACAGCTGCGTCGTCACAAATGCACAAGGGCGCAGACTTTACCCACTCTGATGCCCGGTTATTTGCTTCGCCGCCCGCGCAAGGCGCAGCCATCGGGCGCCTGTTATCGGCGGCCGCGGCGACGTCCGAGTTCAACGGCGTGCAGAACTTTTATGTTTCTGCGCTCGGGCCTATCGCGTACACCAACGTCGACTTGGACGAGGGTGCATGGGCCTATGCTATGCGGCCGCCTGGAGAAGACCTCGCGCTGCTCAGCAAGCGGGAGGATGGGGCGGGAGATCAAAGCGCTCTGAGCACGGTGCAATGTGAGTTTCAGTGTGGCGCAGAAGAAGCGTGGTTCTACATGCCAGGCTGACCCCTCAGATCTCGCCCAGGACCTTCTCAACGCCTTTGTAGAGGGTCCCGAGGGCGACAGCGTCTACGAGGTGTACGATACGGAGGTGCGGGAAGAGGCCGCGCCAGACGGGAGCGCGGTGATTGTCGTCTCTGACGACGACAATTTTGACGAGGAAGAGGCCATGCTCGGCACATGGAATCTTGATCACTAGGGAGGGGGTGTACATGCTCCCCTAGAAAGGCGCAAAGCGGTCCACCCTGCATCATGTCATATCTGCGTTCACATGTTCACATGTTCATAGGCGGGAAGCGCGCGATAAGAACGACTAGCGAGGGGTCTCTGGGCCCCAGCTGCGGCTTCGAGGTCGTGTAGTGCCGTCATTTCGATCGCGTCCAGTATCGTGCCTGGAGGAACGGCCGCGCCGAACTCGTCCGACGCCAGCAATTCTTCCGCAATGACTGATTCCCTGCCATCAGGCTTCTTGCGCCGCGGCCCATAGAACAAACGCCGATGTCGACGTCAACGCTGTGTGCAAAAGCGCCTCCGAGTAGATTTCAGGGCCTGTTCTGGAGCCCAAGGTCCGGCTGGAGGCGGGCTGGAGGCGGCTGGGCGGATGTGGTTAGTCACTTCGAGTCGGTAAAGGACTGGCGAATCGGCCGATTCCGAATGCCACGTAATAAAACCGCCTCTTTCAGACTCGAGTAGGCGGCGCCCTGGTGTATTTTTCGGGAGCGATAGCAAATCTCGCGGTCATCTTGTTCTCCAGCCCACCACATCTACTCTCTTCGCCGCACGGCTGCCATCAAAAGAGGCTACCCACTCGCCCATCGCCGGCTGGCAATATATCGCCCCAGCCTCCCCGCCGTCCGTCTGTCCAACGACTGACGTGTTAAAAAAGCCCTCCGACCGGCCCAACCCCGCCCGCGATACGCACAATGCTCCGCTCGCTCCCCGTTTCGCGCTTTGCCCGCGCCGTCCCCGCTATCAGGGCTAGGGCGGCGGTTGGTGTCGCCGCGCGCCGCGGGTACGCCGTCGCGGCGCCGGCGGTCGGCAACTACGGGCAGGTCGACGGCAAGGCCACGCTCAACAGCCCGTCCGAGATTGCGCGCCGGATATCGGCGCAGGTGCTGCCCCAGCTCGACAAGCCCGACGTGAAGAAGGTGCTCGTTGTTGGCTCGGGTGGTCTCTCCATTGGCCAGGCTGGCGAGTTCGACTACTCTGGTGAGTGCCCACCTCATGCATTTTGGGAGGTGCCCAGGCCCGAACAAGGCCCGTGAGCTGATAAGAAACTGACGGCCAGGTTCGCAGGCAATCAAGGCTCTCCGCGAGAGCAACATCGAGACCATTCTCATCAACCCTAACATTGCGACTATCCAGACTTCGCACCACCTCGCAAGCGAGATCTACTTCCTCCCCGTCACTGCCGACTATGTCGCGTACGTGCTTGAGAAGGAGCGCCCGGACGGCATCCTCCTCACTTTCGGCGGACAGTCGGCACTCAACGTCGGCATCCAGCTTGACAAGATGGGTGTGCTCGAGCGCCTCGGCGTGCAGGTGCTTGGCACGCCGATCCGCACCCTTGAGATCTCCGAGGACCGTGACCTCTTCGTCCAGGCCCTCAACGAGATTGACATCCCCGCCGCCCAGTCGACTGCCGTGTCCACCATCCAGGACGCCCTCGACGCCGCCAAGACCATTGGCTACCCCATCATTCTCCGTTCCGCCTTCTCCCTCGGTGGTCTCGGCTCGGGCTTTGCCCATGACGAGGAGGAGCTCCGCAACCTCGCGGCCAAGTCGCTCTCGCTTTCTCCCCAGGTCCTGATCGAGAAGTCGCTCAAGGGCTGGAAGGAGGTCGAGTACGAGGTTGTCCGTGACGCCGCCGACAACACGATCATTTGCTGCAACATGGAGAACTTTGACCCCCTGGGCACACACACCGGTGACTCGATCGTTGTTGCGCCCTCGCAGACCCTCACCGATGACGAGTACCACATGCTCCGCTCGGCTGCCATCAAGATCGTCCGCCACGTCGGTGTCGTCGGCGAGTGCAACGTCCAGTACGCGCTCGACCCCAACAGCCGCGACTACCGTGTCATCGAGATGAATGCCCGTCTGTCGCGTTCGTCCGCCCTCGCCTCCAAGGCGACCGGCTACCCGCTCGCGTACACGGCCGCCAAGATTGCGCTGGGCCACACGCTTCCCGAGCTCCCCAACGCCGTCACCAAGTCGACCACTGCGTGCTTCGAGCCCTCGCTCGACTACATCGTCACCAAGATCCCCAAGTGGGACCTGGCCAAGTTCCAGCACGTTGAGCGCAACGTCGGCTCGGCCATGAAGTCGGTCGGTGAGGTCATGGCTATCGGCCGTACCTTTGAGGAGTCGCTCCAGAAGGCTATCCGCCAGGTCGACCCCAACTTTGCTGGCTTCGAGGCGTACTGGAAGCCCGAGGACATGGTCACTGCCCTCACCCACAACAACGACCGTCGCCTCTTCGCCATCGCCCACGCCATGCTCAACCTCGACTACTCGATCGACTACTTGCACGACCTGACCAAGATTGACAAGTGGTTCCTCTACAAGCTCGAGAACATTGTCACCGTTTACAAGCAGCTCCAGTCGACGCCGTTCGACAAGATTGACAAGGAGCTCATCATGACTGCCAAGAAGACTGGCTTCTCCGACCTCCACATCAGCCAGCTTGTCGGCAAGACTGAGGGCGAGGTTCGCGAGCTCCGCAAGTCGTTCGGCGTCACCCCCTTCGTCAAGCGTATCGACACGCTCGCTGCCGAGTTCCCCGCTTACACCAACTACCTGTACACCTCGTACAACGCCACCACCCACGACGTCGAGTTTGACGACCAGGGGACCATGGTTCTTGGCTCGGGTGTCTACCGTATCGGCTCGTCGGTCGAGTTCGACTGGTGCGCTGTTACTTGCTCGCGCGCCATCCGCGACCTCGGCAAGAAGACGATCATGATCAACTACAACCCCGAGACTGTGTCGACTGACTTCGACGAGGCCGACCGCCTCTACTTTGAGGAGCTGGGCTTCGAGCGTGTCATGGACATCTACGACCTCGAGGGTGCCTCCGGTGTCGTCGTCTCCGTCGGCGGCCAGCTGCCCCAGAACATTGCCCTCCGCCTCAAGAAGGCCGGCGTCAACGTTCTCGGCACTGACCCCGAGATGATCGACTCGGCTGAGGACCGTCACAAGTTCTCGTCGATCCTCGACTCGATCGGTGTCGACCAGCCGGCCTGGACTGAGGCCTCGTCGCTTGACGCCGCCAAGGAGTTCGCCGGCCGTGTCGGCTACCCCGTCCTCATCCGCCCCTCGTACGTTCTTTCCGGCGCCGCCATGAACGTCGTCTGGGACGAGGCTCAGCTCGAGCACATGCTTTCGCTCGCCACCAACGTGTCGCCCGACCACCCCGTCGTCATCTCGCAGTTCATCGACAACGCGCAGGAGATCGACGTTGACGCCGTCGCCCACAAGGGCAAGCTTCTCGTCCACGCCGTCTCGGAGCACGTCGAGAATGCCGGTGTCCACTCGGGTGACGCGACCCTTGTTCTCCCCCCCTTCTCCGTCAGCCAGCGCGACCTCGGCCGCTTCAAGGAGATTGCCGAGAAGGTCGCCGCGGCGTTCCAGATCTCGGGCCCCTTCAACATGCAGATCATCCGCAAGCCGCCCACGGGCAACGAGGACGCCGAGCTCAAGGTCATCGAGTGCAACCTCCGTGCCTCGCGTTCGTTCCCCTTCGTGTCCAAGGTCCTCGGCCACAACTTCATCGACACGGCCTCGGCCGCCATCATGGACACGAACGTGCCCGCTCCCATCGACTTGATGGCGCAGAAGCGTGACTACGTCGCCATCAAGGTGCCGCAGTTCTCGTGGACGCGTCTGCCCGGCGCCGACCCCTTCCTCGGCGTCGAGATGGCGTCGACCGGCGAGGTCGCCTCGTTCGGCAAGGACATTTACGACGCGTACTGGGCCGCGCTCCTGTCTGTGAACGGCATGAAGCTCCCCAAGGCCAACTCGGGCATCCTTCTCGGCGGCGACATCACGCGCCCCGAGATGACCGAGGTCGCCAAGAACCTCATCAACCTCGGCTTCAGCCTGTACACGTACGACTCCAAGGTCGAGCAGCACATCAACGACCAGCCGTACCTGCAGATCAAGAAGATCCTCGTGCCCGTCAAGGACAAGAAGAAGCTGCGCGAGATTCTGGAGGAGCACGAGATCCAGACGGTCATCAACATGGCGCGCTCGCGCGCCGCCACCACCCTCGACGAGGACTATGCGGCGCGCCGCGCCGCCGTCGACTTCGGCATCCCGCTCATCAACAACCCCAAGCTCGCTGTGCTGTTCACCGAGACGCTCGAGAAGAAGTTTGTCAAGAACAACCCCATCCCATACTCGGAGGGCTTCAAGCCGACAGAGGTCGGCTCGTGGCGCGACTTTGTGGGCGAGGCCAGCGACTACTAGGCCAAGTCGGGATAGACGGGGCCATGCATCACGTTAGGCATCAGGCTCGGCGTGGCCGGGGCGCGGCGTAGGAGACTGCATCATTGATACCCGGCATGGTGTAGGGGCCGCTACACGTGCCAAACTAGATACATTCACTATTGCTATGCACACCACTGAGAAAGCGAGCAGGGGTGGGGTAGAGTGCGAGTGCGAGCGCGAGCGCGATGGGCGATGTACGATGGCGAGATCATGCGTGGACGACCGAGCCAAATGAGATCTTGTGGCGGGGCGTGCCCGCGGCGGCCGGCAACGCAACTCCGGGCTCATCCATGCATCCGAGACATTATCATGACCGATGGCCCGGATCGCCACCGTGCAATAACGCCGAGCGGGGCATGATAACGCCGGCCTGATGCACCCTCCAAACTCCATTAGCGGAAGCAATTCTAACATTTGACACTAGTGAAATGGACGAATTACTAAGTAGCGGAGGGCGGAGATGGCGCGCTCACCGTAGCACAGCGTCTGGGCGGGGGCGGGGCTGGGCCAAACTGGCGACTGCCTGCTCAACGTTTCTCTGTCGTCTGTCCCAGGACCCACTCTACATCGAACTCCGTTCAACGCCCAGCGCGTAACTTATCAAGGTCAGCACTCGGTCCCAGCCCCGTCGCCGCTCGCGCGCCAGCGCCGTGCATGCGGTAGGCGGGTCGTGGCCCCCTTTTTTTCCAGAGCACAGCTGACGCCCGCCGTTTCAACGACAACGACAATATTTTGTCTCTCCGTCCCCGTTCCCTCGTTCGACGCTCTCCTTCGCGACACCGTACGCGCATTCGATCCACGCGTGCCGTTGCTTTTCCTACCTTCTGCGTGCTGGTTTCTTCGCGTACGCGTTTCCTTCCCCGCTTCACCCGGCTTCACACAACAGCTCCAGCCTAGGAGTCGACCGCCATGTCTGTGGTCTCCAAGAACCCCTTCGAGCTCCTCGGTACGCCGTAGCAGCTGACACGACTGACGCCAGACGACGGAGAGGACCGCGCTCCCTCGCCGGCCCCCAAGGGCGCCGCGAAGGTCGCTCCCACCGCCAAGCAGCCCAAGGTCGTCCCCGGCGCCGCCCAGAAGGGCGGCCGCGGTGCCCGTGCCCCCACTGCCCCGCGCGCGACCTACGCCGCCGGCGGCGGTGACGACGGGTTCGAGGGCGAGCGTGTCGGTGAGTCGGATTAGTGTGGGGCCTTTGGCTCTGGGTCCACGCCACAAACCCTCGGCCTCCGCCTCGGAACCCCCGACATTCCTTTACTGACTCTACCAGCTCCCCCCAAGAAGGACCACCAGGGCCGTGACCGCCACACCAAGGGCCCTCGTGAGGACCGCTCGCACACCGGCCCGCGTTCGCGTGCGCCCGGCGCTGCTGGTGCCCGTGGCCCCAAGGGCGGCAACCGTGGCGGCCGTGGTGGTGCCGCCGGCGCCGCTGGCGCCGAGAAGAAGACTGGCGCCGCGCCCGCCGAGAACTGGACCAACGAGGAGGGCAAGGCCGAGCTGAGCGCCGAGACCCAGGGCGAGAAGGACGTCGCCGAGGAGGGCGCCGAGACCCCCGCCCCCGCCCAGGAGGAGGCCCAGGAGGAGGACAACTCCAAGACTCTTGACCAGTACCTTGCCGAGCGGGCGAACGCCGCTCTTGGCGGCCAGCTCGCTAAGAAGGAGGCCCGCCAGGTCTCGGACGACGTCGAGGGCAAGCAGTTTGAGCGTGAGGAGCTGGAGAACTTCTTCGGCGGCAGCAAGGTGAGTTTCTTCTGCGGGTGACTACCCTGCGGCCGATCGCCGCATCGGCATGCGGCATGTGGGCATGGGACCAAGCTGACGCCAGGCCTCCAAGGAGAAGAAGGAGCGTGCTCCCAAGAAGGAGAAGATCCGCATCGAGGTCGACGGCCAGTTCGCACAGCCCGCGCGCCCGCCCCGCGGGGACCGCCCTGAGCGCGGCGCGGCCCGTGGCGGCCGTGGCGGCAACCGTGGCCGCGGCGCCCCCCGGGGCGGTGCGGCCCGCGCCCCCCGCCAGGCCCCTGCCAACGTTGCGGACGAGAGCGCGTTCCCCGCCCTCGGCGCCTAGGCCTGGCCCGCCATGCAGCGAGTTCTGTAGCTAGACTCGCGCACGTCATCGTGCATCGACTCTCGGAATCGGATCTTTCGATTTAGAGCGTTACTTTTTTTCCTCAAAATGCAAAACTGAGCCATCTCCGTGAGAGAGAGGGGGTGGAGGGGGTGGAAGTGGAGTGGCAAGGGTGCTCGTGTGAGCGTGAGCATGAGGTTGATCGGGGTGGGAGTAAAGGTGTGTGAGAGGAGTCATCTGAAGGATATGTTGAGCGCCGGCGTATGATCCCATTTGATGGTGCGCCGTGAAGTTGCAACCTTGATGGTTGACTGCGATTGTCGTAAGGGCTGGCTGGTTCATGAGAAGGCCTGTCAGTGCAAGTTTAATCGGGCCCTCTCTTACAGCCAACGATATGCTGGGTGGGAAGGGCGTCACTATCAAACTAAATTGAAGACGATGAGACGTATATGTTTGTGTAAATACGAGACGCTTTGCGACGTCAATCACGTCCAGCTGGAGTGACGCTCTTCCGGCTCACTTGCCTAGAGGCCTTAGAGGACAGATGCTTCATCAAGTATATCCTATACTAGGTTCCACTCCCACGCGCTGCTAGCTGCCAGTAGACTTCACTCGTCCAGAGTGCTGCTAGAATGATGCAGCGATGGAACAAGCACACAATGTTGCAAGAGTTTCATGCGTTATTGGACTCCAGATTACAGAACGCACCGCCGGGAGACACTCGGGCGTATGGCATTTAACGAGTGCACACAGGTACTACATGTACAAACATGGGTCTAGTCCACAGGTTCACTGATGGGTTCGTCTGGAAGCTGGATGTGACCCTCAACCCATCTGAGACGACGCCACTGTTCATGCAACCACGCTCTGGTAATCTTCTTCGCTCGGCGCTGGCGCACGGCCAGCACAATGGCCACACCAATGGGTACGCCGAGGGCCATGGTGATGACAGCGCTCAGTGTGATGGCGCGGCCCAGGCCAATGAGTGGCGCGACATCTCCGACGTTGCCTTGGTCCTCGCGACTCGAGGTGTAACACCACAGGCGGCGGGTATCGTTTTGGCCGTGAGTCCCGGTTGTCCAGTAGCGCAACCCGACGAAGGCGCCCTGGAAAGCGAGTTGATGCTGCACGGCGGGGTCGAGGGGTAGCGCAAGAGCGACGCTCGAAGTATCACACGGCGCCCATCCCGACCTGCGCTTCCAAGCCACGGGGGAGGGTGCAATGTCAACCGTGAAGTCACCGGGACCAATTGTCACAACTTGAACATAGGCGGTACCAGCTGGGGGGAGGATGTAGGCGACAGCATCGTTGCTTGCCGGCACACGGTGGGGCTCGGGCAGCGCGTCGGACTGGGTTGTTATCCACCGACCGGCCAGCCAGCCGTGAACAGACGTGTGATTGCAGAAGATTGCAGCCTGCGACGCCCAAACATCGTACAGTCTTCAATCAGTACAGTTTGTTGCTGCGGCTTCCACCTACCCTTGTGTATACGAGTAGATTTGGACCTCTTTGATGGAGCCGGTGCCTGAAACATGGTAAGGCGCCAGCGGGAGATCAAACACCTCGGACCGTCCTTCTGGAATCCAAACAGGCTCGTGACGTGGGCGGTCCAGGCGGGTAACGACCAGAGCCGCTGGGGGGGAGTACGAGTCGACAAGGCGAAACCCCGTGCCATGCATGAAAAAGCTGAAGGTGTGGTTATGCATGGAAGAAGGGGCTGAGACATCGTCGACGTGACAACTGACGGTGCCACTGGTCACAATACAGCCTTCGAGCACAGTGAAGTGCTGTGAAAAAGGGTAGAGGTCAACGCAGTGGCGAGTCGGGTGCGCGGCAAGGGCAGCGATGGGCCACAGGACGAGAAGGAGGAGGAGGGAACCAAGGACGGTGCTCGGGGAGATTGGTGAATCGAGCTGCAATGTCGCGGCGTGCATGGCGATGGTAGAGGTGGCGGCAATGTGTGGCGAGTGATAAGTGGTAGAAAAAGGAGAGATATTGTGTTGTAATGGCAAGGGCAGCCCGTGAGTTCGAGGGAGACGGTATGACGATCAGAAGCATATCAGATAGAGATTCTCGAAGGCTGGAAGGAAACTTCTGAGAGGTCGCTGTCAAGTTCCTGTGCGATGTCACTCTGATCTGCTCCCATCGAGTCTATTACTGTAAGTAGCGTTTGCAGCCTTGCGGCGTATACGGCGATTGATCGTGCAGTGTGCAGGCAGGATCTCGTAGGTGGCAGCAGGGAGACAAGGAGACGAGGTGTTGTGTTCAGTGGCAACATGAAATAATGTGGCATGTGAATTCCAGTGATGTTTTGTATGTGTGAGGACAGACGAGCCTTCCTCGAATTCTCGAACCTCGTCTCGATGGTACTCATACATCCTTGATCCTCACGCCCATCACGTTCACTCTTCTTTGCCCTAATGCTTCATCTTTCCGCATTACCTGCATCTCGACCTTCGCTGATTGCTCTCGTCCACCCGTCCCCCGTCATTTCTCTCGTTGCACAGTCTCACTCCTCGCACTAATTGTCACCTTGACTCGCGTTGCTCGCCATTTTGCCATCAATTTGGCAAGAACTCCACAGACACGGGCAATTTTACCCGAACTGGCGCCCAGTCGTTACTTGCTGTGACACAACCGATTTGAGGCCTTCCGCGATGTAAACACCCATGAGCGCCCTCCCCACACACAGCCTGTGAAACATGAACAGACGAGCACACAGCCACCAGCAAATAAAAATCCCCAAGATTGCCCAGGGTTGGTTGAAGACCAGTCATCGGCTACCCGCCTTGCGAGACGAGTGGTTTTGCATTGCCTAAGCACCTAACACCTAGCTCCAAGACCGTGACAGACGCTGTTTTCGCTTTCAGCACCATTCGCTCATCGCGGTCATTTTACTGACACATAGTAGGCGACGTCGTTAACCGGACAGTACTGTGAGGCCGCCTCGCTCCTTCATCCCCCTTGCTTTGCTCCGCAGTTTCTCACATGATACTGGAGGCTCGACGCGCCAGCCCTCCTTTCAAAACATCCACGAAGATCTCCAGCACCCAACGACCAGATACTCTTCTCACGCTGGGAAAGGGGGGCTATGAGTCATGTAAGCTCAGTTGTACGTCTGTATGTTATGTCGATGAGAGATCGGTCACCGCCAAAACGTAGCTAGGCAATCAAGGTCTGTGGCATGGAATAGTCAACTATTCAGAGACTCTTGAGAGCTTGAGAATACGCCATGGCGCCCGCTCGTGCTGAGGCAGGATATGAGGAGAAGGTGAACGTGCAGCCGTGCCGCGTGCACCCAGTACCCAGTACCCAGTACCCAGTACCCAATGACTCAATTACCCTATATACCCAATACCCAAGAAGCCACAACTTTACGACTAATATACTATTATACTATTGCATGCGGCGAGCAGGGCCACGTGGCGTTGAGTTAGGTCAACCTGCGTAATCACTTGAATTACACTGTCATGCGTGCGTCATGCCATATGCCACAAACATCCTCAATCTCCCACTCTCGCACTCACGATCACTCTTCCATGTTTCCATCACTCTCGCCATTCATTCACCCTCCCCATCATCTTGCCTCAGTCTCGCTCAAATGCCATACATCCCCCCTCCCCAACGAGTCGATCTGAACGCGTTGCCACCCTCCCTTCTCGTCTTTCCGCGCGACGACTACACTCACGGTGCCTATCGCACACCCTGCGGCCCGTTTGTGGACCCGACCCACGTCGTGTTGGCCGCCGCTGCCCGCCGTGCGACCCGTGTATGGCGCACCGCTCTTTCCTCGGGAGACTGGAGAAGGGTGGATACCCGTTGCTTCTGCCTGGTGGTGTTGGACAAGGTCGTACAAATGTAAGCGGCCTTATCCACCTCGTCGCACTTCGCTTGACACCTTCCCCCACTCTGACACCAGAAACGTTCAACGAAGATTCATCTGTGGCATCCCATGGCCCCTTATCCGATACCTCGACGACTGGCGGGTTGCTGTCCGCGATCTCGCGGCGGGCATATACGACATTGCTAGCACGCAAGCGCCGTGGTCACCCACGCGTTCCGTTGTCGTCGGCCGTCCTCATGGACTGGTTTTATTTCTCTGGCGACAGCATCGTTTACCGCTACCCTTATCCCAAGAAGATCGACCTCCCCGCCATCGTTGGACCCTTCAGCCCCGACCTCGAGCGCAGTGTGTTGAAGTCCCATTGTGAGCAGCCCGGCGATGGTCCGCTTCGGCTTTGCCGCCGGCAACAGAGACGACCCAGGGCTGGGCTCGGCACAATGATGGAGCAGCTGAAGATTGAGCCGTAGTCTAGTCTCATATGCAAGCCCGCGGGCCCGCCAAGTAGGTGCTTCGGTAGTGTTGGTGATCAGTGGCAATGGCACTAATGCTATTGGAAAGGGGATGCACACTGATGTAAATACTAGGACTGAAGCTCACAGTACTGCTACTGCCAATGTCTACGAAGCGACAGAGCCCCCTCTGCATGCGTGGAGGCGATCAGCAGATCAACGAGCCGACGTTGGGAGAATCGCTTCGCGACCGCCACAGCGCGATCGCCATCCATTCTCGCTGGCCTCCTTCCCTCCTTGCCAACTTCTTCTCTCTCTCTCATCTCTCACCCTATCCACATTCTTCAAGCTCCCATCATCAACACCTCACCCACAAAATCACAATGACAACATATTCCCAGGACCAAAAGCCCCCTTGTCTGTCATGGCAAGAGGCTACACCCAGTGGGGTGTAAGGGCCCGTCGTACGGGGTGACGGGACCGGCGAGGTACGAAGTCCGATGTCATGGCCCGGTCTACCGACCCATGACCTTTCGCGGAGATCCGCGTATGTCCGTCACCGCACACATGGAGATCACCTGTGACGATCCGAACGACAACGACTAACCGACTACACGTGTCGACCACGTGGCAACCACCACGCGATAACCACGCATCCCGATCGCAAGGCGCTCCACATCTCATAACGGCGTCGGTACCGATCGGTACCCAGGTCGGCACCGCTCACAACGTATTGTCACATATACGGCGACGTCTCCGGATCTCTTCCCCCAACTCTTGATACTCGTCGTATTTTCATCCCCTCATAGTATCATAGTCTTATTGCACGCCTATCACAGTTGTCGACTTCGAGTCATCGGGGTGGTGGAGCGGCATCCGGTGTACGAACACCTTTGTGCTCAACCACTCCCCAGCCTCCGCCTTTCCGAACGGCGCAGGGCCTGACATCACCCGTACCTCCACTCTCTCGCTCGACTGACACTCGTCCGACCACCCCGCTCGGGAGTCGGGCCGACCTACGTCGACCCTCGTCGGACATACGGTCCACCTCGTCGGTCGACCAACCGGCTGACCGCCTCGGACTCCTCGACCTCGTGACAACCGTCGGTCGACCTACTCGTCCGACACTCGGCCGACCGATCGGGCCCCTGTCTATAGTTGCCTATATAAGACTTGTAGCCCGACCGGTCGCCCGTGTCGATTCTGTTATCCTTGTGATTCCACTGTTCTTCCGAGGGTTGCCTGAATACCAGTATCGGTCAACCCCCGTGCGTTCCCCCCCTAACTCCACCTCCGCTTCCCGTTCGGACTTTGCACTTCGCCGGTCCCGTCACACCGCACGACGGGCCCTTACACCGACCGGTCACCCGTGTCGATTCTGTTATCCTTGTAATTCCACTGTTCTTCCGAGGGTTGCCCGAACACCAGTATCAGTCAACCCCCATGCGTTCTTCCCCTAACTCCGCCTCCGCTTTCCATTCGGACTTCGTACCTCGCCGGTCCCGTCACCCCGTACGACGGGCCCTTACAAAGAGGTTCACACTCGCCATCCCGACCCCGATCCCCTTCACAACGAGGCGATGCGCGAGTTTGAGTGGACGGGGCTTTACAGGGACGTGCTGCGTCACCCAGCCGTGAGGAAGGTGGCACCCAGGTTCGCCGTACAGATGCCAGTTGAGTATCACGCCGGCCGAGTGGACGCCTTGCGCTTGGATGTCTCGCTTGGACGCTACCCAAGCAAGCAGACTGCTTGCCCCCAAGACATCTTCGCGTCGATCAAGTTCAAGAGGGCCTCCGTCTTTTCCGACGAGATGATGGACGCGCCGGACTGCTTCCACGCAGGAGGAGGGGCGGTGGCCCACACCTGGAGTGAGGGCAAAAAAGACAAGTATTGCGTGCAGGTCAGCAAAATGCCCGACATGGATGTGCGCTTGCTCCAGCCACTGTATCTAGGGCCAGTGCACGTCGTCGACTCTGGCAGTATCTCATTTGCACTCGACACCCCATTCCAGCTACGTTCGAATGGGAACCGCCACATTTCAGTTGGTTGGAGCGAGTATTTCTATTTGGTTGAAGGGACGTTGTCGACTGGTGTCAACACCCCACGCCCCGTTCCACTCGTGACGCAGCTCGTCGTGATTGCACACGCTCAACGCCAACGCAAAGATGTCGCCATCCCCAACACCTGTCATGGCCCGGTCTACCGACCCATGACCTTTCGCGGAGATCCCCGTATGTCCGTCACCGTACACACACAGAGATCACCCACATTTCTGCCACCTCCACTCTCGCACTCGCCTGATACTCATCCGACCACCCCGCTCTTGGGGTGGGCCGACCTACATCGACCCTCGTCGGACATACGGCTCACCTCGCTAGGTCGACCAACCTGGTCTGCCGCCTTGGTCGACCTCTCAACCTTGCGGCATCTGTCGGTCAACCTGCTCGCCCGACAGTCGGCCGACCGATCGGGCCCCGGTACATAGTTACCTATATAAGTCTTGTAGCCCAACTGGTCACCCGTGTCAATTCTGTTATCCTTGTGATTCCACTGTTCTCCTGAGGGTTGCCCGTACACTAAGTTTGGCCAGCCCCCGTTCTGCCTCCCACTATACACCCTGCTTCCTGTTCAGACTTGGTATCCCGCTTGGTCCCGTCAACCTGCACGACAGGCCCTTACATTGTACATCTTTGTACATATCCTCTGTCATTCTTCACGGATCATAGCCGCACTCTCGCATGCGGCTCGTCAAGACTCGTCCGTGCTCGCTCGAGCGGTTCGACCTCATGTACCCTCCTTTGTCGGTACGCTCGCTCACACAATCCTCTTTTCCAACACTCAGGTAAATTGCTCAGGCCTCTGTCCAATGTCCACCTATATAGTCTTCTGACCTGACTTGTTAATCCACTGTCTTCTTGAGAGTTGCCCGAACATGTGTTCCAGTCAACCCCTGTCCCCTCACTCTGCCCCCGCTTCCTGTTCGGACTCTGTTATCGCTGAGCCCCGTCACAACGCACTTCGGGACCTAGCAACGGGGTCTGGAGACTGGAGGCTTGCGTTGTGTGCCGCGTACAAGGTGTGGTGTGCCGTGCACGACCAACTTGGCTCACGCCGAACGCACCAACAGCCATGGCCCGTAACCAGCGCCAACCTTCTCCGAGCCTCTGGAGCAGAAGTGTCCAAGGCTTGATCACGGGCCAAGAGGTCGAGCACAAGGATTGAGTCTAGTAATACAGTCACGAGTGGTGGGCAGTGCTTGTTGTGCCGGCCGAAGACGCAGAGATGATTGTGTGCGCATGCAGTTTAGGAGAGGAATCAGCTGCTTATGCTCGGATTGAGATGGGTTGTCCGCTGCTGGCTGCGTGCTGCGTGTGGGTTTCCGGGTCACCCACCTCGAATTTATTCGAGCCCCGCTGTAAATGCCACGTTGTGTTGGGTGGGAGGGACGTCACTGGCGATCTCTCAAGGGAATGGTGCCGGCCGAAGACGCTGCCATCATCTGCACAGCCTGCTCGTCGCCGTCGCAGCACTGCTCATCATCACTCTTTGCATCTTTCTCATCCATCTGCTGGTCTCTGTCAGTGGCTGCTCATCTCCCCTCTTAACATCCCACTACCCTCCTCAATTGTGTTTTCTCTTGTCGATCTTGTTGATCGGAAACTCGACGTCCAGGTTCGCCACCCAACCGTGTCACACCCCAGCCAGCCTCTCCCCCCCCCCCCCCTGGACCGGGCCCCCCCCCCCCCCCCCCCCCCCCCCCCCCCCCCCCATCTCAACTCGCTCTTCCACAACCAACAACAGCCATGGCATCAGAGGACCCCAACGTCAAGGCCGTTCAGGTCAAGCTCGTTCTCCTTGGTACGTCCTTCACATCACTCCTCCGTCTCATCCACGTGCTGACGCTTGCCCCCCCTCATCTGCGCTCCACCATCTCACCCCTCGTCCTGTCGTCCTCCCACCATCACAACCCTCCTCATATCTCCTCACTCACCCGCCCCAACCCACCCATTTTATTCTGCATGCAGGCGAAGCCGCCGTCGGCAAGTCGTCCCTCGTCCTCCGTTTCGTCCAGAACGACTTCAACGAGAACACGTCACCAACTATCGGCGCAGCCTTCCTCACCCAGAAATGCCGCCTCGAGAACCGCGTCGTCAAGTTTGAGATTTGGTGCGTCCTCTGTCCTTCGTCCGCCATCCCCGCTCCCTCTCGCCGATCGCGGAACTCTGCTAATCTCAGGGACACGGCTGGCCAAGAACGCTTCCACTCCCTCGCTCCCATGTACTACCGCAACGCCGCCGCCGCCGTCGTCGTCTACGACATTACCAAGGCCGCGAGCCTCGAGAAAGCAAAGGCCTGGGTCAAGGAGCTGCAGCGACAGGCCAACCCGAACATTGTGATTGCGTTGGTCGGCAATAAGCTCGACCTCGTCGAGGGCGACGAGCCTGCCCCGCCTCCCGCGGACGATGACGCCGAGGAGGACGCTCCCACCGCCGACGGGCCACGCCAGGTGCCGACGGCCGAGGCCGAGGCGTACGCCAAGGAGTGCGGCCTGCTCTTCTTCGAGGCGTCCGCAAAGACCGGCACCAACGTCCAGGATGTGTTTACTGAGATTGGTGCGTTGTTTGCTCATTCCCCCGCTCACACGCAGCTAAGACTATCCCCCTCGACACAATCGCGCCCAAGCCTGCAGCGGGTGGCGCGCAGGGACGCCGCTCCGCAGCCAACGCCGCCGCCGGCGAGAACGCACGCGTCGACCTTGGCGAGGGCCAGGCTGCCAAGCGGGGAGGCTGCTGCTAAGCCAGCCGACGTCTATGTCCACGTCCACACCAGCTCGTCCCCGCTCTCCCTGCAGAGTTTACCCCATTAGTTTCCGCGGCCGGGCGCCGCTAGCGTCGCCACGCCTCTTGCCATCTGTATAGTGTTTGCGCCCGTTCGTATGAATGATTCATGAGTTCGAGTGGTGGGGTTAGGCAGAGATGGGCGGAGGGCTGGGTGCCGGGTGCGGGGTGCCGAGGGCGATCAGCGTGGGCTTGAGCGAGTCGCCGATCATCGAGCCTGACACGCTGCGAGAGGGTGAAGTGAGAGCGGAGGAGAGATGAGGCACTGAGGCAATGAGATCAGATGAATCGCGGAAAGGGCGGCGGCACGACGGGGCAGCGTGCACAATGGCATTGCGATCGCCTGATGGTTCGAGCAGCACATCTCAGATGGATCTTGCGCGCTTGTCTGCGGCCAGTGGACCCCGCGATTCGCGATCTGCCGACTATCGAGATAGTTGAGGAGTTGGGGAGCTGGGTGAGACCGGCCTCGCCTACCGCCCGTAGCTTCTGAACCTCCGTGTTCCACGCTCAGCTCCGCTGACTCCGCTGACTCCGCTGACTCCGCTGGCCTCACCCTCTCATCCTATCTACTCCTCCCTCTTCCCGTGCACTCCCTTCCCCCCTCCCACACACACACGCACGAATTCATACTCTACATGCCAAACGAGCCGGTCGCCTGCGCCTGCCCGCCCATGCTCTGCAGGCGCTCGCCGACCTTCTTGTTGACCTCGAAGAACTTTGCCGTACACCGGTCGATGCACACCGCCTCGCCCTTGTTGAGGTCCGGCTCGGCGTACCAGTGCTTGCGCGGGTCCGGCTGGATGCACTTTGTGTGGCACGAGTTGACCAGGCGGTTGCTGTGGAGTCGAGTGGGGAGTGGAAGAGAAGCGGTCGCAATGGGGAGGTGTAGGGGGTTGAGGCCGCGTCAGCACGACACAAAGATCGCCACGGCAACTCACAACACGTCCGTGATCATGTCGAGCTCGCTCGCGGCCATCTCCATCTTCATGGGGTCGACCGAACCAGCATTTTGGGCTGCGGTCAGTGGGGCCGGGTGAGCGGCACGCGCGGCTAGAGGGGCAGCGCGAGAGGCGCTTGCCTCCGTCGCCGCGCGCGGTTATGCACGTCTTCAGAGACTCACATGCTCCGCCGCCAAACATAAACGACATGGTGAGTAGGTGGCAAGAATGGGTGATGGCGAGTGACGAGCGTCGGCCGGTGGTGAAAAAGGAACTCCCCTCCACCGGATGTATCCGGATGTAGCCGTGCTACCCATCTTTGATCTCGAATCTATCTCAGAATCGACGTCAAAACAACAATGATGCGCCCGAGGATATCGCGCGCGCGGCTTGCGCTGCCGCCGCATGGTCGCCGTACCCTCGCGTCCGCGCCGAAGAAGCACGACGAAGTCATCTTCTCCGGCATCCAGCCGACGGGTGAGTTGCGCCGTGACACCGCTGACAGCAGGAACTCCGCATGTGAGTTGAGTCGAGTTGAGTGTGCTCCGCCTGACGACAGCTCGGGAACTACCTCGGCCTCTTCCTCCCCTTCCTGGAGCTGCAGGCGACGGCGGCGCCGACAACGCCGATCTACCTCTCCGTCGTCGGCCTGCACTCGATAACGCTCCCGCAGACGCCGGCGGCACTCGTCTCGGACCGCCGCAACATGCTCGCGGCGCTGCTCGCGTGCGGCGTCGACCCCGCGCGCACCACGCTCTACATGCAAGAACAGGTGCCGCAGCACGCCGAGCTCGCGTGGTACTTCAACACCATCTCCTCCGTGGGCCGGCTGCAACGCATGACGACGTGGAAGTCGCGCCTCGCCGTGAGCCGCAACGCCAACTCGGAAGACGAGGTGTCCGAAGCCGACCTGCGCCTTGGCCTCTTCGCCTACCCCGTCCTCCAGGCCGCCGATATTGCGCTGTACAAAACCACGCTCGTGCCGGTCGGCGAAGACCAGACGCAGCACCTCGAGCTGGCGCGCGACACGAACGAGGCGTTCAACCGGTTGTTCGGCGACGTGTTCCCCATCCCCGACGTTCAGATTGGTGCGTGCTCCCACCCACCCAAACCCACTCCCAAATTAACACCAGTGCCCCAAAAGCGCATTCTGTCGCTCAAGAACCCGCGCGAGAAAATGTCCAAGTCGGCAGCCAACCCCTTGTCGCGGATCAGCATTGTCGACTCGTCCAAAGACATCGAGAAGAAGATCAAGGGCGCCGTGACCGACGCCGAGCCCGTGATCACTTACGACCCCGCCGGCCGGCCGGGCGTCGCGAACCTCCTCACGATCTGGAGCGCGCTCGACGAGGCCGGGCGCTCGCCCGCGCAGCTCGCGGACATGGCCGCCGCAGAGGGATGGGGCGCGGGCAAGCTCAAGGGCGCTGTCGCGGACGTTGTCGTGCACCGGCTCGCGCCGGTGCGTGATGAGTACGCGCGCATCGTCGCGGACCCGGGGTATATCCGAGATGTGGCGGCGCGGGGCGCGGACAGGGCCAGAGAGACGGCAGAGAAGACCATGGTCGAAGTCCGCAAGGTCGTTGGGTTGGGCGAAATCTAGTGGCCTGGGCGGCTGAACACCATTCTACATCACTACTCAATCACTGCATGCACACTGTGTCTCTACGTCGCTTGGTTGTGCTTGTGTTGTCGTCTCCCTCTCATGCCGTTGTCTGCTGTCCCTCTTGTCTTGTCTGCGTTGCCGTTGCTCGTGCCCCTTCTTCCGCCGATAGCCGGCTACTCGTTACTCTTCACAATCTTGCTCTCCGGACGACTCGCATACCCCGTCCAACTCTCGTCGTAGACGGCAGCAGACACGACGCGCCCCTCCTCCTGCGCGACGATCTGTGCCGCGAGCCACCCCACACATGCCGTCATACCCGACCCGCATGAGAAGACCATCTGGCGCTCGACGGCGCCCCCGGCCGCATCCGCGCCTTGGTCGAGCAGCGCGGCCCACGCCTCCTCCCCGCCCACAGCGCGGACGAGGACGGCGCGCAGCTCCGCCGGCGTCTTGTACGACGTGTACGGGTGCCCGTCGCCGACGGGCACGAGCAGCTCGCCGAAAGGCAGGCTGCGCGCGCGCGGCATGTGCCCGCTCGACAGGCCCGGGCGGGGCTCGGGGTCCGTGCCCGCGAAGCGGCCGGGCGAGCGCGCGTCCAGCACAATGTCCCCGCCCGCCGCGCTCGCCACCATGTCGGCGTAGCTCTTCACCATGTCCTTGTTCAGCGCGCCGGAGGTGTATGCCACCGGCTTCCAGTCCACTTCGGGCGGGCCTTCATCCACGTCCCCGCCTTCGTCGATCCACGCCGGCAGCCCGCCGTCCAGCACCGACACTTTGTCGTGCCCGAACGCTGCATAAGTCCAGACCACGATGGCGAAAGCTCACCTTTGAACGTGAAGAGGCCGCGCGGGGCCGAAAACACGCCGATGCTGTCGTACAGCACCACGTGGGTGTGCGGTGTGATCCCCAATTTGCCTGGTGTCAGCGAGGACGCGGCGCCACGCACCCGCAGCATCGCGGAACGTCTCGAGACTCGGAAGCATGTGGCCCAGCCCGAGCGGGTTCGTCTTCGGGTCCAGATCCGCGATCTTGTCCAGGTTGAAGCGGCGCGCGCCGGGGATGCGCGGCCCGCTGTGGTATTCCTCGTCGGGGTTGCGCGGCGAGTTGGGCATGTGCCACGAGACGTCGAGCGCGACGATGTCCTGGTGTCAATGTCAGTGGTGTGTATCCATCGTGCGCTGCTGCGGATACAAATTTAGTGCACATGCACATGCAGGTGGACCCCCGTGCTTGCACAGACGCGACGCTACTCACCCGCTTGTTGGGCAGGCCGGCGACAGCCTCCTTGGCCGAGATGAGAAAGGGCACGGAGGGCTTGGGCGGCTTGGAGGACATCATACGGCGAGCGAGACTGAAAGTGCCAAGTGGAGAAGTGGGCAGACGCATGTCGGCTGGATCAGAGTGCGGGAGCGGCTATGCCTCGAGAACGGTGGGCTATCAGGCGATGATGATGGTCTCGGAGTGGAAATGACGATGGACGTTGTCACGGCGGGGCACCAGCTTGGGATCGTCGAGCTATGACACCGTGGGAGAGTATAGCAGAAGAGTGGGGCAGAGCAGTGAACCCGTTGATAGGGCCGTTTACCCGGTCTGATGGCGCCGAGGCTGCCGTCCGCTGCCGTTGGGATGCACATTTTGCACAATGAGCAACAAGCAAGTGCCCAATCACACATGAACCGCACAAGGTGGCTTCATTGATTCTAGTTCGCGCCTCTTGCTCGCGTCCGTCGCCCTGGAATTCTCGTCAAACTTAGGTTTCAGCCACGCCACTGCGGCTGTGCGCCTGATCGCGCCTGGGGAACATGGCGGAGAGGCAGACGACGCGCTATAAAAATCCAGATAAACCCTGTAAAAGTTACATGCTCATCTTCGGCTTCGGCTCGTTTGCTGCGCCCAGATGCGAGTGAGGTAACGGTTGTCACTCCCGCTGCACATGCCTCCTCCATCTCGAACACTACTCATCTTATCTCATCACAGCATCCACATCTCCATCGTATCTCACTGCACCCGCATCGCTTCGCATCGCATACCACATGTCTTACATACACCCCACCCCACACACCATCTCGCGGACATGACAGACACACGTAGCGCCAAGACCCTGTGGCTTCAATTGACTTGCTCGACTGAATTCATGCCCGGCCTGATCCACTGGCCGCACTAAGAGCTAAGCTATCAGAGCCTGTCGCCGGATCGCCATTCTTTTGACCTGTTGGCCTGCGCGCCAGCCGATATATTGACTGCATGCATCTTCCTTTTCTTCTTCACCTCCCCACTAGCCTCTCTCAACCATGCGCGTCTCCCTTCTCGCCGCGTACATTTTCGCATCTGCGCTGGTCGCTGCTGCGCCAGTCGCAGCCAACGCCGCCGACGCCGCTGCCATCACGCACGTGTCGCCAGATAAGGCCGACCATCCTATCGTGGACGACGAGCCCACGGTTGGGGACAAGCCTAAGCCCAAGCCCAAGGCCGCCCCCGTCCCCGCCGCCCCCATCCTCACTCCGGACACGGACGCGCAGACCCCCCTCCTCCTCCCCCTCCGCTGGACAACCGAGTTTCCCGAAGCGATCAAGGCTGGCTCATATCTCAACCTTGCCTGGGAAGGCGGAAGCCCCGAGTACGGCTTTGAGGTCTACTACATCCCCCGATGGCCGATGCAGCGCGTGTACGACCTCGTGCCGATCGAGAACACGACCTCGCGCCACGCCATCTGGAGCGTGCCGCAGTACGACGACTTCCCGGAGGGCACGACGTTCATCTTCGGTGTCAAGGACGCGACCGGCGGCCCCGGCGGTAACTGGTACGACCTCACCGCGCCGCTGCCGCTCGTGTACAGCGCGCCGGACGCGCGCGGCTTTGAGGCCGCCATCAAGGCCAAGCGCGCTTGAGTTTCACGGACACTGTAACACCTCGCGCGGGCGCGACATAGATAGATACGGCTGTATTTGTAGCATATGGACAGACTGGGTATTTTGCGCGTGAGGCGAGCGGATGTTAGGGCGGCCGTCGCCGACGACTACAGGCACCGAGCATGACGTTCGCTTCTGTTCGGCCTTTGGGGAACAGTCCCCCGTCTTCCGGCATGCATCTGGCACCGTGCCAAGTCCTCTTGTCGACGTCTCATCTTGCCTTGTCACTACACCTACTCTCTAGAGATCTAGAAGGAATAGACATCGCCGCCGATCGATCGAATCACCCGCCACCCTCCTCAAACAGCGTCATCTGACCTCGACGCCTCCACCCCGCCGATCCACCCGTAACCGATCAACACGCCTCGGTCTTGAGATCCTGCCATCGATCCCGTCTCCATCAACCGCATCTCCATTCTCGCCATGCTCTCGTCGCGGGTGACAAAGGCCGTCGGCTGGGCCTGCATCTCGTCGTGGTACTGTGAGTGCGCGGTGGGGTGTCCTCTGCGATCACATACCCTCTCCAACCGCCTCCGCCTAGCTTCTTCCTACTCCTGCCC